GGATCTATTTAGATTGTTAGATTAGATTAGAATTATTAATTAGATTATTTCTAGAGATTTGCATGTTTACCTAATTGTCAAAAATGTCCAAATGATAACATTTGTGATATTTGTTATGACCATTATGAAAATATAAATAACAAAGAATGTAAAGTCATATGTCCAAATTTATGTGAAAGTTGTAACAATCCAACATCTTGTAGTATATGTTAAGAGGGTTCATATCTAAATGATCTAGGAGAATGTTATATACCAGATGGATAATTTATGGAAATTCCAATTCCTATAAAGAGATCAGACAATTAAATTAATCCAAGAGTGGCTTCATTCAGTGATGGTAGCTTTGTTGTTGTTTGGTAAGCTGAAAATTAAGATGGAGATGGTTATGGTGTTTATGCTTAAAAATTCAATTCTTTAATTGAAAGAATAGGAAGTGAAATCAGAGTAAATGTTAATGTTCTTAATTAATAATATTATCCTGATATAACAATACTTGATAATTAAAATGTAATCATAGTTTGGGCTGATGGTTAAATTCAATAATAAGCAACACTATATTATTAAAGATTTGATAAGAATCTATTAAGAATTGGTGAACCTGTCATAATAGACAAAATAAAAGTAGAATATATAGAATAATATGATACACCTTTTGTAGTCTAATCATTACCTTAAAGTAAATTCGTAATTTGTTGGATAAGTTATCTTGATTGGATGTCAAATTTCTATATTACTTTAGTTGATTCAAATGGTGTATAATAAAATAGTCATATATGGAGCATGTCTGAATAAGTTAGGGAAATTGTGATAGCATCAAATGGTCTCAATTTTGTTGCAATATAAAAATACTCTTGTAAACTGACAGCATTTATTTTTAATTTAGAAGGATAATACTAATATGAAAGATAAATAGATTCTAATTGGGATTGCAGTATTTCAGCAGGAATAAGCACTAATTCAAAGGGAGAATATATTGTATCATATATTTAAGATGAACATGTGAGGGTGAGTATCTATGATAATCAATTTAATATTTTGACAACAAGTCCTAAATTAGATGACTTGTCTGATACTAGAGCTGATAATCCAGACATTATAACACTCAATGGTGATTAAATTGTTGTTGTTTGGTAAAACACTGATAGAATGGATCCAATATTTAGATCAAGAAAATTAAAGATGTAGATCTTAGATAATGCATTAGTTCCATTAACATAAGTTAAAGAAGTAAATTTAATAACTACATTTGCAAAATTACCTTAACTTTCATTATTGAATAATAATTAATATGTAGTTGTTTGGTAAGGAATGCATTAGAAAGCAAATGTTGATTCAGAATATGGAGTTTATCTTATGAGATATAATTCAAATGGTGAATAAACAAATCCAGGTGGTCCAATTTGTCCAGATAAATGTGAAAAATGTTAAGAATCAACAACATGCATCAAATGTTAAATAGATTATGATCTTATTAATAATGAATGTAGACCTAGATGTCCTGAAAATTGCTTATCTTGTAATACATCTAATATTTGTGATATTTGTTTACCAGGATTTGAATTGAATGTAGTTGGACATTGTATTTACATTACTCCAGATCCTATTCCTTATCCATTACCAATTCCAGGTTATCCAAGTAAATTATATCCAAGCTTTAAATCTATTCAGAAATATGGTGAAACTTCTGTTTTAATATATGGATCATCACTAATATAAATTGACAATAAATATTATTTAGATGTGAGCTTAATGTTAATTAATGATAGTGATAAATCCTAACCAAAATATAATAATAGAATTGAAATTGATGGGGAATGGTCAAATATTTATAATTTTGATGTATTAGTAATAGATTAAGATATTATCATTTATTGGACAGAACATTCTTATAGTGTTAAATAAGTTCAATTAAAATAAATAAGATTAGATTCAGGTTTAAGTTAATTAGGATCAGAAACTATTGACACATTTGATTTTGATTTCTATGAACATACCAATAGAAAAGTATATCTCTTTGCATCAAATGGAAATTACTATATTTTCTAGTCTATCCAAAATATCAATGGATAATTTGAACTCTTTGGACATATAGTTGATAGATAATTGTATACCAAGATTCCTCAAAGGAAATTGATGGATACTTTTGATTAAATTTCAAGAAAGTAAATCCTTTATATTGATAATGAATTTATAATAACATAATACTTAATGGAAATTAGATGGTGGAAATTTAATTCTAATTTAGATTACATAAATGAAGGTATGACTTGGCCAATTTTCAACGGAGATATCGATTATAGTTCTATTAGCATTTAATAATTGACTAATAGAAATCTTGTTGTTGCTTGGAGATCTAAGAGTTAATTACCATAAAGTTCCTCCAATTAACTTAAATACTTGCTCTTAACTTTCAACTTTGATGTTATTGATAGTGAAAAAATTATTGTTACATCTAATGATGTTTTATAGAACCCAGTTATTATTACAACAACTTCTTCTTTCTATATCATATGGAATTAAGAATCAGTAGTATCTAGTTTATTAAATTGCAATCAGTATTCTGAATTTGGAGGATTACCATTAAGTGAAATTCAAAAATTGAACAGATTAGACAATAATGTATCCTTCTATACAGGAACAAAAATTACTGGTGAAGACATTTATGTAATATGGATTTCATATTCAGAAACAACAGCTGAATATCAATATCAATTAGTAAAAATAGGTCCTCAAGGACGCTTACCTTGTCCAATTGATCCTCCTATTTGTCCATTTGGTTGTAATGATTGTTAAAATGAATTTTCTTGTAGAGGTGTTTGTCATCCAGATTATCTTTATGATCCTATTACACATCAATGTGTTATGCCTTGTCCAACAAATTGCAAATAATGTTCATTACCTGGATAGTGTAATATTTGTGATGTTGGATACAAATTAATTAATCATCTTTGTGTTAAAAATACTTGTTAAGTTGGATGTGAACTTTGTGATGAATTGTAAACTTGTTTGAAATGTCCTTTAGGCTATTAGATAGTAGATTAATTCAAATGTAAATATACTTGTGATGAAAATTGTTAAATATGTGGTGAAGATAAATGCACTCAATGTAAAGAGTCTTATTATTGGAGTGAAAGGGATAGATTATGTGTAGATATCACTATTTATATTTATTAAACATCAAAGGATAACCCATTAAAGGCAGTATTTGAGAGTAAGGATTATGTTCTTATGTGGTATGAAACTGGAATAAATGAAGGAATTTATATATAATTATATAGAAGTAATGGAAAACCAGTTGGCAGACCTACAAAAGTAAATGAAGAAGATCTTTTAGGAACTAGAAGATTATTATAATAGTCAAATAGTTTTGATGTTAGATTGTTTGCTGATTTAGCTGCTATAAAGAATGAATTAGTTGTTTTGTGGGTTGATTAGACTTAAGGTGATATGATGAAGGTTAAATTTAAGAAATTTGATAATAATAATACTTAGTTGTCTTCAGCAATTACAATAAGTGAATAACCAAAATAAAATTTAACAAGTATGGCAGCACCTTGTATAATTAAACCTACAACAAATAATTAATTTGTTATTGGATGGTTTAATTAATAAGCATAGAATTTGAAATAAACAGCAACTATGTTTATTTAATCCTTTAATTCATAATTAGAACCTATTGGTCAATTGTCAACTTTATAGAATGCTGATTACACAAATATTCCCTTGATTTCAGCATCTTAAAATGGAGAAGTTTACATTACTTATACAAGTTAAGGATACACTTATTTAGCTTAAATGTCTCAAGATGGTTATTAAATTGGTGATCCACTTTAAATAGCCTAACCTAATCAAACAATTAAATCTTCAAATTTAGATGATGGTAATATGATATATGTTTTTGAATCCAAGAGCACAAATGTTTCCCCTCCATAATTTGTATTATCATATCAGATTTTGAATTTGGATAAGAAATAAAATGAACCATAATTATTAACATCATAATCATATGGAGAATAATAACCAGATGTTGTGGCAATTTCTAATGGATTTATCATCACTTGGAGAAGTGTGGATAAAACATTCAAATCTTAAGATGTATATTTCTAAGTGTTTGATAATTCAGGAAAAATGAAATCATCTTAAATCAAAGTTAAAAGATAAGGAATTCATCCATAATATCCAAGAATTTAAATCTTAAATAATGATGAGTTAGTAATTACATGGACAGCCGAAAGTATAGATGATTCAACTGTAAACACTTTCTTCATGCAATAATTCAAATTATCAGAAATCTTATTTATAGACCCAAATGAACCAGTAAAACCATCTTAAATAGCATGTTCATAAAATTGTCAATATTGTGAAAGTAATAATACATGCATTGTTTGTATTCAAGGATATTACACTGAAAATGATAAATGTATAATGGATTGTCCTATCAATTGTTAATCTTGCTAATAACCTAATATTTGTGAATAATGCGAACAAGGATATTAAACAACTCTTGATAATAAATGCGATTTAATAACTTGTGATTTAGGATATCAATTAAATAATGAAAATGAATGTGTCCCTATATGTTCTGATAATTGTCTAGTTTGTCAATCATAGACATAATGTTTAGAATGTGATACTAATTATTACTTAGGAAAAGGTGTCTGTTTACCATCACTTGGTGATATTACAGCCACCATTAATCAATCTAATCAAGGAATTGCAATCTATGAAATAATTATTATTATAGTCGGATCTTTATTATTCTTGGGATGTCTATTTTATGTTTACAAACGTTATTAGAAAAATGTAGCCAAACACGATAATGGATAATAATAATTAGCAAATCAAGTAGATGATACTTCAAGAGTTCCATAATAAACAATTATAAATACCTTTGTGACGGTTAATAGAGGTTAACCAGAAAATTTACAATTTGATTGAGTTTTCATAATTATTAAAAATAATAATTTAATTTTAATATTTTTTATAACATAAATAGACAAATGGAAATCTAATTATTGTGTTTATATTCTGATCATAATAACTAATAAATTCTTGGAGCCTGCCTTAATGAAGACTGTTGTTCCCAAAGAGCTTATTGTTAAAATTGCATCGAAGATCTACACATGAATCATGTAAACGACTTATGCTCATTAAATTAATTTGAACTAAAACTAAAAGAAGCAAATTTAATTATTGATTCTTTATCAAAACACCTTTAACAAGCAAAAAATTAAATATCATAAATTGCTAAATTTTAATAATCAATAATCTACTTACACTAATAAAACTTCAATAATCTATCGCATTTATAATTTAACCCTGCTATTGATCAACTTATTGCTATCAAAAAAATAGAAAAAGAATTAATACCTATGTTATAGAATATTTGTAAAAATCTTTAATCAATTACATTAAAATTTGAAGAAATTTAAAACTATGAAAGTATACTATTTTATTCATCTACATCTTAGATAAATAACAACTATGTAGAGAGCAGAGCAAATTAATAGAACCTCTTAATGTTGTCTTTCAAAATAATGTAGATAATATTGATATTTTCGATTCAGGAAAAATAGCTTTGAAAAAAAATTTAGGTTATCAGTTTGTAATTGGTTATCCTCCGATACCATTATAGAAAAGGGTTTCTTTTGTATTTGAAATAATTTCTGTTGGATTAAGAACAGCCATAGGAATATGTTAGAAAGACATAAATATAAAAGCTTAATAATTAAAAGAAGGACATGGGTTTTTTATTTATAATTCATTTTAGTTCTTATTTAATGGTTAATTCTGGAAATTGTTTTGAAAGTAAAAAACCATAAGGTACTAAAACTGCATTTGAATTTTAAAAAGGCTCTAAAATTCTTATTGAAGTCAATACTATTCAAAAAAAGATTATTTGGAGAAATTTAGATAATTTAAATGAATATGTAGATCGATTATATATTGTTTAGTCTGTTGCCATTGATATATCTAAAGAATTATACCCATGTTTGAGATTGGGACCAAAAAATTAAAATGAACCCTCAGAAGTAAGAATTTTAGATAATTATTAATGTCATAACTTTATTGAAAAATGATTAAGTAAAACTAATTATTCCAATTATAAATTTGTTATTTAATAATAATTCAAAATTCTATTTTCTTTTTTGAAGGAAGATATTTCTATAAAATAGTTTAGGTAATGAATCCTAATAAGGAGGCTATTACAACAACGGCTATCATTATCCAATTATAACCTTAGAAACTAGAAATATAAATAAAATATGATTACGCATTATCATTGACATTAATCAATTTTGCCCATTTTCCTCCTTTTGGAAATATAGCTGAAACAAAGAATAAAATGAAACCTAATAATGTCCATAAGAGTAATAAATAGTTTCTAAAATATCTTTATTTGAAAGGATTGGAAATGTAAAGATTGATTGCAAATGTCATAAAGAAGAACATTAAACTCATAAACATTACAGATTGTATATCTCCAGATTTCTTTAATTCATCAATTGGTTTTGGTATACAATTAATAATTGGTTCATCTATTTCACATGTATGAACATCTCTAACAGCTTATGAAATAAAAAAATTAACAATCAATCTAAAAATACTAATTTATTATAATACCCTGCTGCTCCCCAAATTAAATTATTATAAATTTAAATTTAATTATAAATAGCAAATTAATCATCTAATGGATTATATTTAGCTAAAGTATCACATGGACCAGATAAACATAAAAATATCAATAAAGGAATATTTGATATAATAGATGTATAAGTAAATTAAAAATCTGCAAATGTTTCAGCTTCTAAAAATGTAAAAAGTACAGCTATGAATTTTAATGTATTAACACTAATTTAATATTAAAACACTTCAATAATAGTCATAGTAGCTGCTTTGCCTTATAATAATACTTTAACAACACAATCTAATGATGTAGATTTACTACTAAAAGGTGCTGTATATGATGCATCAGCTTCACTAAATGATATTCCAACTTATGCTTATGAAATAGCTGACTAAAATTAAATATAATTAAAATAATTACACAATCATTAGCTCCATCTCCACACATTAATACTTATCTTCCAAAACTTTATATTATTTGTATAATTAATTTCTTTTATTCAGGTTTTTAACGAGCAAATACTTTAGTTTTTTTAATAATAGAAATTGCAATTTATGCAAAAGATCCATCATCAATATCAATTTAATTAATTTCAGTAAATATCTTTTCTTTACTTTATTATTTACCAAAACTATTTTATGAATTTTTAGATTCAATTAAAAAATTGCCTTTATTAAACATATATTCTAAAAACTTACCTGTTAATGCTAATTCTTATTGAGTACTTAAAAATTATTCTAATTCTTAAATACTATTAGGTTATGATTCTTTTATAATTTATTGATTGTTATTACATTAAAGTATAATTTCTTAATTGGATTAATTATAATCTAAAAATGTAATTTCATTATCTTAATTAACAATACCAGCTAATTTTGCACATTAAATAGTTGTTAATGGATTATCACCTGATATTACTTTAATATCTAATCCTGTTTCTTTTAAAGTTGTAATAATATCAGATGTATCTGATTTCAATGGATTTTCCATAACTAAAAGTCCAACAAAATTTAATTATTATTCTAATTATTCTCTTTATTAATCAATCTAATTTTATTATAATTCTTTATATGCTAATCCTAAAACTCTATATCCTTTTATAGCATTCAAATTAAATTCTTCAATTAAATCATCTCTTTTCTTAATTGAAATTGAATTAATTGATTCAGGAGAACCTTTTACATATAAATAATATTTAGATCCATCAGTTACAATAACACTCATCATAGATTTTTATGAACTAAAGTCAAATATTTTATGAATTGTATAGATTTTTCCATTTCCCTCAATAGTTACAGGATTATTATGAAAATTACATTACCAACCAACAAAATTAAGCATTTCAATTTCTAAAGGATCTCCTAATAATTAACCATTTAATTTTATTAAATGATGACAACATCCCATTATGGCATCCAAAATTGGTTTTTCTTCTTCTGGAAATGCTTTAATTGCTTTAAATCCCAAAGTAGTAAGTGTACCTGTTTTATCAAAACAACAAGTATCTATTCTCCCAGCTGATTCTACTTTATCAGCATTATTTCCAATAACTCCTTTGGCTTCAAGTCTAACCAAACTAGCAGTTTTACAAATTTAAAAGAAAATAGGCATTGATGGTGGAATTGACCAAACAATATTATCCAAGAATCTTAAAACTAAAATACTTGATTTGAATTCCATTGGTAAATATTCAATCAAAAGGAATCCATATACAACAGCAATAATAAATGCTATTTCAAGAATGAATTTTGCAGCTTAGATATAAAATCTCATTGATGGAGGTTCAGGGAAAAGTACATTTCTAAAATATTATCCTCTTAAAGATGTAAAACCTGTTCTAAGTACAATAGCAATATTTTCTTAGGTATTATTAACTTAAATCAATTTAGTTCCTTCAAATAAACAATGTTAAGACATTTTTTCAAGTTCAAATATAGAATTTTGATTTGGTAATGCACTTTTTGGAATAGGAATACCTTCACCTGTTAAAGTAGCTTCATTAACAATAACATCACCAGATATAATAGCACAATCACAATTTAATGTTTAATTTTCTTTAAGTATAAGTAAATCACCTGGTACAAGATCAGCTCCATTGATAAGTTTAAATTAATCTGCTTCTTTAATTGTTACGTCTTAATGTATATTTGCCAATTATTATAGTCTTCTTCTTGATCTTACATATAAAAAGTAATTCAGATAGACTGTTAATACTGTGAAAATCAAGATCAGAACTGGTTAAAGTACTGTTTTCTCTGCAAACCAAATGGCAACAGCAAAATATTATAAAATATTGAATGGACCTGTAAATGCATGTAATGAATATATGAATATTGATTCTATTGGTATTTTAAGTTAACATGTTCCAAAATGTTTAATCTTTTGTTCTCTAGTTTGTTTTGAACTTAAATTAATAATTTCAGCCAAAGTTTTACACTTTGTTTCAAATTCAATTGGTTAATAAAATTAAGTTGAAGCATTAAATGAATACTTAAGCATTCTATATATTTTAATAGAGAATACTTAAATACGAAAAAAGGTTTATCATACATCATTTTTTTTTTACAAATAAATTCTTCTCCTGAATTCGCTACTATTCTGTAATGAGTTGCGATAGATTCATCAGAGCATTCAATGAATAGAAATAATTAATATAGCTTTTTGAAGTATTTTAAGGCCAAAGCAAATAAAAATGCTGTTGAAATAGATAATATAATCTAACTAATAAATATTGATACTGCTAATAAAATTCTTGATTTGCTTATTCTGATAGGCTAAATTTGGGATAGAGGATGTTGTCCTTCAATACATGAATTTTAGACTTAAAATGGCATTGAAATATAGGATTGACCAAATAATTAGTTTTTGATTTTGATGACATATTCTCTTATAAAGAGGCTTATTAATCAATGATATCATTACATTAAATGACGAAATTACAACATTGATGTAAAAATTGATAATTGTAAATTTTTAATTACATTTAATTTTTATTGAGCAAATTTTGGGTTGTCATATATATGTTCATTCTATAAATGGAATGAAAATAAAATGGCAATAGATTTACATGAAAATTTGAATATAATAATATGGTAGTTTAATTTTTTTATTATTTAAAAAAACAATACTTATAAAGGTTGATAGGTAACAAGGTCCCTCATAGAAATATATATATAGAGGATAGCTTAAATTGTGATAATATATGATTGAACATTATTAATCTGTAAAATTAATTTAAAATTATTTTAAGAAAATGAGGAATTCCAATTTATTATTTTTAGTCAATTATTTTATTTCTAAAATTCCTTATAATTAAATATATCTAAATGATAATTCAGATAATCTTAGCTCTATTTCTATTTATGTTTTACCTATTAGTTGTGAAACCATTGGTTCCTATGATAAAACTAAAAATATAGTTTGGAGATGATTGTTTAATTAGATATCATCTATTTGGAGGTGAACTATGGTAAGCATTAAAAGAAATGAAGACAAGCAAAGATTTATTCAAAAGTCACCGAGACTTATATCTCAAACATCCATATAAAATATTAGTATCAAATTTTCTTTGGAGAGTAAGGATATCTGTTGCTGATCCAGAATATTATAAATTAATGTTACTTAATCATTAATATTATACTAAAATTAATATCATCAATCATGAGTATTTATTATAATAGATATTTAGTAATGTTATTAAAAAGGGTTTGGTTTTTTCAATGGGAGAAAAATGGAAGTCATAAAGATAACTTTTAAGTGAATCATTCGAATATGATTAACTTAAAAGTCGTTTACCTATGATAAATGAAGTTTGTCTGGAAAAAATTAATTAAATTAGTGGAGATAATGTGTTGTAATTTCTAGAACTCATAACAGGACAAATAGTAATAAGAAGTTTTTTTGGAAAATCTGCAGAAGGAGTAAAAATAAATAACAAGGAAATTCAAATAGAAATTGCAGATTTATTAAATGATATGGGGGAATTAAGATTTAAATCAAAATATTTCTTCATTAAAAGCTTCTTTTTAGGTACTAAGGGTTGGAATTTCTTTCCAACTTAGAATGAAAAATAGCTATTATAAAGAGTTTCTGAGATGAGACTTGCTATTGAGAAATTGATATAAAAAAGGATTGTAGAGATAGAAATAAAAATGGATGAAAATGAAAATGATATTAAATCTAGAGAGACTGACTTTTTAGATGTACTTATTAAAGAATATCTAAAATCAAAGTAACAAGGTTCTTAAAAAATAACAATTGATGAAATTATATAATAGTTTACCACTTTGTTTTTTGCAGGTACAGATACTACAGCTGTATTAAGTTATCATTGTCTATATTTTTTGGCTTAAAACCCAGAAATACAATAAGAAATAAGAGAAGAAGTTCTAACAATTTGTAAAAATGATAGTGTCTTAGATGACAAAATTAAATAATTGCATAAATTATCAGCATTCATTAATGAAGTTTTAAGAATTAAGAATCCAGCTGTAAGGTTATTGATAAGATAATGCAATCAAACTCATAAAGTAAAGGATCTTACAATTTAAAAAGGTATTCAATTCAATAAAATTTAGGTTGGAATGTGATAATTGATTATTAATTTCAATAATTGTTATCCAAACATTTTTCTAATCCTGAAAAATTTGATTATAAAAGATGGTTAGAAACTGAGCCAATAAAGGAAAATCATCAATTTGTTTATCTACCATTTTCATCAGGACCAAGAAATTGTATTGGACAACACATGGCTTAAATGGAAGCAAAGATTATTTTATCATAAATTCTTAGAAAATTTTAGATCATAATTAATCAAGATGTTAATGTAAGGTGGGCTGCTAGATTTCTATATTAATTATAACCTGAAAATTGTGTTAAATTATAGAAATTATGAATAATTATATTAAAGTATTTAATTATTTCTATAAATATCATTATTCTTTATTGTAATTTCATTATACTATAGTTCTTATTATTTAAAATAAATTTGTTGATTATTAACATAAAAGTATATTTTTACTCATTTTTCAGTATCTAATATGGATTCAAATGCATTTTGAGTTGAATATAGATTAAAACTAAAGGAATATAGATTAAATTAAAGGAATACACAATTAATAAAAATGTTAAATATACTTAAACCAATTACATCTCCAAAATAGATTTGAATATTATCTATACATTTTATAGTGTTATTCAATATTTAATTGTAATATAACGTGAAAATTATTCTAAAATTAATGATTTAAATAATAAATTTATTTAAGCATATTATTGAATGAAGGAAGATTAAATAAATAGAAAGAAATTTTGAAGTAAATATTTCTAATCAATTTGAATTGAACTTAAAAAATTTATCATAGATTAATAATATTATTTAAAATTATATTTAAAATAAAAGGAATAAATTTATACTATTAGAATGAGAGACTAGTTTTTGAATAAGAATAGATAGATATATATATTAATACTTTCCAAAAGAGTTGATTAAGATAGCAAATGCTGAGTAATTTAAAAGAGAAATAATTTACAAATTTTAATTAAAATCATTAATTCTCCATAATGCATTTATTCCTGTTATGATAGTAACAAGAATGTTTAATTTTTTCCTTTATAAATTTCTCAAATTCAATAAAAACTGAAATGCTATCAATCCTCAATTCATAGGATTTAAAAATTAATCATTAAGTATATAAATAAAGAAATTCATCGTAATTTTAAAACTTTGAATCTTTTAGGTAATAAAACAAATGATTTTATCTTATTTTATGACTAATTGTCCATACCTTTTGAAAATTATTATCATCATTTTTATTGAATGCAATAATTATAAATGATTAAAATTATATGATATTTAGATAAATTCTACATAAGGAAAGTTGCCACCTTGACAAATGGAACTTAAATAAAGAAAAATAAAACAAATACAAGAGTTTTGAATTCTAAAAACCCAAAAATTAAGTAATATGTTAATGCTAAATATTAATCATAACAAATACACTTTCATAATCAAAAATTACAAATCTAAAAACTAATCTATTTTTTTTAATCATGTCTAAAATCTTAAATATAAAGAAGTATATTGAACTTTAATTTAGGGTTATGAAAAAAATGAGTTTAAATTGATTTGATATATAGAAATTATTTTAACCTTGATTCATTAGTAAGTGAATGGAGAAGGAACAATAATAATATAAACTATATGATCTACCAATAAAATTTATTAATTAATAGGATTGTTTTACTATAATTAAAATATATCTATGAAGATTTCAGTTTAAACCTGTGTTAATCAGTTGTTATCAAACTTAAAATAAAATATATATAATATACTCAGATGAATAAGGTAATTATATATTTACATCATGATTAAGATTTGATGATTGCAATTTATAAAAGGGAATCATCATATTTAAAATTTGCACAAACGCAATTGATTATAAATATATGATTAAATATTTTATTATAAAATTTATTTTGCTAGGGAAAAACTTTAAAAGATACAATTGAAAATAAATATAAACAATATGATTTATATATGTAAAAGGTATGACATAATCATCTTCAGAAAGAGTTCAAAATTAATCGTACTTCATCGATTGGTTGATTTTTTTATTGATAATACTTGATAAGCATTTCTTAAAATTGCTCTAAACTCTTTGAGGTACATTAAATTTAATATTGGATATTTTCAACATGTACTATTTGATTTAGAAAAGGAGGGGATTTGAATAAAGTAGTTTAACATATTTTTTAACTTATTTTAGTAGAACTAAAAGTCACGAATACCTAAAGCGTAGCTTTATGGTAGATTTTAATTTTATTCACTTGCTCTTCCATTAAGCATCTATCTTTTAACTAATAGTTACCCAACACTTATGTCCTTTGAAATTATGTTATATTAGGATTTAATATCACAATCTTTAAGCATCATGATTTTTATATTATGAGTGGTAATTAAATTAAGTTACTAAAATATCTTAATTATACTTTGTCACTAATGACTTAAATTGTGTTTCTAACTATTTGTATTTTATTTTAAAACAGTTTTAACAAGATTTTATTCTTTAGAGCTGTTTATAAACAATATAATTTTGTTATTTTAGTAATGTTCTAACACTTAATAAGTAATTAAAATGATTTCTGTTGTTAGTCCAATTTAGGTTTAAATATTAAGTAAAAGGTTTCTATGGAGTTTTGCCATTTAAGTGGTAAGAAAATTTGAAAGCTTAGGCTTATATGTGCAACATTTTTATTATTATTTTTTCTTTTTCTATTAAAAAAATTTATTTAGATTTTCTATCATTTATAATTGAATTCAGTAAATTATATGATATAAAAGTAATTAAAACACTTGGAAGCATGTACCTATGTATATATTAGGAGATGGAGAAGAACAAAAAATAAACTGCATCTTTATTCTCAAACTTAAATTACAAATAGAAATTATAAAGAAACTCCATATTTTTGTATTGATTTAGATAATTTATTAAATATTTATATTTTAGCAGTATTCAATCATTAAACAGTGAATGCAAACTTTAGAAAATTATTTTTTTAATAAAAAAAACATTTGATATTAAATATTTTAATTGTTATTTTTCTTCATTTACCAATATAATAGGATAATTAAATATAAAATTATATCAAATAACTTATATTGAATTATTAATAATTGAGTATTTTAAAAGCAGTTTATTTATTAGATTTGGGTTAGTATTCCAAGTATTTATTATGATATAAAATTAAAAATTTTTGAAGCTTAAATGTGTTTTTTAATTTATTCAAGCTCTCTCTGATTCTATTATAGCAATTGAGTGATATTAATTTAAGCACCTAAGTGTTAGTTGAATAAGGAAATAGAGATTGAAATAGATTAATTGAGTTATTATAAGATGTTTTCTTCTAATAAAATAATTTCTGAATTCGATTTCTTTGATACCAAAAAAATCTAATTCATAAATGAGAGTGAGTCCTAGATAATCGATAACATCTAGTTATTGAGAATAAAAAAACAAAACTATTTAATTATATGAGAGTACTTCTTAAATAAAGGGAAGTGCCATAAATTGTATTAGCATTAAGAAGAAGAAATTTGCTCTAATTTCGATTCCATAAGTGATATCATCGAATTTAGAATCTTGCAAGACTTTATCTAATTTTTCAATTTCAGATTTTATTCCTATTTAAATTAAAAATGGGCAAGGAAATTCTTAAGATTTGATTTTANTTAATAAGTAATTAAAATGATTTCTGTTGTTAGTCCAATTTAGGTTTAAATATTAAGTAAAAGGTTTCTATGGAGTTTTGCCATTTAAGTGGTAAGAAAATTTGAAAGCTTAGGCTTATATGTGCAACATTTTTATTATTATTTTTTCTTTTTCTATTAAAAAAATTTATTTAGATTTTCTATCATTTATAATTGAATTCAGTAAATTATATGATATAAAAGTAATTAAAACACTTGGAAGCATGTACCTATGTATATATTAGGAGATGGAGAAGAACAAAAAATAAACTGCATCTTTATTCTCAAACTTAAATTACAAATAGAAATTATAAAGAAACTCCATATTTTTGTATTGATTTAGATAATTTATTAAATATTTATATTTTAGCAGTATTCAATCATTAAACAGTGAATGCAAACTTTAGAAAATTATTTTTTTAATAAAAAAAACATTTGATATTAAATATTTTAATTGTTATTTTTCTTCATTTACCAATATAATAGGATAATTAAATATAAAATTATATCAAATAACTTATATTGAATTATTAATAATTGAGTATTTTAAAAGCAGTTTATTTATTAGATTTGGGTTAGTATTCCAAGTATTTATTATGATATAAAATTAAAAATTTTTGAAGCTTAAATGTGTTTTTTAATTTATTCAAGCTCTCTCTGATTCTATTATAGCAATTGAGTGATATTAATTTAAGCACCTAAGTGTTAGTTGAATAAGGAAATAGAGATTGAAATAGATTAATTGAGTTATTATAAGATGTTTTCTTCTAATAAAATAATTTCTGAATTCGATTTCTTTGATACCAAAAAAATCTAATTCATAAATGAGAGTGAGTCCTAGATAATCGATAACATCTAGTTATTGAGAATAAAAAAACAAAACTATTTAATTATATGAGAGTACTTCTTAAATAAAGGGAAGTGCCATAAATTGTATTAGCATTAAGAAGAAGAAATTTGCTCTAATTTCGATTCCATAAGTGATATCATCGAATTTAGAATCTTGCAAGACTTTATCTAATTTTTCAATTTCAGATTTTATTCCTATTTAAATTAAAAATGGGCAAGGAAATTCTTAAGATTTGATTTTACATGAATTAAGAAATTAAAAAGAAAATAAAATTACAACCTAAATTGGACCTCTTGATTTTTAATATATAAAAGATGCAATTTGATAGAGTTTATGAATGGTTTTAAAATTATTCAAACTTTAAAGTTTCTTAACTATTAAAATTAAATTTTCACTTAATAATGAATTTGAAGATAAAATTATATAATAGTGAAATCCATAATATTGTTTGAAAATATAAAATAAAATCATTTTTTCTTATTTACTTATATAGTAGTATTAAGTTTGGTAAGTTGTCCATCTTAATTTTCATTATCCTATAAATTTAATTTGTTGTTCTTGTTTTCTTCAACACATTAAAAGCAGATGAATTTCAATTCAGAAATAATTTTGAGTTCTTTATCACTTCTATCACTACAACTATAATGAACCCATTGATTACATTAATTGCATTGAATATAGTGTTCTCTTGGATTGTATAATTTTTTGCAGAAACAATATGTAATCCATTCACTTATAGGAGGATTAAACTTTTATTCTTATGTATTATATTCTGCTCTTGTATAATATTCATCATTTAACTCTATAGTCAATATATTATATTCATCTATTGGTTTGACTTATATTTTTTATAAGAATGTAGTAGATATAAACCATTCTGTTTGGTCAGTTAAAAAAAGATCTTTGGAAGTACATTCATTCAGCTTAGGGAAATCTTATTTGTAATTTTAAACATCTTAGGCTCTGTAATAAATATGACCTTTTATAAATGCTGCCCATTCATTGTTGATCCTTATTTTAATCATATCAGTTATTTTTACATAGTAGTGTCTATTGCCAACCTAAAATTCTGCATTTTCAGTTGGTGCCAATTTTTATAATGAGTGTGTTAGCATATATTAACATTCTACTAAAAGTTCAGTATTTCTAAAGTAGGAGATGAAGGTTTCAAACTATTTGATTAAATCTCTTATTGATTACATGTTGTTCTTCAAGACTCTTCATTATAATTGCTTTATCTTCTTTTGTAAATTTAACATATTTCATTTATTCATTTTCTTATTACATTTAATTATAATAATGATAAAACAAAATTATAGGTATATATATATAATCATTTTCTACTATTCTGATTACTTGATGGAATATAAGCAGAAGATCTTCTAGCTGCGATAACTCTTTATGCTGGTGTTCTCTCTTCATCAAAATGAGAATTTCTTTATTTTATGATGATTGTAGTTCTATCTTTTCCAGAATTTCTTATTTCTTATTTTTCTTCAAGAATTGGCATCAATTTAATCATCTTTGGATTTAACACACTTTATCTCTTACTAAAATTATTATTATATAATATTTACGATCTATCAATATCTGGATGTAATGGTTACATTCTTTTAGGTGGACTACTTTTAGGTCTCTGAAAATCTCTGAATACAGGTATACCATCATCTCCATATTCCACTTCCATTATTTTAGATTCAAGTATTTCTCTACAAGATGGTCTATCTTATGGATTTAGAGATAACATCTTTTGCAAAAGTATACTTAATGAATGACTTTAATTAAGATCCTTTTCTAATTAAGCAAAATCAATCTTCATTTCCATATTTGTCTATTTAACTGGTTATCCAAAGAGTGGATGACCAATAAGAATATAATAGAGGATGCAACCTAAAGAAAAGATATCACATTTCTCATCATATGTTTAATTGTTATCATTTTCTGTCAAAAATACTTCTGGTGCCATGTAACCAGGAGTACCACAATATTAATATACAGCCATTCTTTATTTTTTTGGAGTGGCTATACCAAAATCACTGATCATTATATTATTACCAACATTTATAAGACCATATCTTTTAAGAGGAATGAAATCTCTAAAAAGTATATTATCTGGTTTCAAATCTCTATGAATTATGCCCTAATCATGAATCTTTTGCACTTAAAAATGGAACTGGGGCATTCATAACTTTCAATGCATATTCAAGTGTTCCTCCTCTTGCTAAATCCAATATTAAATAAATTTGAGCTTTACTTTCAAAAACTTCATGTAAATTGATCAAATTTGGATGATTGAGTTTACGCATTACATTAATTTCATTTTCTATTTAATCCCTTCCTTTTGGATCTTGAAATACTTATTTTTTATAAAATGCTTTTGCTGCATAAAATTACTGATCATTCTTCCCTTTGGCTTCATAAACAGATGCAAATGATCCTTTACCAATTAACTTATTAATTTCATAATGTGTTTGATAATCTAACATGTGTAATTTATTTCTTAGGTAATCAAACCAATACATAGTTTAGAAATTGAAATTGTAAAATTCAACAGAATTACAATCATCCCTTTCAAGAGTAAATTTGTATATTTGTGTATGAAATTCATCACCTTTCATTTATTTATGTATTTGTTTTGAAGTTTATTCAGCTTTGACAGAAAATCTTACTTCATAATTGAGTTTAAGAATATAAACTTTAGTATTATTACCACTTATTTTATAAATGAAATCATCACTGCATAAAAGTAAAGTGACTTATTTATGATTACTCATCTTGAAAAATTAAGTTTTAAAAAGGATATTATCCTATGGAATGGATTCATCATATTTTATAAATAGCTTAGTTAATTGTTGTTATAACATATTAATATAAATTATTCATAATCAAGTCATAGTGATTCTTTTGCTTACAATTATACTTTTTATAATTTATAAACTTATCTATTTAAAGCTGATTTTTAAATTAAGAAACCTAATTTTGCATAAAATCTTAATAAATGAGAACATTATTCACCACATTATCTTTAATGATTTTATCTCAATTTTGTTAAATATTCATTAAATTCTTCTTATTTTAATTCTTCTCCATCTCCTTTATTAAAGAATTTTTTGATTTAATTAACAGCCTCTTAAAATTATGGATCATTTTTGCCTTTACCTTATTAAAGTTTCTTAAATGCTTCTTTATCTAATTCATTAAAATCAGGTTTATCAATAATAATTTAAGTATTCTATTTTTTCTATTAAAATTACTCTTAAGTTTATGTAAATAATGGCATCTAACCTTCAGTTTATATTCCTATATCTATAACAATAACAGATTATATTTCTGCACGTGGTAATCTTTTTTATGATTATCTAATTTATTTTAATTCAGGATTAAATCCATCATTTTCTACTACTTCAAATTCTTAAATAATCTCTTCTCCTAAAGCATTAATTCTCTTTTTAATTAAAATCCTTTATCCAAATTCATCAACTCTATCTTCTTCAACTATCTTTTCATTATTTTCATCAAAATATGATCTTTAATGTATATGTCTTTTAGCACCATTAGATAAATTAATTGTTTATTATTAATATTCAACAGAATTCTTAGTAAAATTTGTTGTCTATATTTTCATATTATTTTCATGATCAACCATATGAATAGATTCTTATCCTTATTCATCAACTATAACTTTCTATTCAATTGTCTTACCATTTTTAGTTATTCTTTCAATTCTTTCATTAGGTCCTATTTAAATAATTATTTATTTTCCTATTTCTAATCCATCTAAAGTTATAGTAGTTTCAATAGTTTATTTACCATCTTCATTTTTAAAAGTCTTTTACATTTATACTTCTTTAGTTCTCATATTCATTTTTCTTTAACATTCAACTTATAATCCCTTTTCATTTATATATGTATATTTAGTAACTTAAATTTCATCTCCAAATTCATCATTATAAACAGCTTCTGTTTTATCTTTGTATTATTTCATTACAATACTAGATCTCCTTCCATTTGGATGAATAGTTATTTCATCAATTTTCTTACTTTAATCATCACCATTAACATATATCTTTCTCATAATTTTGAGTCCTCCTTATTTAATTTCTTCTTCATGTTAATACATTTCACCATTATCATCTTTTAACACTTATTTTGTAATTGATTCCACAATTTCATGTTAACTATTTCTCTTAATAATTTTTATAGTATCTTATCCATATTTTTATTTCTCTAAAATTCTCATTACACTACCATTCTCAGTTGTCCTCTCTTCTATTATAGATTCTTTATGATCTAATCTTTTTGCTGACAATCTAATTCCTACTGATTCACCTTTATCTTCATATAACAATTATCCATTCTATTAATATACTTTATATTAATGTTTTCCATCTGCTTATTATGCAATCCACTCCTCTTCTAATTATTTATTTCCATCTACAGATTTAACTCTAACAATCTTTTTAGTCTATGCTGTATTAACTTCATATTAAGTAACATCATCTGATTTTTAAACAATCTTCACTTTCTAATTTCCATATTTAGCAACAATCCATTCATTTTCATCTATTGTTTATTCCTTTGATTTTATCTATTTAATTAATTCTTCTTATTCCAACATAATTTCTTATTAAGGATCACTTTATCTGGCTCTAGTTTTCATTACTTCCCCACTTTCTACATCTACAACTACCTCTTCTATTACTTATTATCCATTAATTTCCTTAACTCTAAATTCTATTCTTTTATTTTAAAGTAATTCTGGATCAAATTCAGGATCATATTCAATAATTCCTGCCTCTATTGCCTTTCTCTTATGTTCTTACAATTAAACTTACTTAATTATATCACTCAAAGGAGGAAGATTCTCCTTTAATTCATTTGATTTAAATTCTTTAGTTGTTTCAATCTAAATTATTTTTTATTATAACACTTAAGTAACATGTTATAAAGATTATTATGCAAAATATTTCACTTTTAATGCAGGAGTATCTGAATTTACATCTTAAAATATCTCAGTTTATTTTTGACATGCTTTTATTCCTTCCTCTATAATCTATTTTATATTATCATATTAAGAATGTAAGTAAAAGTAATTTACAAAATGGTTTCGTAATTCTGATATAGATTATAGTGAAAATTTAGATGTAAGAGTTTCAGTTTACGTTTCTGCATCAAAAGTATCTGGTTTATTTATTATTGGATTTTAATTTTAATTATTATTTGAATTTTGTAACAATTCATCTAATTCAACCTAACATGCTTTTGATGTCTTATAAACAAATTATTCATCATCATCTGATAATTTTCTAATCTTTCTTTCCAATACTATATGTTCCATTTTTGAATTCAATTCTACTCCATCTCTTTTCAATTAATCCAAGTATTTCTTATAATTTGCTTATTTAGAATCTTATTTTTAAGGCATTTTACGATAATTATCACACAATGAACAATTGATCAATCTTAAAGATCTTCTTCTTTAAGCTCTCTATTAAAATAACTTTCTTGTCACTTCATCAAAATCATTATCTTTAAGACATTTAATTAATTATGTAATCAATTAAAAAACTTTAATAGTCTAACCTCTAAACTCCTCTCTTATATATGGTACTATTGATTAAATTACAATCCAAGATATAGTATGGACTGAATGAAATACATGTTATAATTTATCTTATTCTATCTTTAGAACATCATCACTCAATTTCTTAAGAATTACATCCAATTTATGTGCCAATTCTTTCTCCATTTTTTTATAATTTTAATAATAATTATATTTTTTTTATTGTATCAAAATTGTTTAGGCAATAGATACTTCGGTACATCATTAAATTTTGGTGGAATATTGTACGCACCTGGACCAGGAATGAGGTCCTTCTTTGTCAAGCCTTAACGAATGTCTTTAGAGAATCCCCATTAAGGACCTTCGAGAGATGATTTAACTGAATATTGTCCAGGTCCTGGAAAATATTACGTTAATAATTATTTTGTTTTATGTTCTGGCACTATTTTCACTGAACCATCCTTATGTTTACATACTGAATCATCTGGATTATACTAACCTGGTCCTGGAATGAATGAAGAATTATTAGGATTATACTTTGATCCCTTCATTGAGACCATCTAAGTATTCTAATTCTTCGGCATCGAATACTATCCAGGACCAGGAGTAATTGTAACTGAATCATTGAGATCCTTCCTCAATGCTTATGGCATTTTGAAAGATGGAGCTGACTTCTATAATGAGCTGAGACTATCTAATCTCCTAAACATTATTTAATCATTTACTCTCTATAATATTATCCAGGTCCAGGGACTAATTTATCCATAGGATTTTATGAATTTCTTAATTCAGAACCTATCTTATAAGAAGGATAATGAGATTTTATTGTTGAAATATCCTAATCATATGCTCCAGGACCAGGCTGAAAAGAGCTATAATCTTTAGTCTATAATTTCTATTTTATAGTAAAGTTCTTAGATAAATTGAGTAGACTCTTTAAATGATAAGCTCCAGGTCCTGGTTATAAATCTTGCTTCCTCATTTCTGGAGATCTCTAAGATGTTCCTATAACCCATGAAGGTTATGACTTCTCTAATAATAACTTTGCTGCCTTGTCAATATTGTATTCTAATAATAATTATTCTAACTTACATCCAGGTCCAGGAGACATTCCACCTTCTAAAGATGTCAATCTTGGTTAAGTTGGAAATTTAATTGAATTATTAGAGATATAGGAACTATTCAAATCATATTGTCCAGGACCAGGCACCAAATCCTTTTATGAAGTATGATGTTTGAGACCCAAAGTATACATTGGCTACTTTTTATAAACAGAAGTGAAGCTTTCATCATTATAGTTTCCTGGTCCTGGAGATAATGAGGCTTATTTAAATTCATGTTTTCCACTCATTGTGTATTTTGGTCCTTCTACAATTTTAGATTGATATCCATATTATCCTGGTCCAGGTCCTATTGATGTTGATCTACCTGCCCTTTAAGCTGCCCCACCGATACTACTGTTATAAGTTTTGCTTACGTCCATTGAGGTGCTTGTTGCTTGGAAACTAATTTTGGAAGATATGCATTAGGAGCAGGTGCAAATGTTTTGAGAGCAGGATCTGATCTTTTGGCTTAACCTATTGAATAAACCATTCTTAATTAATAAAATTAATCCTCAATTATATCAATAATTTTCAATGTCATTTTGGGTCTTCTCCAAAATATTCACACATTCATCAATCCAATCTCTAACTTCTTAATTGTTTACATTTTGGTATAAAGTTAACAATTTATCTTATATATTGTGTACATTTAATTGATTCATCATATATACTTATGATTTAATCTTATCATCTCCTGGAATTTAAAGTGATGCTGTATAATATTCAATGGATTGCAATAAGATCCATAAAGATTTCAATGTATATATAAGAATATCATTATTTAGATATTCCAAAATGCGTGATATTAAACTTAAAATCTTATTATTAATGAAAGTTTAATTCATTTCAATCTTTTCATATTATAACATACTGTAAATTAAGTTGATTCCATTTAAAATTTATTATTGTTCAGTCTAAATTGTTATAGATATGATCTTTTCTATCACATAAGGCATCTTAGATAATTGAATTGCAAAACTCTCATTCAGATTACATAAATTAGTTAATGATATCATTGATTTCAATCTATATTCCTTTTCATAAGAAGATAAATATGTAACATAAATATCCATTAAATTATATTTATTGTCCAACTTCTTAACTTAATCATAATCATTCATAGTGCTCAATGCAAAAATTATTTCCAAGGAAGTCGAATGAAGATGTATTAAATCTTATTTTTAAGATACTATCTCAATAATTTTAGGAAATGAATTCAAACTAATTATCATTGGTATTGCATCTATTTAATATTGACTTATATTTCTTAATGCACTTAAACTATGAATAAAGTTTTCAACGTCATTTGATTATAACTATTTATCCAGTATTTATAATGATAATTCTAATTCTTCTTTATTTAGAAATTCTCTATTTCCTGTTAGAGTATCTAATACCCAAACAACTGTATTCAAATGCATTGATACTTATAACAAATGTTTTAAACCAAAATGTTATTTGAATTTTTGAACCAATATTTATTAATCATAAAATGCATTCCCTAAAGCATATAAACACTAAAATTTAAGTTCAATCATACTGAATCAACTAAAGAAGCATTCTTTGAAATTAGCAATCTCCCAAAATTCTTAGTTATCACATCACTCAATACATTCAACATAGGCAAGTATGAAGAAAAGTATAATCGTTAATTTTTATCCATTATACCAAAAAAATTAGCTAAAATTGTAGCTCCTTCCACTTATAATTAAGAAGCATGATCGAATTGCTCATTCAATAGAACAAGAATATATCTACATCACACTAATCTTTTACTCGATAAAATCATTCTTAAACAAACAAAGAGCAAATGCTTCACCTCGTTAATCCAAATTCTGTAATTTTCTTAATCTCTTTAAATTGTTCAACATCTTTTCAAAATCATCTGGTAATCTATTTCTGTAGATATCAATACACTCTTTCATCAATTCTGTAATGTACTAATCTAATTACTAATTTTAATTAAATTTCTTACTTCAGGATTTAATTAGATGTGTTCTGGTGTTTCATTTTATTTTTATATTATTCTTTTTGATTTAAAGATCTCTTCTCTCTTCTCCTTTCGAAGTTATATATGAAACAATTCTTTTTTATTTTACAGCAATAAATTAGTTGAGGTATTTTAATTTGTTTACATTTAATTATTATTAAATTCTCATCAAACAATATATGAGTATTTTCAAATTAAGTTTCCAACTAAAATTTTATCAATTACTCTTAAATTATCAATGTTTTGAGTAAAATTTACATATTTATGAAAATAAAATTTTCATTTTTTTAATTTTTTATGGGTTGTTGCTCTAGTTAAAGGCATAGCTAAAGAAAAAAAACATATTTTACAACTAATATTAGAACCTTTTATAGATTTGGAGCTGTAATAGGTAAGGGAACTTTTGGGACAGTAAAGGTAGGATATAAAGATGGGCCTGATGGAGAATAAATGTATGCCATAAAGACCATAAATAAGGTTAGAGTAGCTGATAAAACATAAATGATTTAAGAAGAATTTGAAATACTGAGGAAAATGGATCATCCTAATATTGTTAGATTCTATGAAATGTATGAAGATGATATGTTTATTTATTTTGTTATGGAACATTGTAAAGGTGGTAATTTACTTGAAAGAGTGTTATCAAAAGGTACATAAATTTGAAAAATTATTTATAGGCAGTTTTGATGAAGATAAAGCAAGTATTGTAATGAGGAAACTATTTTCAGCAATAGCCTATTTGCATAGTTAAGGTGTTATGCATAGAGATTTGAAACCTGAAAATATATTATTTTCAAATGAAAAAGATGACGCAGAGATTAAAATAATAGATTTTGGTTTAAGCAAAAAATTGAAAGAAACAGATAAAGACAGAAAATAACATTTATTAAGAAAGCAAAGTTAAGTTGGAACTCCATTATATATAGCACCTGAAGTAGTAACTGGAATGTAATATAATTATTATATAAATTAAGTTATAACTAAAAGTGTGATGATTGGGCTGTTGGATGTATTATGTACATTATATTATGCTCTGAACCACCTTTCTATTCAGATTAATTATAGGAATTACTATAAAAGATACAGTTTAAACCATTAATATTTCCATAGGAGGAATGGAAATACATAAGTTAGGATTGTAAGAAGATAGTTTAAGGGTTGCTTCAAAAAGATCCTCAAAAACGATTGACTTGTTCTGAAGCTATCAATAGTGATTGGGCCAAAAAGGCATTTCGAAAACCATTATAAATATAAATCAATTAAATTAAAGGTAATAATATAGTTCATTCAAATGATTGTACACCTGTCAATACTTCTAATATCAAGGGATTGAAAAAATATGCTAAGAGTAAATAATTCAAAAGAGAAGTACTCAGAATACTGATAAATTAATTAAATGATAAATAAATTGATAAATTAAGTCAAAAATTTAAGGAATTAGATAAAGATGAAGATGGATTTATTACACCATAAGAATTATCTTAAATAATGACTAAATTAGGTTTTGAAACTACAAAAAATGAAATTGAATAATTAATTCATAATATGAATCCTGAAGAGTAATAAAGCTTATAGATAAAATATTCGTAGTTTTTAGCTGCTACTTTGGATTTGAAATAATATTTGAATAAGGAAAGATTATGGAGTTTATTTCGTTATTTTGATGTTTAAGATAAGAAATATATAACTAAGGAGGATATTTAGGAAGCATTAAAAAGAGAAGGAAGAGTAGAGATAGCTTCAGACAAAATATTATCTGATTTGATGATGCATGATGGGAAAATGACTTATAAAGATTTTTGTTAGTTGATGCATGATGATATGGAAAGTGATTAATTTTTTGAATATTTCGAAAAATTGCATGCTTCTCCTGAAAAGTACAGAGGTGTAAGCAAAATTTGATACTTATATATATATAATTAGTTATCTCTATTTATTTATTTAGTTTAATTTATATAATTATTTTTACTTTTCATAAAAATTGAAAGAGAATACTTAGGATGCCATACAATTATTATAATTTTTATCTTCTCATTCACTGCTTATATTTTTTTTTAATGTAACATACTTTTGATCATTTCCTAGTTTATTTTGTATATTTAAGAAGAACAAATAGAAAATAAAATGTTGAACAATTTAATTAAGATTTTATATAACTATTATTTGACAAGAATTAAAATTATTATCACAATTTTTTTAAAATCATCATGATTTACTTAATTTATATGGAAATTATTAAATAATTTTGATAACAAAAACAAGAAAAGAAATAAATAAAATATCAGAATAAAGAGAAATAAATATCTTTAAATCAGAGGTGATAATGGAAATAATCTACATCTATTTCTTAATAACAGATCTTTAATTAATTATATCAAATTTAACTTATATTAGAAAAATCCAATATTTTTAAGTTAATCACTTTAGATCCTTCCATCTTTAAGTTAAAATTAATAAGAATATTTAGAGTATATTGAAATAGGAATAATGAAATATTTGTATTTTAATTTTAATGAATTAAACATAAACTAACTTATCTTAAGTTAGATAAAAAGAAAAAGTGTCACTGAATGATGGATTACCAAAAATAGACCCTAGAACTGTAATTGAAGAACTTAAAAGTCATTTGTATTCAGATGACAATTTTAAAAAGTGTTAATTATTATTGATATAGATTATTTTCTGATGCAGAAGATAAGAAATACAGAGAAAATTTTTAATTGTTTGATAGAGATAATGATGAAAGAATTAATTTCACAGAATTATAAGAACTATTGACTTCAATTGGTTATGTATATGATGAATAAGAATTGAGTGAATTGTATAAAGAGCTTGAAGATTCAGAAGGTCAAGGTATCAGATCAGATGCTTTGTTCATTCTTGTAAGCAAGAAAAAGAGAGAATAAGATAGAGAAGAATAATTAATAGAAGGTACAACTCAAATATTATTAAAATAGCCTTTAAATCAGTAGATTTAGAAAACACAGGGTATATTTAAAGTGAATACTTTAAAGAATTATTAATGACAATGGGATATAGATTTACAGAAGATGAAGCAGATGAGTATATGAAATTTATTGATCCTAAAAATGAAGGGAAATTCCTTTACATTGATATTGTTAAGAAAATACTTAAATGAATTATTATACATCTATAATAAACTCATTTAAAAGTTGAAAAAAGACTTATTGGCAATAATGATAGAATTCAAAATAGTAACATTAATTTATAACTATCCTTCATCTATGCAGTTTATTTATTATTTCTACATTAAAAATTATCTAATACACTTAAAATATATAATATTCAAATTGTAAGGTTGTTGGTGGACAATCTTTGATTTTTGGATCACAATCAGATTCTAAAAATTTACATGTTTTTTTCAGATGCTTATATTAATCATTTTATTTTTTAAACAAACTTGAATTCTTCGTTCATTTATATAAATTAATCATCTTTTTATTTGATATCAATTTATATTTCATTTTAGTGTCTTTTTGGATCATACATACCATCTTTTTAGCATTAATTTTAGCTCTATTAAAGTTGTCTTTTATTATTTCTCTTTTATAGAGTTATTAAAAAATTTAGTACTAATCAATTTATTTAATTAACTAAAAATAATTAATTTTGGTAATCAGTATATATTTCTCATCAATAATTATCAAATGAGAATGAATTGGCTATTCAAAATAAATTGCAATTTTACAATATTTTCATATTCAATCTTTAGTTGATATTATATTATCATTTATTATGATGAATAATATTGAACAAGTATGAATTTTAAAAGAAATAAATACTTACAGAACAAAAAATAACGTACTCATTTTTATACTTTTTATTAATCCCATTCATTTAAAATTAATTTTTTATTTATTAAGTATAAGTTCATTACTAGTATTCATTGAACGTTGAATATTTAGATGTATAAATATTATCATTATTAACACATTTAGTATAACATATGAATTTTGATCAGAATTGATAATTTTAATGATGAAATATAAAATATTGATTTATATTCAAACTGTGATCATTTGTGATCCTTCATGATATAATTAGTTATTTTTTTACAAACGTTTTATGTTAATTATATTAAATCATGATGCAAAAATTATTTCCAATTATTAATTTCTTTATAAGTGACATATTAAATGTATGTAATTAATACAATCCAATTTAAATATCTTGATTTGATTGATCTTCAAATCAATCATTTTAATTATTCAATCTTAATGTCCTATCCTGTGAAAAACTCAGATATTGAAGGCCAGCATATTCTATACCAAGTTACACCTGTACAACTTAGCAAAATTAGACTTCTTTTGGCAGTAATTATAAAATAAAGATAGTTAGGTTGTGTTCTCAATTTGTTCTGCATTTATTTTTGCCTTAGCCCTAAGGTATTCCAGAAAATTTTACAATGCCTTTCTCTTTACTTAATGTCAGGATGAATCAGTCGCTACTCATTACTAAATTGAAACAGTTTCTGGAGAATAATTTGTTTGTGCCAAAAAATTCATTGATAATAAACCCCATTTTATCTTTAGGTATATAAACTAACTATTCAAGAATGCTTAAATACAGATTTAATGAATAAATTAAAAGTTACGAACCCATTGAATTTGATGCAAAAGAAAAAGTCATTTCTGAAATTGTATAATCCAGAAATACACTTTCAAGAGAACTTAAAATTTAATATTTTGGAACATGTTAACTTAAAATACCAATAGAATCAATATTCATATATTCATTACATGCATTTACAGGTCCATTCAATATTTTATAATATTTTGCTGTTGCCATTTGGTTTGCAGAGAAAACAGTACTTTAACCAGTTCTGATCTTGATTTTCACAGTATTAACAGTCTATCTGAATTACTTTTTATATGTAAGATCAAGAAGAAGACTATAATAATTGGCAAATATACATTAAGACGTAACAATTAAAGAAGCAGATTAATTTAAACTTATCAATGGAGCTGATCTTGTACCAGGTGATTTACTTATACTTAAAGAAAATTAAACATTAAATTGTGATTGTGCTATTATATCTGGTGATGTTATTGTTAATGAAGCTACTTTAACAGGTGAAGGTATTCCTATTCCAAAAAGTGCATTACCAAATCAAAATTCTATATTTGAACTTGAAAAAATGTCTTAACATTGTTTATTTGAAGGAACTAAATTGATTTAAGTTAATAATACCTAAGAAAATATTGCTATTGTACTTAGAACAGGTTTTACATCTTTAAGAGGATAATATTTTAGAAATGTACTTTTCCCTGAACCTCCATCAATGAGATTTTATATCTAAGCTGCAAAATTCATTCTTGAAATAGCATTTATTATTGCTGTTGTATATGGATTCCTTTTGATTGAATATTTACCAATGGAATTCAAATCAAGTATTTTAGTTTTAAGATTCTTGGATAATATTGTTTGGTCAATTCCACCATCAATGCCTATTTTCTTTTAAATTTGTAAAACTGCTAGTTTGGTTAGACTTGAAGCCAAAGGAGTTATTGGAAATAATGCTGATAAAGTAGAATCAGCTGGGAGAATAGATACTTGTTGTTTTGATAAAACAGGTACACTTACTACTTTGGGATTTAAAGCAATTAAAGCATTTCCAGAAGAAGAAAAACCAATTTTGGATGCCATAATGGGATGTTGTCATCATTTAATAAAATTAAATGGTTAATTATTAGGAGATCCTTTAGAAATTGAAATGCTTAATTTTGTTGGTTGGTAATGTAATTTTCATAATAATCCTGTAACTATTGAGGGAAATGGAAAAATCTATACAATTCATAAAATATTTGACTTTAGTTCATAAAAATCTATGATGAGTGTTATTGTAACTGATGGATCTAAATATTATTTATATGTAAAAGGTTCTNATTTTGGAACATGTTAACTTAAAATACCAATAGAATCAATATTCATATATTCATTACATGCATTTACAGGTCCATTCAATATTTTATAATATTTTGCTGTTGCCATTTGGTTTGCAGAGAAAACAGTACTTTAACCAGTTCTGATCTTGATTTTCACAGTATTAACAGTCTATCTGAATTACTTTTTATATGTAAGATCAAGAAGAAGACTATAATAATTGGCAAATATACATTAAGACGTAACAATTAAAGAAGCAGATTAATTTAAACTTATCAATGGAGCTGATCTTGTACCAGGTGATTTACTTATACTTAAAGAAAATTAAACATTAAATTGTGATTGTGCTATTATATCTGGTGATGTTATTGTTAATGAAGCTACTTTAACAGGTGAAGGTATTCCTATTCCAAAAAGTGCATTACCAAATCAAAATTCTATATTTGAACTTGAAAAAATGTCTTAACATTGTTTATTTGAAGGAACTAAATTGATTTAAGTTAATAATACCTAAGAAAATATTGCTATTGTACTTAGAACAGGTTTTACATCTTTAAGAGGATAATATTTTAGAAATGTACTTTTCCCTGAACCTCCTTCAATGAGATTTTATATCTAAGCTGCAAAATTCATTCATTGAAATAGCATTTATTATTTCTATTGTATATGGATTCCTTTTGATTGAATATTTACCAATGGAATTCAAATCAAGTATTTTAGTTTTAAGATTCTTGGATAATATTGTTTGGTCAATTCCACCATCAATGCCTATTTTCTTTTAAATTTGTAAAACTGCTAGTTTGGTTAGACTTGAAGCCAAAGGAGTTATTGGAAATAATGCTGATAAAGTAGAATCAGCTGGGAGAATAGATACTTGTTGTTTTGATAAAACAGGTACACTTACTACTTTGGGATTTAAAGCAATTAAAGCATTTCCAGAAGAAGAAAAACCAATTTTGGATGCCATAATGGGATGTTGTCATCATTTAATAAAATTAAATGGTTAATTATTAGGAGATCCTTTAGAAATTGAAATGCTTAATTTTGTTGGTTGGTAATGTAATTTTCATAATAATCCTGTAACTATTGAGGGAAATGGAAAAATCTATACAATTCATAAAATATTTGACTTTAGTTCATAAAAATCTATGATGAGTGTTATTGTAACTGATGGATCTAAATATTATTTATATGTAAAAGGTTCTCCTGAATCAATTAATTCAATTTCAATTAAGAAAAGAGATGATTTAATTGAAGAATTTAATTTGAATGCTATAAAAGGATATAGAGTTTTAGGATTAGCATATAAAGAATTATAATAAAATTAGATTGATTAATAAAGAGAATAATTAGAATAATAATTAAATTTTGTTGGACTTTTAGTTATGGAAAATCCATTGAAATCAGATACATTTGATATTATTACAACTTTAAAAGAAACAGGATTAGATATAAAAGTAATATCAGGTGATAATCCATTAACAACTATTTAATGTGCAAAATTAGCTGGTATTGTTAATTAAGATAATGAAATTACATTTTTAGATTATAATTAATCCAATTAAGAAATTATACTTTAATGTAATAACAATCAATAAATTATAAAAGAATCATAACCTAATAGTATTTAAGAATTAGAATAATTTTTAAGTACTCAATAAGAATTAGCATTAACAGGTAAGTTTTTAGAATATATGTTTAATAAAGGTAATTTTTTAATTGAATCTAAAAATTCATAAAATAGTTTTGGTAAATAATAAAGTAAAGAAAAGATATTTACTGAAATTAATTAAATTGATATTGATGATGGATCTTTTGCATAAATTGCAATTTCTATTATTAAAAAAACTAAAGTATTTGCTCGTTAAAAACCTGAATAAAAGAAATTAATTATACAAATAATATAAAGTTTTGGAAGATAAGTATTAATGTGTGGAGATGGAGCTAATGATTGTGTAATTATTTTAATTATATTTAATTTTAGTCAGCTATTTCATAAGCATAAGTTGGAATATCATTTAGTGAAGCTGATGCATCATATACAGCACCTTTTAGTAGTAAATCTACATCATTAGATTGTGTTGTTAAAGTATTATTATAAGGCAAAGCAGCTACTATGACTATTATTGAAGTGTTTTAATATTAAATTAGTGTTAATACATTAAAATTCATAGCTGTACTTTTTACATTTTTAGAAGCTGAAACATTTGCAGATTTTTAATTTACTTATACATCTATTATATCAAATATTCCTTTATTGATATTTTTATGTTTATCTGGTCCATGTGATACTTTAGCTAAATATAATCCATTAGATGATTAATTTGCTATTTATAATTAAATTTAAATTTATAATAATTTAATTTGGGGAGCAGCAGGGTATTATAATAAATTAGTATTTTTAGATTGATTGTTAATTTTTTTATTTCATAAGCTGTTAGAGATGTTCATACATGTGAAATAGATGAACCAATTATTAATTGTATACCAAAACCAATTGATGAATTAAAGAAATCTGGAGATATACAATCTGTAATGTTTATGAGTTTAATGTTCTTCTTTATGACATTTGCAATCAATCTTTACATTTCCAATCCTTTCAAATAAAGATATTTTAGAAACTATTTATTACTCTTATGGACATTATTAGGTTTCATTTTATTCTTTGTTTCAGCTATATTTCCAAAAGGAGGAAAATGGGCAAAATTGATTAATGTCAATGATAATGCGTAATCATATTTTATTTATATTTCTAGTTTCTAAGGTTATAATTGGATAATGATAGCCGTTGTTGTAATAGCCTCCTTATTAGGATTCATTACCTAAACTATTTTATAGAAATATCTTCCTTCAAAAAAGAAAATAGAATTTTGAATTATTANTTAATAAAGGTAATTTTTTAATTGAATCTAAAAATTCATAAAATAGTTTTGGTAAATAATAAAGTAAAGAAAAGATATTTACTGAAATTAATTAAATTGATATTGATGATGGATCTTTTGCATAAATTGCAATTTCTATTATTAAAAAAACTAAAGTATTTGCTCGTTAAAAACCTGAATAAAAGAAATTAATTATACAAATAATATAAAGTTTTGGAAGATAAGTATTAATGTGTGGAGATGGAGCTAATGATTGTGTAATTATTTTAATTATATTTAATTTTAGTCAGCTATTTCATAAGCATAAGTTGGAATATCATTTAGTGAAGCTGATGCATCATATACAGCACCTTTTAGTAGTAAATCTACATCATTAGATTGTGTTGTTAAAGTATTATTATAAGGCAAAGCAGCTACTATGACTATTATTGAAGTGTTTTAATATTAAATTAGTGTTAATACATTAAAATTCATAGCTGTACTTTTTACATTTTTAGAAGCTGAAACATTTGCAGATTTTTAATTTACTTATACATCTATTATATCAAATATTCCTTTATTGATATTTTTATGTTTATCTGGTCCATGTGATACTTTAGCTAAATATAATCCATTAGATGATTAATTTGCTATTTATAATTAAATTTAAATTTATAATAATTTAATTTGGGGAGCAGCAGGGTATTATAATAAATTATTATTTTTAGATTGATTGTTAATTTTTTTATTTCATAAGCAGTTAGAGATGTTCATACATGTGAAATAGATGAACCAATTATTAATTGTATACCAAAACCAATTGATGAATTAAAGAAATCTGGAGATATACAATCTGTAATGTTTATGAGTTTAATGTTCTTCTTTATGACATTTGCAATCAATCTTTACATTTCCAATCCTTTCAAATAAAGATATTTTAGAAACTATTTATTACTCTTATGGACATTATTAGGTTTCATTTTATTCTTTGTTTCAGCTATATTTCCAAAAGGAGGAAAATGGGCAAAATTGATTAATGTCAATGATAATGCGTAATCATATTTTATTTATATTTCTAGTTTCTAAGGTTATAATTGGATAATGATAGCCGTTGTTGTAATAGCCTCCTTATTAGGATTCATTACCTAAACTATTTTATAGAAATATCTTCCTTCAAAAAAGAAAATAGAATTTTGAATTATTAACAAAATAAAATAACAAATTTATTTTTATTAAAGATCAATTTTAAGACATATCTATAAATGAAATTTATATAAAAAATGATTTATTATAAGGGTAGTTTTATTTTTAATTATACTCATACTGAAAAAATCGAAAGATTTAATTAAAACATAACTGAAAATAATGATATTATTTTAATTAAATAAAAGTGATTTGATATAAAATGGCTAATGGTTTAATTCTTTTAACAATATTTAAAAAATCAGTAATCAATCCTCAATTAAGGAATATCTTGTAAATTATATCATTTGTTTAAATGAAAATTGGTATACAATTATAAAAGGATTATCAAATTTCTATAAACCATTTGATTAGTATGTTTTATTAATATTTGTAGAAACTTTGAATTGTTATTTATAAATAATATAATTTCAATAGAATTTATGATGTATTTTATTAATTGATTTTTTAATTAATTATATAATTATATTCTGTACACTTTTCTTTAGATGAATTAAATTATTTAATTTATTATGTTTATTTTAGCATTATTTTGTTTTGTTTCTTCACAAATTATTATTGGATAGTTACCATCCAATATAAATGAACAATTGACAATAAAAGTAGATGCAAAATCAATTCGAATTAGTTATTGTTTGTCATCAGATTAATATAAAAATGGACTTAAGAAAAGTGAATTCAATTATCCTAATCCTAAAACATTCACTTAATTAAATCATAAATTATTGCTTTAATATATCACAAGTGAAATTTTAAATGAGATGGAGCACAAATCAGCTCTGTTTTATCATGAAAATTGGAGATGCAAATAATACACTATTTATGATTATTTTCTTGAATAATTCGAAATTTCAATTAATAATGCTAAGAATAGAATTCTCACAATACTCAAATAAGAGAAATAAGATTCAAGTGAATTTAAATGTATTTATACTAATTTATTATAGAAAGTTAAGATTGGACTTATTAATTACAACTTAATTCAAATAATCAATAATAGTAGATATAAATTAATTATAAAAATTAATCTAATGGACCTAAATATCATTATTAAAGAAAATTAATTGGAGCTGGATTACATTAATTTATTGAAACTAAAATTACTTTTGATAAATAGCCTAGTTAAAATGTGGTTATTGTAGATGAATTAGATACTTTTACTTATGTAGACAAAGATGAATTAGATAAGTTACCTTATGAGGCTAAATTAATGACAATTGTAGATATAGAAAGACCTAATGAGCTTTCCACATAGCACATAATTTTAAGTAAACATAAAGGGACATAAGAAATTACATATATTATGCCATATCATTTTCGATATCATTTGGCTTCAGATACACATTATAAAACATCATATGTTCCAAACATTCCTAGAGTTTATTTGGAATCTTAATAAGGTGATTCTCTAATTAAGTCATTTTTCAATGGTAACTATTAATAAGCCTAAATATCAACATACGAATAACATCTAACATATTAAATTCCAGTTGGATACTTGCCTTATAAAAATGTAGTGGTTATGATAACAATTGGTATCACTCTTGGATTGGCATTGCATATATCTAATTTAATAAGAAGAGAAAAATAGTGATATTTATAAAAAAAGAATTAAAATAAACAATAATGATATCAAATATTAAATCATATTCAAATCTTAGAGTAAAATCTTAATAAAATTTTTAATCTTCAAATCATAAATTTATTTATTCTTTTTTTCAATATAACTCATTCATATTTATGATATAAAATTAGATAGTATACTTTGAATTAATTCATTATTAAATATTTTATTAAGAAATAAATTAATTATTCAAGTAAAATATTTTAATTTATATAATGAAGCATTTTATAATTTATTAAAATAATTTTCAATATATAATATATGACTTATAGTAGGTCTATATTGATTCATAATATGATTGAAATATCATATAGTATTATAATTTATAATGTTTTTAAAATAATTATTTGAAAAGAATACAAAAAAATTGGTATATTAATAATAAAGAATATTTAGGTTAATTAATTAATATAAATATAAAAATCTGATATATTTCTTAGATGGCAGGAAAAGAAGCAACTTTAGTTTTATTAGATGTAGGTGCCTCAATGTATTAACCATACAAATAGGCTCAAGGAAAGAAAATCACAAGATTAGAATTAGCTGTTGATTGTTTAGGGATGATGATTTAATAAAAGATTTTTAATTACAAAAATCATGAAGTTGGATTAGTTTTGTTTGGAACAGAAGAAGCTGAAGATGGGAATACTTTTTACATTTAAACATTATCAACTCCAGATTTAGAATTTTATAGAAATGTGACAGAATTAATTAATCATGATATACCAAAAATATAAGGAGGAGATATTTTTGATGCTTTGGATAAATCAGTTAGTACTTTAGATTAACATGTAAAGACAAAGAAGATGGATAAAAAGATATTTGTACTTACAGCAGGATTTGGTTAGACAGATTATAATGAGAAAAAAATAGCAAAATTGGTTAAAATGATTGAAAAAGTAGATGTGAAAATCAATTTCATAGCATTAGATTTCATGAATGAATATGATGTTGATTTAGATGATCCTACAAAACCTGAAAATTAAGAAATTTTAAATGATCGAATGCTTAATGCTGTTTATGAAAATTAATAATAATCAATCAATTCTCGTTTAACTTATTATATGGTTTAAGAACTAAGAAATCATATGAGAATATTCCCCGCCAATATAGCATTTGAATTATATTCATAATTTCATACAAAATAAATGTAAGCAAGAGCATCTTTTAGAGGAGATTTTTAAATAAATGATGAAACAAATATTTCAGTATTAATTTATAAAAGATGTACAGAAGAAAAATTACCAAGTTTAAAAAAACATTCTGCTATTGGTGATTTCAGTACTGAACCTTCTAGAAATATTGTTAGAAATGATACAATTCATTATAATCCAGAAGATCCAAATATGAATCCTATTGAAAGAGAGAATATCATTAAAGGTTATTTATATGGTAGAAATTTAATTCCTGTAGATAGTATAATGGAAGATAAAATGAAATATTAATGTACTAGATCATTTTAATTATTGGGATTTGTTGATAAATCATAAATCCCTAGACATTATTTTATGTCTACTGTAGATATGGTAGTATCTATTGATTGTGAAAAAGCAAAGAAATCTTTATCTTCTTTAATTATAGCTCTTATTGCTACTAAAAAAGTTGCTATTGCAAGATTTGTTGGAAGAGAAAAAGGTTCTCCTAAATTAGTTGTGTTATTACCTCATAAATCAAAAAGCTATTCTTGTTTTTGGATGATTTCATTACCTACTACTGAAGATATTAGACATTTTCAATTTGCTGCTTTAAGAAAATCTACTCCTAATTAATAAATTGCTGTAGCCTCTTTAATTGATAAAATGGATTTAGAAAATCTTCCAAATTAATCAGGTGAACCAGAAGAATTACTTAAAATGAAATATGTAGCCAATCCAACTAGACAATATTTCTAATAAGTTGTTATGCATAAAGCCATTACTAGAACTGATGTTATACCTCCTATTTCACCTTTGATTCTAGAATATTTACATCCTGAATAAAGAGTATATAATTATGCATAAGATGCTATACAAAGAGTGAAAAATGCATTTAAATTTAAAGTTAATGAAATTAAATAACCATAAGATAAAAAAGTATTTTGGAAATAATTATTTGATGAATAAACTACTTAATAAGTTTAACAATAAATACAAGAAGAAGTAGTAGAAATTAATAGAGAAGAAGAAGAAATGGTTAATATGTTTGCCAAATAGAAATTGGGATTCAATGATGATATTATTTAAGAAATAGGTTCTGTAGATCCCATTTCAGATTTTAAGAAAATGATTACTGAAAAAAGAGTAGATTAAGTAGATTCTGCTCTTTAACAAATTTAAAAAGTTATAATTGGTTTAGTTGATTAATCAATAAAAGGCAGTTTCTTTCCCAAAGCCTTGGAATGTTTAAAAGAAATGAGAAAAGCTTGTATTTCAGAAGATGAAACACCTGTTTTCAATAAATTCCTCTTTGTACTTAAAGATAAATATAATTAATCTATGTTTTGGGCTCAGATTGTGCAATAAGGAATCACTTTGATAAGTAACATTGAAAATTAGAAATCAACTGTAACTGCTGAGGAAGCCTAAGATGTAAATATATATTATTAATTTTTAGTTCCTGAACAAAGAAGACAATAAACATTAGTAAATGGTTGATCAATTATAACATGAGGAAGAAGATTTATTAGCTGATATTGAATGATTATAATAATTTATTACAATAAAAGACAAATAAGTTATTAATATTAATAAAAATCTTAATTATTAAAATTCTTATCTTAGATTTTATACATCAATTATTGTTTCTAATAGTTATTGAGATAATCAAAATATAAAAAAAAGAATATATTTAAGATTGAGAATTTAGATAATTTAATGATATATATCTTAAATGAATGAAATTTAAATCATTTCAATTATATACATTAATATTTGTGATGTTTGGATATTTCATCTAATTTTTTTAATAAATCTTTTTGATATTCTTATGATACTCTTTTAGGAAATTAAATTTAGATTTAATTCTATTCTAAATCTGAATATATTTTAAATGAATTATCAATTACATTTTCTGTATTTTCATTGTTAATTGTTTTATTTTCATTAATACTCCATATAGTAGTTTATTATGATTCTGTTTATTCTTAATCTACATTAATGCCTGTTTATTATTCATCCTATGTGGAATAAATAGAGAATGCTTTACAACATTAGGCTTTAAACTCAGTTTTGACTTTTTCATAATTCTAAACTAATTCCTCTTTACTCAAAATTGAATTATTGATAGTTGTAAATTTAGATAAATATTATTTTAAGTGTTATTATTATTTAGATAATGCATTTTGAATTTCTTTATTTAAATTATTTTATTTTGTTTTTACAACTATCAATAATAATTATAATAATTTTTCAGTATAATAAATAGCATTACTAAGAAAATATGAACATTTGTTTTCTTCATCTACTTCTGAAATCATAATTAATTGATCATTATCTTATATTAATTAGAGATGTAATTAGTCATCTGAATTATGTTTTTTCATAATTTTGAATTTTTATGTATTAAAATTAATATAAACAAAAATCAATTATTAAATTTGTTAACTCTTTTCTTATTTTTTAATTATATTTTATCTCTTTAGAGTTCTTAAATATTATCATTAGATTCTTCCATTTGAATTTATCCTTTTTAAGTTTACATTTCTGTTTTTCGAACTTCCATTTCAGCAACCTCTTCTTTAATAACTTTTCTGATTTAAGGTGCCAATTATTATATTTGACGACGTATCTATTTAACTTTATTAATATCTGCTATCATTGTAAATAACTATTATTTTGATTATCGTATCATTTTTTTAAATTTTACAACTTCATTTTCCAAACAAATTGTTACTGATATACCTTATGCACCTATCCTAGCAGTTCTACCAACTCTATGAATATATCTAGTAACTTCATAAGGAATCTCATAATTAATAACTGCTTTAACATCTGTCATATCTAATCCTCTAGCAGCTAAATCTGTTGCTAATAAAAATTAAAATTTTCCTTCCTAAATTTAATTCATTCTTTTACCTTAAAATCTTCATAAGCTTAAATTCTTTATTGTTATGATAGATTCCCATGTAATTCACAACTACTCATATCTAAAAATCCTAAAATTATTGCTAATCTATGACAATCATGTTTAGTTTTAACAAATATTATTGTTTTCTCTTTGAATTTTGTTTTCAATAAAGTAATGAGTCTATAATTTTAATATTAATTATAAATATATACGTTGCTTCTCTGTCTGCTTCTTAATTGGATCTTATTCGTAATAAATACTGTTTTAATCCATAAGCTAAACCACCAACAAAATCAACATTAATTTTTATTGGATTGTTTAATGCCAATTAAGATAATTATTTTACAGTAGCATTAAGAGTAGCACTGATTAAAACAGTCTGTCTATCTTTGGAAGTTGCTTAAAGTATTTATCTAATTTCTTTTTCGAATCCCATTTCCATTAATCTATCTGCTTCATCAAAAACTAAAATTTCAATACTATAAATATATTAGTATAAAATACTTTTGAATTTCAATACTAGATGAATTAGTTAATAAATCTACTATTCTACCTGGAGTAGCAATTACAATATCAGGATATTTTCTCAATTCAGCTTCTTATTATTATATTGGAACAGCTCCAATTACTAAAGCTGCTGTACAATTAGCATATTTATTTAATTTTTCAAACATCTCAAAACATTAAAGTGCAAGTTCTCTTGTAGGTAATATTATCAATGCTTTGGAATATTGTAAATTTTTAAGATTGCCAAAACGCTACATTATAGGTAATAGGAATGCTGCTGTTTTACCTGATCCAGTACATGAACTAGCTAAAACATCCTTACCATTCATAATTATTGGAATTATTTTAGCTTAAACATTTGTAGGATGAGTATATCCCTAATCATGACAAGCTTTGACTAATGCTTTATTTAATTTTAATTAATGAAATTCTATATCTATAGCAAATATTTTAGAATCTAATTATTATTATTCTTATTATTGATTATCTTCTTCTATTTATTCTTCTACTTCATTAAATTTTTCATTTTATTATCTTATTTTTAAGGCAACTTTATTTAATTTTGATTTAATTTTTTAATTTAAGGTGGATTACTTACTAAATGATTGTTTAGTTTATTGTATTACTTTATCCTTAATGGTTTGTGTATCTAATGGTTTTTGAAGTACTTCTTCTTAAGTATCAAAGAATCCAGAATAAAAATTGATATCTCCCTTTTCTTATTATTATACAAATTCTTCAGAATCTGATTAAATTTATGAGTTGATCATTAATTAATTTAATTAATGGTAAAGGATATAAATTATTAGTTAATTTATTAACTTAATTTAATATATAAAATGTTATAATGTTATAATGTTAAAAATTATAGATATGAATAATTTGTTTGAATAATATACTAATTTTTCAAAAAACAATTTTTGATTTTTAATTTGATTTTTCAATTTCTAATTTTTTTTGATCTAACTCTTTTAAACCTTTTTCTTATTCTTTAATTTCAGCCAATAAAATATCTGTTTATTATTATAGATACTATAATTAAATATTCATTTCATCTTTTTTTGCCATTTATAGATTTAATTTCTCTTTAATTGATTCTTCATCTTTTTAATTAAATAAAGTTGAATTTACACTAATTTAATTAATAATTTAATTTTATTTTTCTCTTGTTTCTTAAATTTATTATTTTAATTAATCAATTTTCTTTTATTTTTTTTCTGGGAATTCTTCATTTTATAATAATGATAAATCATATTTTTTTTCAATACTTTTATGTTATTTATATTATTATCTATTTTCTTCTAATTTTGATTCTGTAAATGTATTATTAAATATTTCTAATATAGTAATTCTATCATTAAAATCTGTAGATAATTAAGTTAGTTTTTTTTCAATTTCTTATTAGATACCAATAATGCCTTCTTCTAATTTCATAAAACTTCTTTTTTCTTCTAAATCTTAAATTTATTTTTTAAGAAGTAATCTAGTTTACATTAATTCATTTATATAATTATTATTATTAATTATATCTTCTTTATATTTATCAATAGATTCTTTATTCTCTTTTATTTATTATAATTATTCCATCTATTATTCAAGTGTTTATTTAAGACAAAATTATTCTCCTTCAATTCTTGGAATTTATTACATTTGAATTTTACAAAAATCTTAACGAGATTTGCTATCATAATTTAAATATGAAACAACACTCTCTCTCTCATCACTTAAATGTACAGTACCACTTGATCTCAATTATAATTCACTCATAAGATCCATATTTTCATTATTAATTTAGGTTAATTATTATTTAATTGTATTTAACATCTAACTTAAATTAATTTCTTCACTTTCACAAACTTCAATCTTATTGATTTTCTATAATATTTAAATTTCTGATATTTCATTATTATTAATAACATTATCTTAAATTTTAAAATTATGTTAAATCTTCTTCTTAACTGATAATCTAATTTAAGTAATCTATTCTTCAACATCAATACATTATTATATTGGTTATTATTATTCTTCTTAAGTTTCTGGTTCATCTTCTAAAATTGATATAATATTAATTTTATCATTAGGTCTTTATATACCCTATATCCACCAATGTTCTTTAATTTATGATATAGTAATTCTTTTTGATGGATTTATTTAAAAAATCTAGATTAATAAATCTTAGACACCTTCACTTAAATTCTTTTATGAAAATATTCCATTAACAATATTATGTTACAAAACATCTTATTTTTTCTTACCTTTTAATTATTCTGGTTTAGGTTCAAATGGAAATTTCCCTGTTAGCATTTAATATAGAATAACACCAAAACTCCAAATATCTAAAGCTTCAGTTTATGGTTATAGATTATATTGTTCAGGACCAAAATGATCATTTCCATTAAAAATTCCTTCTCCATGTTATATATATGTACTAAAACCAAAATCACATAATTTAATTGTAATTTGCTTTTTTTCATCTAAAATATAGATATACTATAAAAAATACTTTTTCTAATGAGTATATTATCTAATTTGAAATTTCTATGTACAACATTATTTTTGTGCAAATATTCTAAAATATCTATCATTTATTTAGCATAAAATAATGTTTCTTATTCTGAAAGCTTTTTGTCCTTCAATAATTTTTATTACATATTGCCATTATTTAAATATTCTGTGATAAGATAGATGGACTTATATATATTATTTAGATAGAATTACTTCTTTGTCTTCAAAATGATTAATCAAACGTGTTGTATATTGATTATCTCCTAAAAGATTCATAATTTCTATTTCTTTAGCAATATTTGGTGATATACGCTATCTTGATAAGGTTTTCTTAATATATTTTTTGATTGCATAAAGTTTATTTTCTTTTCTTAATTTAGCAGAAAATACCTTTCATTTATTGTTATAGTTTACTTGTGAATATTGCCCACAAGCAATAACTTTCATATCTTTAAAATCTTACATATTTTTTAATATTTATTATATATAAATAAATTTTGAATGTATTTGATAAATGAATTTATACAAATTGATATAAACTATATATATCTAGTATAATAGTTATTTCATTCCACAAGAAAATTGATAATAATAATACATTAATTATATATTTATTTTGTAGAAAGAATCTAAAATATAATATAAAAATACTTTTCATTATTATATGAGAGACAGTAGAGAAAGAGCAAATACATAAATTGATTATTCTTCATATGAAGATATTCTCAAAAAATACAAAAACTAACCTCAAACAAGCAATTTTTCAACTTAATTGGAATCTATTCAAGAAGATGAAGCTCCTTCAAATTTTTCTATTGATTAAATGGAAAAGGATACAGAAAAGAACTAGTTTCTAAGAAAATCTAATGATATGGATCTTGTTAATCAAAATGATTGTATCTATTAAGCATATCAGTTTAGCAATCTTTAAATCCACTCTAAGTACAGATAAATTAAAAGAACTGAAATCAGGTAAAAATGAATGTTGTATATGTCATAAGAGTGGTACATTAATACATAAATTGAAATAATGTAAATTCTGTGGAAATGTGATATGTAAAGAACATGGGAGAAAGAAAAGAAAGGATCCAAATAATAGTACAAAATTTAGGCGATTATGTGAAATATGTGAAGACAAATATATTAGACTTAGTGTAGAAACAGCTTATACTTAAAAAAGAGACTAATTAGCATAATAAGCATTAATATTGGATTCTTAATCTAAAGAATTGTTGTAGGATATTAGATCTTTGTAGAATTAGATTTCTGAAATCTAATAATAAGGTGTCAAATAATAAGGAGAATACAAATAAATACAAAATGAACTTATATTTAAGACTTAGAAATTAGATAATGAAATTAAAGGCTTTTAAGATGAGAATCTTAAATTAAAATCAACCATTTAATCTATAAAAAAAGAATCAAAATAATTAAATGAAAGATTAGAAGAAAAGAAATTGGATTCTTAAAAGAAATAACATTAATTACATTAAATTGAATAAGAAATACAATATAATGATATTGAATGTTAAAAGATTATGTTAGAAATAGAAAAATTATAATTAAATATATAATAAAAGAAATAAAAAAATCAACAAAAATAATAATAATAGAAATCTTAAATATAAAAAGCAGAAATATAAAATTATTAATAATATATCTTAGCTGATGATTAACCAACTATAAAATAATATAATCCTTATTTAAATGAAAATAAGATTATTAATGTAAATAATGAAAATTAATCTTAAAATAATAATAATAATAATGATACATAAGATAGAGAAGAAAATCATTGTTGTTCAATAATGTGATAAATTTTTATAATAATTTAATTTTAATAATAATAATAATAATAATAATAATAATAATAAGTCATCAATCGTATTTAATATTTAAAAATTCAAATACTTATTCTATAATATTAATATCCTAAAATAAGTATTAGATATTTGTAAGTACATATTCTATTGGTTTACCACTAATTTTCTATTTATTTTCATTAATAATATATATATTACATATCTAAATAATTTAGCTAATTCTTCAGATTGTGAATGAGCCATATGTATAACACAAGATATTGCATTTTGTAATACTTCACGCAATTCAAACTGTTTCATCATATGACCTAACATATATACATAATCAGTTTTATTTAATAGATAACGATACAATTATTCATTAGAATATTTTCTAATTAATTATTATAGCATTTGACTTATATAAATGTAATCATTTTTGTTTAATTCCTATTCATCAAGTGCTAAAATAGTATTGAAAATCTCAGATGTTAGTACTTCAGTAATTACATAATCATTTTTAAGAAAACAAATATTTGCTGTTATATAAATAAAAGCTGTTTAATTTTCTCTCATTTCAAAGTATAAATTACTAAGTGTTTTCAATAATCCATGTTAAATAAATAATATTGTTCCTTCATCTGACTCTTCTACTATTTTTGAAATTATTGATATTGAAAGCATCATATTTTTATCCAATTTATCCATAATTAAATCTACAAATCCAGCATTTGCTAATAAGTAATTAATAGAATTCTTATTATCTTTTTCACATGAAATCATTGTTAACATAATCTAAAATGTGGCTAAATCTGTATCATATTCAATGAATTTAATACATGTCACAACCAACTTTTTAAACTAACCAATTAAATATTCAATACATAATAAGATGGTTATTTTATATAGCTTCCAAGTACTTCAACTATTTTAAACCATTATTCAAAATTATCTAATAGAAGTGAGATTTCTACCAAATAAGAGACAAAGTCACATTATTCTACCAAGTGATTTAATGGGTTATTTTTTACAATTTTATGTAAAAGAACAACAAATTACTTAATGAGCTCACTATTTTCAAATCTTTAAATTTGAGATAGTAAATAAGGATTTAAACATTCAGGTAAATAGATCTTTTAATAGATACTCAGAACTATAGCTAAAATATGATAATCGCAATTCGTTGCAATTTCACCTAGAAAAGTAATAGTGTTAATGGATTTAAGATTGGCGCTATATTATGAGTCAGCATATTCATTTAATCTTATCAAGTAATTCTCACATTCTTAGAGGTCTCCACGATTGTAAAACTCTAGTGCATACTATGCTAACAATTCAAGGTCCTTGAAATCACTCACAACACCCAAACCTTATTTTGCACAAAAATTGCGCGTTTCTATTAGAATGTATTTTCAGTTCTTTTTCGGCGAATTTCTACTTGGAATTTATTTCTTTTCTCATGTAGTAACTATAAAGCTGAATCTGCTGTCAAATACATTATATAAATTAATGTATAATTCAATTTAATCAGGTTATAAATAATTTAGTTTAATTTTTAGGAGTCCTATGATAATACTTCAAATCCATAGTATATAATTTATCAGATTCTAATTTTAATAACATATTTCTTTTTTTCTTCTCCATTTCTTCTATAACTTTTAATCTTCTTCTTTATATTTCTAATTTATTTTAACTAAATAATCACATATTTTAATATACATTTAATCTTACAATCTTTAATCTCTCTAATTTATTTATTATTCTAATTATTAAATATAAGATTATTTAAATTAATCAGCCCTAATTATTTGTGATTGTTGTGTAATCCATTTTTAATTCAATCTTGAAACTTTCTACTCTAATTCCAATTAGTTCTAATGTTTAATCAATAGAAATGTTTATTCTTTCATAATTTGTTTATTCAAAAGAATAAGTGATTGATTTCTTAATATATTTTCAGATTGTTTATTAAAATGATTGAGTGATTGATTTCTAAATATATTCTCAGATTTTGCTCTAAATTTATTCATTTATTAATTATGCTCAAATTCTTTATTATAAGTAAGTTATAAATTTAATAATCTCTTCTTCTCAATTAAATTTATCTTATCTTAAAAATAATCTATCTTCTCTTTTATTTTATTAATTTTAATTTAATATATTTAATTAGATTTTTCTTTTATTTTTTCTAAATGTTCCTAAGATTATTAAGCATTCTAATAGATCTAATCTATATTTTCATATTTCTGTTTATAAATTTTATTAATCTTGCTTTCATAATTCTTCAATTTTTGTTAACAAATCTAAATATATCATATTTTACTTCTTGAATTCTCTTCATTTACATTTAATAATTGAAATATATATTTTGATTATGATATTCATTCTTTTACAAAGATGAATTTAAGCTATACTGCATTTAATTCATTTAATCATTCATATATTTCTCTTTTTATTCTTATTACTCAAAATAATAAATGTTGACTCTCTTTAAATTATAATCTAATTAATTCATCAATGCATCAATCTTCTTATTCAATTCCGAATATTTGAGCTTGGTCTATAATTAAAGTATTTTTTATTTGATTTCCTTTTCATGTTGTTTCTACTCAATTTACAATAATATATATTATGCTGCTTTTATATCCTTTTTTTTTTTTTCTAGTTCCTAAAGTTATATGACTTTATCCTATGAGATCTTAAGTTATTGATTCAAATATGGTGATGAAAGGATCTGATTTACAGTAGTAAGTGTACTTATTCTTACATAATTAGATCCTTTGCTTCTTCTAATTAAAGATTACTATCTATAATGTTATTCAATTTCTATTGATTCATTTTTCGTCTTTTTGGTTACATATCTTCTTATTTCAAATATAGATCCATCGATTGATTCTATTTTATTAAAAAATATGATAATAAAAATTTTGGATTCATTTTATCTAGAAATTAAACATTCATTACTATTTTAATAATATCATATATTTTACTTATATCAAATAAAGTAATAAAATAAATAATATATTGTATATAAACTAATAAATGTTATCATTATAGATTGGATTTCTAAATCATTAATTTCTTTTTTTTAGTAAATTAATTAGTAGATCAATTTGTTAACTATTCTTATTTTGTATTTACATTGGTAAAGGTGATCTCAATTTCATTGGATTAATATTGTTTTTCTTATATATTTATAACATTTATTTAGAGAAGTCTTATATTTCAGGTACTGAAGGAAAATCTTATCTAATTTTTTCAGGACGTATTTTTTTATGACCCAATAAATCATTTAGTTTTTTGATACTCAATAGATCATTTATTTTTTACGATTGTTTGGATTCTACTTCAGTTATACTTTTTTTATTTTCTGTATACTTTGGTGGACTCATTCTAGGTTCTACTGTCATTCTATTCTGAGATAGTTCATGTACAGAATAACCTTAAATAATTGATGGTAGCTTTTGTCTTACAAATTTTCTTTACTATCCTTATTCAAATTAATTGTCTGAGTACATTTATCTATGTACAACAGAAGGACGATATCTTAGAGAATTTATTTAACGTTCAGTCACACTTCCACTCAAAATAGGTATTTAATGTAAATTAGATGGAGATTCATCAGTTATACATCTAATATCAGAGCTCATTTAATTTAAATTTCTTTGAATTGAAATGCTCTTCACTTTCTTATTTGTTTACAATAATCTTCTTGATTAAGGAGCTTGTTCATTATTTAAATAAAGATGTAAATCAAAATTATACATAATTTTATATCATTAATATTTAAATCCATTTTAATTACCAAATAACAAAGGTTATTCATTCTCTGTTAATACATAAACATTATTGAATTATACAATAACACTTTAAGTATTAAATTCAATAGAATTTGGTAATTCTTTTGATTTCTATAAAGTCTTTGTCTTTATATTAAGAATCTAAATATTAATTAAAATCAAATACTTATGTTTCATTACTCTTAACATCATGTACTGATCCACCTAGAATAAGTATTTGATCATATGAAGTCTTAATGGCACAACTATTAAATGGTAATCTCAAATATCCATTAGATAAGAATTTGAATTCTATTTTTGTCTAAAATTCATTATAAAACACATTATACCCAAGAATTCTTTTAAATATCATAGGATTCAATTGAATTGCATGGAGTAAAAATATCACATTTACCTCCTATCTTAAATAATGTATTTTTATCAATTGCAACCAAAGCACATCCACTACATTTAAAGTAAGGATCATCAATAGTTTACCATCTCTTAGTACTTAAATCCAATTTTTCAGCTTTAGCCATTGATGTATTCTCATCATTAGTTGATGATCCACCTACTACAAATAAAAAATTATCAACTTAACAAGCAGATGTCATTGATCTAGGCAATACCATTTCTGAATGTAAAGTCATTTATAAATTAGTGTGATTAAATTCATATACTGAAGCAATTGCTTTGAATCTTGATTTATCTCTATCAACACCCCCAATAACTAAATGTTTACCTGAAGAAGTAGTATATAATCTATGAAATAATGGAATCTTAGTTGTACTATTGATAGTTTCAATCTTATATTATTAAGATTAGATGTCATATATATATGCTGCATAACCACCTTCTTCTAATCTTACTAATACTTATGGTTTGCCATCTTCAAAGTGATTTAAATGATTAATTTAATATTTTGCTTCATCATTAGTAAGACTTTCAGAAATCAATGTTATTGGATTGATAAGTGGAGGTGGTATTTCAGAAATATGATTTAATTTCATTGTAGATTGATTTAATTTATCTTCAATTTTAAGACTCTTATTAGTATTGGTACTTTATTAAGTATTTATTTATTATGTATTTTTGATAAAATAGCACATTTTTTTACAGTATGTTTAAAATAATTCAATATTATTTTTATCAAATATTATTTTGATTTAAGATTACTGATAATTTTGTATTAATTTATCTAAAGATATTAAACTCTTATCAGAGAATAGTTCTTATTTGCCATCACATATTTAAATAACAGCCCTAACATAATTATCATTGTGTAAATCTTCTTATAATTTAGTAAGTTTATGTTGTTATTATAGGATATCTTGTTCTATTTAATTTAATTATTTAATATATTCATCTTAATTTTATTCTTTTAAATCTTTGTACAATGTTTCAAAATAATCATCTATTATATTTGAGATTTATTCATGTATTTATCTTAATTATTCAAGATTATTATTATAAAGTATAGATGGTTATTCTTAAAAATACTTTTTAGAATCTTGCAATTTAAATTACAATGATTTTGATAATTCATCTATCTTATAAGTATTATCTTTTCTGACTCTTTGAATATTTTCTAATTTAGGTACTCTTCCTTTTGCTTAATGCATTTCAAGATGTTCATTAATACATTCTGGACAAAGAGGTTCAATACAATTCTTGATTTAAAATAAAACATACTTGATCCTAACATAGATTTGTTATAAAAAATTCTGGATGTGTTGGACATGGTACATACATGAAATTAGCAAATTAGGTCATATTGGACATTTTACTAGTATTATTGATATTGACTTCACCCAATATACTACCAATATCAGATTGATCAACATTAATAATTTTAGATTTCACTTATTAAGTAGTTGGTAATTTTCTATGATTCTGATATTAATCTTTCAATTTAGTTACTTGTTCATTCTCTTAAGTATTCTATCTTTCATTTGGAGATACATATCTTTTAGATGCACTATGACTACGGCTGTCATTTATAGGAGATTGAGACCTATTCATGAAATTCAAATTTTATAATATGTTAAATTTAATTTTCATTCTTGTTTTAAGAATTCATTCTCAAGAACCAGAAATTTGTTTTAAATTAGAGGGTCATTTATGTGTAAATAACTAAATTGTTGATATGACCTTTGCTCCCCTAGATTCAATTATAGGTTTATGGAGATTTGACAAAAATCAAATGGATGATAGTCAATTATTAAATCACATATAATAACCTTGTGAACTTGGTCCAGGCAGAGGAGCAGTTGGCAATTCTGTCTATTATAGTGGAGAACAATATTCAATTATTCCACATCATGATTAATATCATGAGTTAGTCACTATTTCCATGTGGATATATCCATTGTCTTCATAATAGTCATTTACAACTATACTGCGTAAAGCTTCTAAGTCAAATGAATATACTCCAACAATATTATTGTGGCCATTTCATGATGAGGCAAATGTTGGAGGAGGATAAATAGAAGTTATAGTTAGTACATCTTATGATAAGGAGAATCTTCGTAGTAAAGGAAGTGTGACTGGTAGGAAATGGAACCATTTAGCAATTGTTTTATAAGGTTTAAGCATTGATTTATATATAAACGGTATTCATGACAATGTATTGTCTTTGAAAGCCAGACCTTTAAAGAATGATGGTCCCTTCTATATAGGAGGAGATCCCTGGTTCAATGGTCCTTTATTATATTTAGATGATCTAACCTTCTACAACATACCATTTTTATGTATATATATTTATATATACATAGAATTGGAAATAAGTAAATTAGTCAATTTCCCTGGATAAGTCAACAATAGACTCTTCTATTTAGGTTGTGATGGATGCAATTATCATTAGAGTTTGAGTAGTTGTAAATAAGGTTGGCATTTATGTTCTCTTTCTGAATTAACATCTGGAATATATATGCATGCTCGTTAAAATGGTTGGTTAAGATTAACTAAAGATTTCTGGTCTAGAATTGATGAAATAGATGAAGAATTAGCAAAGAATTATTTAGATCCTTAAAAAACTAAAGCAGCTATATGTTGTTCAGATTCTTTTTATTGATTTATATTATATATTAATATTATCATAAACTTACTATAATAAATATATACAAAATAATTATTTTATTTCATCTAATATATCAAATGTTATCATTTGTATCATCTATCTTTAATTAAAATATAAATTATTGTCATTATATTATTAGTTATCATATAATACTCCAAATTATTATACAATTGAATCACTAAAGTATTTACACTCTTAATTGACATGTACATGAGAAATTACTATAAAGTATTAATTATAATATTAAATGAATTCATATATTGTTATTACAAATACATTAATACTTAATTAGAAATCTGAACACATTACTACTTAAAATGAAGCAATTTGTATATTCCATTAATTATATGATTCTATTACAATAGCTTAATTATTATTATTAGATACTATAAAACCAATTAAGTGTTCAATACTAATTGTTATTTAATCAAATAATTGGTTTATGGTTCCGTTTTAGAAATATTATTCTAATGAACAATTATTATGTTAAAATTATGAAAAATGTGATTTGTAAATTAATAAATCATTATGACATTATATTGTATTTAAAATTAACATCAAATGGAGGCATTTTTTGATTTAAGGTAACCATCCTCAAATACTTTAGTTATTTCGAAGATCTAAGAAAAATATGTTCATAGGATACATATAAAGAAAAGTTAAGGGTGTTTCTATTTAATCCATATCTGGAATTAAAGGAACATCAAGAAATTGTAGACCTCTTCATTGAATATGTATTTTGTTTTTTATCTTATTTAGGCTGAATTGTCTCAAGAATATGAGATCATTTTTGAACATATGATCAATCATAACATAGGTATTAAAGAACCCTAATTCTATCATTACTTTTTCAATAAGCTTAAAGAGATCAATTACAGAAAAGCTCTATAATGTATTTAAATGGCTAAGCAGTATTTTTTTATAAATTATTATAAAATAGATTTTGTTATTCAAATTTTGAGTAAATTGAGAATATGAATTAAGAATTAGAGAATATCCTACTTTTCTAATTTGAATCTTATTATCATTCTCAAAATTGTTCTAAAAAATAAATTGAAGAGAAACTCAAACAATTTGAACTTAAGTTTTATTAATCCAAAAATAAGAGAATCTAAATCCATATAGATGAATAATACAGAAAACTAGATCTTAAAGCAATCATACATGAAATTGAATCATTCAAAGAAAATAAATGTCATTCTAATATATCCACTTAAATTCCAATCACTTAATCATATTATTTAAATCCTGAAGAATCAGATTTCAATAATTAACTAGAATCAAAAGAATTCAAACTCATTAAACCAAACTTTTAAAATAATCGTAACAATCTTTAAATAGTCACTCAATCACCTAATTACTCTAATGATATTGCTGTTTCTGAAGAAATCAATAAATTAACTCCTATTAGTTCTTCTTCTACATCTAGTAGATACCTCTTTAAAATGAATAATAATTACAACATTAAATCTAATCAATAATAAAAATTAATAATACCAATACCAACTATCAATTAATAAATAAGTCCATTAAAATCATTTAATAGAATGAAATACAAAAGTATCTAGAAACTAAGATAATTAATTTTTGAAGATAATGTTAAAAGTTCTGTTAAGGAGCCTTTAAAATTTGATTCACCATAATGATTTATATATATACTTAAATACTGTGAAAAAAATAATTAATTAAATAAATGTATTGCTTTTTTAAAACAACCACAACAACTAAAAGAAGTTTATTTGAACTTAAATCTGTCAATTTATAGTTGTATCCAAATGAACTCTAAGTCTTATAAGATGCAGATGACTTAAGAAACAAAATTATTTAGGGGAATTTTTAAGTCATTCCACAATATTTACAACTATTCCTTAATAACTTAGTATTAATCCATATATAATTAGAAACCTATTCTAAACAAATAGCCACTCTTCCATCCCTCATTCACCTATGAACCTATGGTAAGTAATTGTTAATTAAAATCACCATAAGGTATATATTAAATTCTATATTTTAGATTGTTAAGAAGCATTTGAAACAGATTATGTTATGTTAATTTATTCATATTGTTGTGGCTAATTGTTTGATAGTTTACAATAAATCAAAAATATTAGATAAGCAATAATTGAAAATAAATTACCTAATACTAATGATATAGATATTGTTTTACAAAAGATGAAAACATCTTATGCTTTTATAAAACACATAAAAAATGATTCCTAACAATTGTTGCCAAAATTATCTTAAAAAAAAAACTTTGATGTTGAAGAATTTAGTTCTTAATTTTTCATTAGATATAGTATATATTTTATTATTATGACAAATTTAATTCATTATGAAAAGTTTTAATAAATGAATTAAGAATAAGAATTAATCAATAGACAAAACTTATGTAGTACTATGTATAAATTATTGATATCAATTGGGAATTTGGGAACAGATAGATTAGGGATATATTTAACCTATTTATCAATTTATTTGAAATGTTTAGGATATAAAAGTATTATGGATAGATATTTGTATTGCATTTAAAAAGAGTATTATAAAGAGAAATGTAATGATATATTTATTAAATTTAAGCATTTACTGTTATGATTTTAGAACTTATTTAATTAGGTTAAGAATTAAAATAGATTTGTACGATAATAATAAATAAATAATTGAATGAAGATTATTTAGATATATTCAAAATATAAGCATAAAGATGGATTGCCTTTTCAGATGTTTAAATAAGAGTTCATTCAGGAATTGCAAGAAATCCATAACCAATTTTAACAAATGAATAGATCTTATTAAATTTAGGATATTATAATTGTTTGGATTGATTAATTGATATTTTTTACTAATTTTCATTTTTATTTGTTGACTTTATTCTATAATATCCCAGATAAGTATTTAAATTAAAAAATATTCTTTCGAACAACCATTAATACTAATGGATATCTAAGTTAGATACTAAAATGAATAAATTACTTTTGATGGAGTACAATCATATGAGGATTTGTAATAAGAAATCCAATAAAAGTATCCCCTTTTAACAAATATTGAATTGTCATATTAAGATGAAGAAGGTGATACAATTTAAGTTTCAAATACAAGTGATATCATTGCAATAGTAAGTGTTATGATTAAACATTACTAGACAGATTTTACTAAAGTGATTCTTTAAATGGATGCATAAATAGATTAATAGAAAATCTAAGAATTAGAGAGAGCTAAGAAAGTGGAAGAATTAAAATAGAAACGACTTGAAGAGTAAAGAAGAAAAAAATTGGAAGTAATATAATACAAATTAATCATTTAGGAAATACAAAAAGAAATGGATAAAATTTAAGAAATAAACTCAGAAAAAGCCTTAATAGAAGAATAATTTATATAAAAATCTGAAGACTTAAGGAATCGTTGTGAACAATTGAATTAATTTCAAAGTCAACCATTGCCTGATTTTAAACAAATTTTTTATGACTCCAATTTTTTGGATTTAATTAGATAAAAGGAATCTGAACTATTGGTATTGGTGGTAAATAATTATAATTTAATATTTTTATAGGATTAAAAAGGATTCGATACTTAATTAAAGGCAAACCAAAAGAATTTTTAAGAGACATTTGAAAAATTATTTGCTAGAAGGACTATATAACATCAGGAAAACTATTCTAGATGGTTAGATAACAAACATAAGATTAATGATATTTATTAATAGATTAGATAAGTAGAAAATGAGAGATTGGTAAAATTATAAAAATTAGATGAAAAATTGAAAAGACTTTAAGAAAATTTGATTAAGATTAAAGCAGATTTAAATATGCCTTAGTAGAATGATGATTAATTTTGATTCATTTATATATATATATTTGATAGATTTGAGTCTTCTATCCTATAATTATCAAAATTAGTTAAGATTATATTGAAATATTTATGTATTAGAAGTGATATGTGAATTAAATACAATGAAATCCGTTTTTATAATATTTTATTAAAAATGAGAAGTTCGACATTAGTCATATGTATACTAGTGTTGGGAAGTGGTAATATTGTATTACATTCTAGCCCTATCTGCTGAATTGGATTTGGGTACATCCTTATTATCTATGGATTTGTCTGATATAGCCCTTCTGGATACTACATCAATGAGTTGTTCGACACCCCAGAATGAGTTTGAGAGAGTCTCTGCTTAAATGGCAGCTTGGGCTGATATTGTTCAACATAAGGATTCCTTACATAGAGATATCGATAGATTAGAAGCCATCAAAGAGCTCATTCAAAAGAGAAAGTTCAAATCATTAGAGAAATAGTTGAATAAATTGGAATTGCCAAAGACTGAAAGCAAAATTGGAGAACCAATTTTAGCAGAGTTCAGACAAAAACTTAAAGGATTAAGCAATCCAGAAACAGCTGATGAATGTGAAGCAACTTTACTCAAATTATGCATCTATCTTCTCAAATAATTTAACAGTTGCAGATAACAATGTCAATCCAATCCTGTGACAGTCATCAAAATCAAGGGAAAGATTAAGGACTTATAAGTCGTTTAATAAGGTTGTGGATAACCTGCACCATGTGAAGATGAACCAGGTCTACCTGATGAACCTGTTCCTGAAATCCCAGATGAAAAAGGTCCTGAAGAAAAAGAAATTCCACATGAAGAAGAACCAACTCCACCAACACCACCTGGAGAAGAAGAAAAACCCGAAATTCCAGATGAAAAAGGTCCAGAAGAAAAGGAAATTCCTCATGAAGAAGAACCAACTCCACCAACACCTCCTGGAGAAGAAGAAAAACCCGAAATCCCAGATGAAAAAGGACCAGAAGAGAAAGAAATTCCACATGAAGAAGAACCTACACCACCAACACCACCTGGAGAAGAAGAAAAACCAGAAATTCCAGATGAAAAAGGTCCAGAAGAGAAGGAAATTCCAAATGAAGAAGAACCTACACCACCAACACCACCTGGAGAAGAAGAAGAAGAACCAGAAATCCCAGATGAAAAGGGTCCAGAGGAAAAACATGAAGAAAACGAACCTCCTGTTGAACCACCTGTTGAACCAAGTCCAGAAGAGAGTCCAGAAGAAGAAACAGAGATTCCTGATGAACCACCTGTTAATCCAAATCATGAAGAATCACCTGAAGAAACAACAGAAGAATGGGTTGAAGAAATTGAGGAAGAATTCGAAGAATTTGAAGAACCACCTATTGTAGTTCCTCCAATTGAACCACCCAGTGCTGTTGAAAAGACTTGTTTGAATTCAGTGAACGAGATAGTTTATACATCTTCTGTTGATGAAGCTACTCCATTAGTCAATAAATAATTGGAAGGAGAAGATTTAAGTTGTTATGGATTTGGATTTTACACTAGATGGCTTTAAGCTTATCCAACATTCTTAGTTCATGGAAGATAATCTGAAAGATATTTCGTAGCAAGAGTTTCTGAATCTGAACATACAACTGGTGAAGTTAATGATAATGCTTTGAGTGTATATTTGACTAAAGAAGGTTTGGAATTCTAATCATATGACAGTTAAGGATTATCAACAACTGTAATTTAAGTTGGTGATATTGAAGGTAAATGGATTTATGTTTATTATTCATATTGTAATGAAAAAGCAGTTGCTGTTGTAAATGAAGATGGATAAACAACAATTAATGAAATTAATGTTAGTCATGAAAAACCATCTTAATTATATTTCTAATTGGCTGGTCAACAAGGAGATGTCCCATCATTCTAAGGTCAATTTAGATTAGTTTAAGCTAATGCTGGTTAAAATGTATTCATTGGAACAGAGACAGAAGCTAATGATTTTGTATTTGCTTGTAATCACTTACCTGAAGAGAAATGCGAAAGATAGATATCTAATCTTCATGATTTCGAATTCCATGGTGCTGATTCATAATTTGATGCATCATCAGTTGTTGAGAATACTGAACCAATTTATGCTCAAGAATATTCAGTTTCTGGTTGGTTCAAATGGTATCCTGTTTAAAATCCAGAATCTTGGTACTCAGCATTCAGATTAACATTGAACAATCTTGCAGTAAACCAAAATGCCAAACAATTGGGAGATAGAGATTTGGCATTATTTGTAGGAAGTGAAAAGAAGGATTCAGTCTTAGCTTTCACAACATATACTTACTCAGATTTGTATGGAAATGGTAACCCAACCTATTGGTAGGCTATCCCATATGAAAAGGATTTGGTACACTGGCATTATATTTACTTCGGTTACAACAGACATATCTCTAAGGCTTATGGTTATGTTGAGTTTTTCACTAGAAAGGGAGAAGTCCACTTTGAAAATGTTAAGCATTTTGATGCTCCTCATAAATACTTATATGTCGGATAAGATCAATTCTATAAATCATACAGTGGTAAGATCTTCAATCTCCATTACAATCTTTGTGATGGTTCATATAGAGAATTGAAATACGATGAACATTGGGGATATACTCCTAAGCCAACAGATCCAGTCCCACCTCCTCCAGTTCCTGTAATACCATCAGAACCAGCAAGTGAAGAAGAATGGGTTGAACCACCTATTCCTCCTATTCCATCTGAACCTGAAGAGGATATTCCTTATGAACCAGAAGAAGAAAACCCACTTCCACCACCATCTTTGAGTGAAGAAGAAACTCCAGAAGAAACTCCAGTTGAACCACCTGTTGAACCACCTGTTGAATCTGAAGAAGAAACACCAGAGGAAACACCAGAAATTCCTGACGAACCTGTACCTGATCCAGATCATGAAGAAGAACCAGAATTACCTGAAGATGAACCATCAGTTCCAGAGGAGGATGTTGAACCACCTGTTGAACCACCTGTTGAATCAGAAGAAGAACCATCAATTCCAGAAGAAGAAGAACCATCAATTCCAGAAGAAGAAGAACCTTAACCACCTGCTCCAGTACCTTAACCAAAGTATTTATATTTGGATAATATTTACTAAGATGTCCACCAACTATTGAAGTTAATAAAGACAATGCTGCTGATATTTTATGTGAGCTATCACATTATTTGGGTGAATTTGCTTAAGGCCATGTACCAGTAGCTGGACCAAGCACAAAGACTGTTTGTTTCTGCATGACTTACAATGAAGGTTTCAATTTTAAATGTAATTTTTAGATTATGCTCCACCAACTTTATTGTAATTGGCATCAAAGATTCCAGGACATATTCAAATGAATGAACCTAAAGTAGCAGTTCCATTATTGAAGAAATTCATCAAACAAAGATAATGAATATTTTTAATATTAAAAATGGCTAATCAATTAGATACAATTTAATTTTCTAGCTAAAAAAAATTTCATTAGCATATTCCTTCAATTGACTATCATATATAGAATAAAGTATATTAATACCCTTCGAATTTTGACTATCATCAAATCAATAAAGAAATTTAATTCATAGCAGATTATGCATAAAAACTAATAAAAACCACTTAATAAACATCGGATAAATATAAATACATAATTAGAATTGCAGAAATTAGTATGAAATCTAAAGAAGTAGATAACAATAAAAAATTATTGGATGATATCATTGATGAATTAACTATCATACTTGCTCACTGTTTGAAATCAAAAACTGTGTAATTATTGCTTACTAGATTATTTTAGCTATATAAAAGAAAATAAACAAACTTTATTAATAGTGATACAAACATCAAAAAATTTAGGTTATTTTTTAATAACAAACCTAATAATCAAAATAATATACTTTCCAATTTAATAGAGTCAACAAGAATACATACATAAAAATAAATATCATCTTCTCCTACATCTTAATATTAAAATTCTATATTTATTTAAAGAAGAGATAGTAATATTTAGACTTAAGTTTGTAAAAACGATGATTTATAAAATTAAAATGATGAACATCTACAAGCAATATTCAATCCACCCTTAAGTTTTTAGAGATAAAAAAACTATTAGCTTTCAAAATATTGATTTTTATATACTTTAAATAAAAGTAATTGAATAGATATTTCAAAATTTATAATAAATTTTAATAAATTTGTTATAAAATTATCTTAAAACATAAAATTATATAAAATAATTGTAATTATTTAATATTTATCAATTATTTTTCTAAGGATTACTCTAAAATATTTCTTTTATCCTATTTTTCTCTTTATCATCTTCAATCAAAATTAAATTGTTGACTTTAAATGTATTTGGCTGATTATCAGGTACCTTCTAACTGAAAGACAAACAAGCACAATATAAGATTATTGCCATCAGAACTAAACCAGCAGAAACTCCTATGATAATATAAGGAGCATCCTTTGGATATACCTTCCAATAAGGTAATATTTCAATGCTTTCAACTTTAATACTACCTGATACTGAATATCCTGAATTAGCAATAGAAGTAGTTTCATTAGTAGTTTATAAAAGCCTTCTTAAAGACAATCTTCTTCTTGTATCTGTTGGATAGTTGTCATCTATATCTCTTTCAACCAATTAAGCTGTGATTTAAATTGTACAATTTTAAACTGCAACTGGAACAATAAATTTATAAATAGTAGCACTCATATTTTTTTCACTTTCACCTTAAGATTTTAAATTAATATTTGTTCCATTTCCAAGAGCCACAGCACTTACTAATTGAAATTTATAATCTGCTCCAAAATCCATGTATTTATTATCAAGCATCACCAAAATATAAAAAAAATCATTTAAATACAATACTTAAGGTTCATAATGAAATGACCTACAATCACGACTTTAACATAATAGAACCTTGCCTTCAACTTTTGTTGAGGCTTGACCAATATCAATTGAATCTTACAATACTCCAAATTAAATTTAATCACCAGAGATATCTTTTGCTATTAAAATAGAACTATCATTTGGATAATAAAATTCTTAAGTCCATGTTAAATTAACTAATTCAACTGATGTATTGTTCAAGAACAAATAGAATTCAAATAGACATGAATATCCTGCTTATTAAGAGAGTGGTAATTTTAATTAATATTAACAACCAGCAGCAGTTAAAGTATTTTCTACAATTTTAAATCCATATTAATAAAGAGCTATTTTTGGATTTGATCCATCTATATAAACATTATTGGCTTTGTTCATTATGAATTTAACCATATGGCATTCCTTAATTTTAATGTTCTTTAATACTATACCATATAGAGCATTTTATTCTTAAATCCATCCTACTGAGATTTTATTAGCTGTTATACTGCCTGCATCAAAATAACAGAAATCAGATATGCAGGCACCTCTATAGAGTCTTCCCTTTTCACATGATGTACATTCAGAATAAGATAAACAACTACTGCATCCTTCTGAGCAAATTCCTCTATCAAATATTGAAATATTAGTAATCAAAAACTAACCTGCATAATCAGTAGCATCAGAATAGGCTTCAAAGATTATTCTGAATGGTTTTATTGAATTTGGTCTTATGTGAAACCTAACCTATATTATTTTTATTTATAATATACTTTTGTCCAAGTGTTCTCAGCTAGACTATTAATAGTAACAAATTAGGCATATTTGTTTGTTTAATTTACACCTGAGGTTATTAAGGTTATGTCTTCTGCTCCAACCCAATAATATTCATCATCATCATTTGTCCAACCTACTACGATACCAGTATAAGGTTTTTAAGATTAGGGATGATGAACAGCTAGATAAGCAAATTCCAAAGTAACTACATCTTCTTCTGTAGTGAAGTTTAGATTAGATTTGATAGGTTTTGTATAACAATCTCCTCCATAAGTGAGTTTAGTTATCACCATACAATTTTATTGTTTGTTAACAACAGTACATGGAACAATCAAACAATTATGAGTACTTGATAAATTTGATTCATTTTTTGAAGTAATAAAAGTAGAAATGTGCTGGTTGAAATTGAAGAATGTGGGGGTATTTAAATATTATCCGAGCACTTAATCTAATCCTACTAGAATAATATAGCAAAGCATTATATTAAACATATATAATAATGAATGAAAAATGTTGAGGAATCATACAATTCGACTAAAAATCGAAATATTCTATTTGAATTACCTAATTGATTTTCTTATGCCTTACATAAATATTTATGTAAGTATGGTTTGTGATTTTAACTATACAAATAAACCTCTAAATTCTATTTGATTACTCAATATTATTAACAAGTACTTTATTTATCATCAGATTTCAATCATTCCCTTCCTTATTTAACATTATTCCATTATTATGTATTCCTATATTCATTGCATATTAAATTCTACCAATTTATTTGTTAATTGACATTTATCTAAAATATATTATCTACTTTGTATTACTTGCTTATTATAATTAATACATCATTTTATAGAGAGGGACTATTCAATTAGTATAAGAAATATACAAACTATATAAATATAATTGTATAAACTTAATTGAATATTAACTATAAGTGTTTCAATCTATTCTATTGAATATTCTCTTAATTTTTAAATAAATTTTACAATAAATTAAACTATAGAAAATAAGGTTGATATAATACAAATTATAATATTTTATTCAATTGTAGAAGTATATTATAATTTATTTTATCTTATTATTATTATTATTCATTTGAATATCAAATATATTCCTTAATCTATTATTTAAAAAAAAATATATATATATGATATTAATTTTAAAGTTTAACAGAGAAATAAATTACTCATAAAAAATACAAATAGAATAACTATTAAATTAAAAATTCTAGTTATTAAGAAAAATGTAAAATAATAATCTAAAAAGGAATATAAATGATTATAAACTTCATTTAATTAAATAAACAAAAAATAAAGTATTTCAATTCCTATGGGATTAAATTATTTAGAAGTAAGAATTTAACATATTAAATGAATAGAATGAACTCTAAAATAATCAGATATTATATTTTGTAAATAACAAATAAAATTAATTATTCCAATATATATTTAGTATATTGTATTAATTATATATAATAAGAATTAGTAATAATATATTATGTATTTTATATAAAACCTTTTAATAAAAAGTTCATTTATAGTTAATTTATGAAAATCAATTAAAAAGACCTGCATATTAAGCAATTTCTTTGGCATCATCTTCATATTCCCTTTCTTCTTATCCTTCTTCTTTATCTTATGTATTTTCATTCATATATGATTTTTTTTTACTCATATCGTGCAATCTACTAATATAGATTATTTTTCTAGCACATAAATCTAAAAATTTAGGTTGATTCTAATAAATGTTAAATAGTATTACTCTAAATTAATACATTACATCTTCTATATTCAATTTCAAATTGTCTTCTTATTTTTCAATTGATCTCTTTATTGATTTATCCAATACTCTTTATAAAAAATGGACAGCAGCCTTTTAAACTTCTTAAATAGCCAAAGGATCAGGATCTTTTTCTCCTGCATTAGATTAAAATGCTGCTCTAATTGGTCCTTCAAATATTTTATTTGAGATTTTTGGATTTTTGCTACTAAATAATTCATTTTTCATTATTATTTTTAATAATTATTAATATTTATATTATATATAAAAATATTTTATTAATATATGTTTTAAATGTATGAAGAGATCAAATAATTAATATAATTTTGAATCTAATTCAATACATTATATATATATACATAAATATATAAATTTATTTATAAAATAATATTCAATAATTAATTAAACTATCAAGACAATGCTCCATATTGAATTTATTTTAACAATCTAATTTATATTTTAGATATTTAAGTGGATTATTGAGTAATTTTTAATTATCTGGCATGAATTGATCATAATATTTGATTCTATGATATTCTAATTTCTCAGATAAATTGCCAAATGGATCTGGACGAGTATTCTAAACAGTTTTATTGTTTGTAGAATGTAAATGAGGCAATTAATAACTTTATCCTCCAGAAGAATATGATTGATTTTATGTTTGATTTGGTTATTTATTTGTTGTAAATGTTTAGGGTGTTTTAGTATCAGTTGTTTGTCTGATAGAATGTAGAGATATTTTATAAGGATCAGAAGTAGGAGGATCAGTTTACAATTCTACTTATAATTCTTAAATTCTTTATTTAAATTGTTCTATATTTGATGAAAGATTGAAACGATCTTAGTTACTTTGTGATTCATTAAATTTCTTAGTATATTATTAAATAGATCTATTGAACTCTTGCAATCCTGTTTTAACATCACTTAATTCATCCTTTTTTTCAGAACTTTCTGGAGCATGAAGACTACTCATGTCAATTCCAAGACGTTGTAATTTAGATTAACTTAAATCAATATCTGAATCCTCAGACATTATCTAATCATTTTAAAGATCAGCTAAAGTTAATGCAGCTGGAAAGTATGCTGAAACTTTGTTTCTGTTAGTGTCTGTTAACATTTATTATTTGCGCAATATTATTATTATAATTATTATTCAATATTATCGTTTAATATTTAATATTTATTAGCATAATTATATAACTGCATTAATATCTAAATTTCTGTTCTTTTATATTTATATTTATAAATCATGATAAATAGTAATTAAATATATAATAATATAGAATATATATATATTATTTTTAATACATTATTATTGTAAATTGAAAGTACTTATTTAATATTAATAATTCTTTTTTATTTATTATTATCAAAATAGCTATCTCCTTTCTATTATAAATCTTTGAATATATTGTACAAATTATTAAAGTTGAATCATATATTCATTATAAATAAAAATTAATGAATTAAGTTGCAAATCATCAAGGAATAAATTAATTAGTGTATGGAATCCTTATTAAAATAAAAATGCATAAATCCAAACGAACTTAGATAATTTTGTTTTTGAGTCCTAATGAAGCTCGAATGATTTAAATGGTAATCTAATAATAAAATTTAGCTTGATCCTCTTGGTACTTTTAGTAATTATTTTGATCTTACATAAATTTCTGATATGACATCAGAGGAGAAAAACAAATTGAAAATTATTAATTCATAAGGAATATACATTAAACTATACTTTGAGAATCAATAATAATTAAATATCATTAGAGAAGGTTTGCAATATCTAATAGCTGAGGCATTTCGTATTTAAAAATAGTTAGATAATTATAATCAAATTTGGAGCAATGCTTTAAAATTGATTACTAAATCAGATCTTGATATGGATAATAAACTCAATTTTAAGGAATTCTAATTTCTAATTGGAGAATTATAAATTGAAATTACAGAGAGAAAACTTTTATAGCTATTTGATAAACATTAAAAAAATAATCAATTAGATGAAGCTACTTTATATAAATTACTTATGGAAATTACAAGGAAACATGAATTGATTCAATTATATCAAAAATATTGTAGTAAATAAGAAGGTTTATTTGATGATCCACATAATACTATGTTGATGAGTGCTCATGATTTAGAAACATTCTTTTTAATTGAATAAGGTTAAAAAGATTATTAAGCTAAAAAATAGAATTATAATTTTTATGATTTTTAAAATATTATCTTTAATTAAGATAATTCAATTTTTTAAACTAAAGATTTTGATAAATCTTAACCTCTTACATCATATTTAATTAATTCATCTCATAATACTTATTTAGAAACAAATTAATTAACAGGATAATCAAGTTGTTTTGCTTATTAAGATGCTTTCAAAATGGGATTTAAATGTGTAGAATTAGATTGTTGGGATGGAGAAGATGGAGAACCTAATGTTACTCATGGACATACTTTAGTAAATAATATAAAATTTATTGATGTAATAAAAACTGTAAGAGAATTTGCATTTTTTAAAGATGATAATCCTGCTATATTATCCTTAGAAATGCATTGTTCCCTTAAATAATAAAGAAGAATTGCTGAAATATTAAAGTCAGTTTTAGGAGAAATGTTATTTGTAATTAAGGATTACAAAGCAAAACAATTTGCTTCCTTATAAGAATTGTAGAGGAAAGTATTAATAAAATATAAGGCTGATGAAGAATTTTTATAAGAGAAATTATAATTAAGAGATCATTCCTTGTCATTATATTGTACATAGACAAAAGATGATATGCTTATTTAATTTGATGATGAAGAAGATAATGATAATTCACTTAAATAATATAGTAAAACACTTGATAATAAATAAGTCAAGAAGAGTTGTAAAGAAATATTAGAAATAACTTCTTTATTTGCTGTATCACTTAAATTGAATATCTATCCAGATTTAGTATGGGTAGTTTCTAGTGTTTCTGAAGATAAGATTTAAGATATAATAAAAAAGAATTAAGGTAAATTTTATGATTATGTAAATATTTACTTTGTAAGAATATATCCATTAGGTTTAAGATTTGACTCTAGTAATTATGATCCTTTTCCATCATGGTCAGCAGGAGCATAAATGGTAGCCTTAAATATACAAACTAAAGATATATTTATGTTATACAATTATGGTATGTTTCTCAATAGTTCATATGTATTAAAACTATAAAATGATATTTCAATGACAATTTACGTACAAATTATAAGTGCTAGTAATTTAGTATGGGAAGAAGAAAAAAGAAGATAATAAGAAGTTGTTGATCCTTACATAAAAGTCAGGATTGCTGGAAACAAAGAAGATGTAAATAATTCAGAAAAATGGAGAACTGAAGTTATTTATGACAATGGATATCATCCAATATTTAATTATAAATGCAAAATTTAACTTAAACATGCTTAATAAGATGTGATTTATTTTCAAGCATATAGTTATTCGATTTTGGGAGATTCATTATTGGGATAATATTGTTTATCTCCATTAAATTTAAGAAGAGGTTATAGAATAGTACCTTTATTAAATTCTTAATTGAAACCATTATTAAATTCTCATGTATTGGTAAATATTAAAATAGAGTATTGAAAAAGTATAATTAAAAATTAACTTTATAAAATCATTATATTTAAAAATATCTTTTATTAAATTATAATTATTATAATCCATTATGATTTTTTTTAAGATTTATTATTATAAATAAATTTATTAAACTTATCTTATATATTTAATCTAATAATAATTTTAATACACAAAATATAAAATTATTAAAATTAATCACAAATCAAATGGATCAAATTATACTTATTGAATACTTGGTAACCATTAATATTATAATGGTTAACATGGAGTTCCATCACCTTATTTAAATGTAACTGATAACTTTTTCTTATCTTAAATATTTTTTTTTTCAATTTACCTATCAAATGTCCATCCATAGCTTCTTTTGCTTTTTATGCACTCTCTTATTTATCAAAACTCACAAATCCAAAACCTTTACTTTTACCAGTTTTTGGATCTGTCATGACTCTTGCTGATATTACATTTCCATATGATGAAAATAAATCCATAAGATCAGAATCTTTATGTTCATTTGGTAAATGAAAAACAAAAAGATTTGCTCCAGGTGGCCCTGTTTTTTTAGAATTAAAAGTAGCTAAATCATTCAAATACTTTTCTTTTGTAATTATTTCTTTGCTTCCATCTGGTGAATATATAATTGAACCAAAACTCACACTATTATATCATTATCAATTTTAAACCTTCTTACAATTTCTCCAGTCTCCCAATGAATGTAAATTGGTTTCTTCTTTTAATCCAACCATCTTGTATATGATTTAGTCTAATTATTATAATAAATTTACAATGTCTCTAATTGGATCTCCTTCTTCATTTGCAGGTGTCTCAGGATATTATGATTTGGCTATAGTTGCTGGCTACCCCAAAAATCTAACATCTAATGGCCGATCACTATATATATAGATAGTATTAAGAGTAATACCCTAACTAATTCTTATTATGATTATTTTTTATTGCCAATAAACAGCTCTCTTTAAAAGTATATGACACTATGGCACTAATTGAAGATTATCCTTAATTCTAGATCTAAACATCAGTGACTTGACCATATTTCATAAATATCTCTTTAATCATTGCCTCTTCACAATCCTTCTATAATCCATCAATTTATATTTTAGGAGATGTTTCCTCTGCTACTCCCAACCTTTCTTTTTCACCTTCTGCCCATTTAAGTACCAGAGGCTGCATTCCATCCACTGCTACTTCTTTCAATTATTTTGTAGCTTTTTCTCCTTCTTGCATTTTATTGAATTTGACTATAGCTGCACCCTTAGATTTAGCTTGAAATTATATTATATTTAATACGATCATCTTTTTTTAACATTTACACATCAGACACTGTATATCCTTAATTTGATAGAAAATTTTTCAATTTTATTTCATCCCATGCTGCAGGAATCTAAGAAATCTGTAATTTAAGATAAAGTGGCTATTCTGTTGAAACAAAAGAAGGGACATAAGACATTGTGTAAATTATAAATAATTTAAATAAATCCAATAAGAAAAAAAATTAAAAGAAATAATTATCTAACAATTGTACTATTTATAAGACTTTGAAAATATAGAAAACTAGATTATATAAGACAGATATGTAGCATTATAAATTTAATATATTTTAAGATTTTAGAATTACATTATGATTTAAAGGCCATGAACACTAAGATCAAAGTTTTAAGCAAATTAATATGAGTTACGATATAAATGGATGCTTATTATCTTATTCTATAAATTTATCAAATCTTGAAAAAATTAAGGATCATAAAAATAAAAATACTTTGATCAAGGTTATAGGATGAAAATGAAAGAATAGACTTAAAATATATATATTATTTAAATAGTTAATGATTATAGACATATAAATGAATTGCATAATTGATTTTAGAAAATATATAGCTACTTTTAATTTATCAGAAGTTATTTTCTATCATATACTGGATGAGCAAGTATCATTTATTTATAAATGGAAATTTAAAAATAGATTTTAATCAATACTTATAATTAGATTTATTAGAATTCAGAAGTTATTTGTACTTTGATAAAACATCTTATTATTATATAAATATGTAAAAAGTAATTAAGTTTCTAATTATGATCAATTTAAATTATATAAATATAATTATAATTAGATCATTCAGAATTAATTTAGAGTTAGTGTTAAAATAGTTAAATATTAGAAAAATATAATTGTTAGATTGAATATTATAAAAAAAGATAAATCTGATTATGATTTCTTTATAATTTTATTGATCAAGATGATGATAACATTAATTTAACATTTAATAGTTATCATATAAATTCTGTTGGATCAAAAATTTCAGTATTATAATATCAATTTATTTATTAATATATATATATAAGATAAAATAAATGAATAACAAAAGATAAACAATCGATGATGCTATGAAAGCTGAAAAAATAAATATAAATCCTTATTAACCTTAGTAATAAGGTAACTATCAAAATTATTATGGATACAATTCTAATGTGAATTACAGATATCAAACCAATATTCCTACTCAATATCAATATAATTAATATTATCAATATAATTATTAAGGAAATGCAAATCAATGTAAATTATTTATTAATTACATAGAACCAATAATGCAAAACAGTTATTATCGATCTCCATAATAATTTGTATAATAAACTAATACATGTTTCAATTAATAATAAAATAAATTCTAAGCACCATAATAATAATAATAATAATTTAATAATACTTAATAACCATTATAATCTGTATCACAATAACTTGAATAATAATAATAATCATAAAAAATTCAAATTGAAAATAATAATGATCATCAATTTTTACCTCCTGTCAATATTTCAGAACTTGATCAACCTACTAGATGGGAAAGTGAATTAAAAGTCTATACTCATCTTTATCGTAAATTAAATGTTGAGATGCCTAATTTAGTTAGTATGATTTTTAATCATTAATTAAATAGGCGCTAGATTTTGCAATTCTAGAGAAGTTTTCAATGAGTAATCATCGATTACTGTAAAATAATATGTTGAAAGAGCATTTAATAAATGCTAATCTGATGATGAAAGAAACATCATGGAATAATTTCTAAAAGCCACAATTACTGAGGCTAAACGAAAGAATGAATATACTACTAGAGATTGGTCTAAATTTCCTTTGCCCACACTTCAAAGAGAGAATTAAATACGTACTTAGTTTCTTTCATCAAACTTACCTATTAAACAAAGCACAGCTATGGCATTGTCGTCATTAGGTTAAACTAGTAAATTTGGGGCACCAAGTCAAGCCCAACCTTCTGGACCAGCTTAAAGTAATGGTTCTTAATAATAGAAATTACAGCATCTACTAATATGCACAATTTGAAATCATTATATGATTAAATGATTTAGTAATAAGTTGAATCAATTAATCAAAATCATATGAAAAATAAGAAAATTGACTATAGTATGGATTTGGCTATTTTGTAGATTGGAAAATTGTAACCCAATGCTACTACATAAATAAAATAACAATAAAAATAGTTAAAAAAAAGAATAGAAGAAGAAGACCAAATTATTGAAACAAATATGAAAATCATAGTATTATGGAATTTCATTTATTTTTAAGGGGACATGTGAAGATTTAGAAAAACCTTATTTTAGACTAACTGGTTTGCCAGATCCTAATATGATTAGACCTGAGCATATTTTAAAAAAAGCCCTTGTATAATTATTAGATAAATGGAAAAATTGTTAAGCTGATTACAATTTTATAATTGAATAATTTAGATCAATTAGATAAGATCTATTGGTTTAACATATCGAAAATAGATTTACTGTATAAGTATATGAAGAAAATGCCAGAATTTGTTTAGAATGTGGAGATTTCCCTCGTTATGAAAGTTGTTGGACAATGCTAGTAGATTTATATGAAATGATCAGTATTAGTGAAGGAAAAGATGTAAATTTGATTGGAAATAAAGTTGAATTTGATAGTTATAGAATATTCTATTTAACTATGTTAAATAAATAAGATTAATTAGTGAAAATATTGCATCAAAACTTAGATGATTAAAGAATCAAATTTGCATTAGGGTATTTATATTAAATATTAAATTATTTTTAGATTAAGAGAATCTTTTAAATGTGGGAATTATGTTAAATTATTTAAAGATTACAAAGAATCAAGTGAAACTATGGGGAGTGTTATTAATCATTTTTTAGTAAGAATTAGAGTTAGGGCATTGAAATAAATTGTTAAAACGTATATAAATCATATAATAAAATAATAGTTACATTTCTAACATTGATCTTGAATACCTTGCTGATTTATTAGCATTCTAAGATGTTGAATAATTTAAATAATTTATGCAATTTTTTGGTATCATAAACTATTTACTTTTATAGATTTAGTAAGATTTGATGAAACTTTAAAGTTTTTATTAATTAAATAAAGCATAAATGCTTTTGATAATATCAATTTTGATAAAATGAATGAATGAGGTCAAAAATCATATAATTATAAAAGTATAATCTAATCAATCTCAAGAACTATTAATTCTTTAATTCTACAACTCTCTATTTCTAAATATTCTTTATTTTCAATTTAATTTATCTCAACTATTTTTTGATAAATAAAATGAATTGTTTTTTATTAATTCTTATGTATTAATCTAGTTTCAATTGGAATTACAACTTTAAATATTTTTAATCATAAAATACACCTTATACTTCATTCTAATGAAATTCTATAACATTTATTTCAATTAAATAAAAAAATTCTTTTTAGAAATATCAATTAGTAGCTGAAAGATAAAATTATTTTCTTTTAGTACATATCTAAACAATAATTAACAAAAAGAAATCGAAAAATTTATTATTATCAATTTTTAAGGATTCTGAAGATTTAAGAAAATTTGATTTTGTATTGAATTTAATTTAACAATAAAATTTATATAACGAAAATTCAAAAGAAAAATGAAAGGAAAACTAGTTTAATCCTTAATTAACCTATTTCCAAATCAACAATAAGAAACATTGATCAAGTGTGTGTTTATTATAGGATTTGATAAGCTTATTAAAAAGGGTTTACTTATAAATGGCAAACTTAAAATATAAGAAATAATTGATTATTCAAGTAAATTTACTTTTCATGTAGGTAAATTGTAAACAAATGGAAGATTAGACTTTGCTTAATAAAATTGTGATGTGAGACAAGAACTTGATCATTTAAAAGATGAAATAAGCAAGTTGACATAGTAAATATAATATAATAATTCGATAATGTAAAAATTTTGTCATGTATTTTAGTTAAAAACAAACATAAAGAAGTCATGATAAACTATCATTTTAGAATATTTCTACATAATATGATGACAGAAAAAGATCAGCCTCAGTTGGATATAAATAATAATAACAATAATTGATTTAAAAGAAAACTAAAGAAATAACTCCTAAAATTACAGAAACTATTCCGTAAACCATCAACCAAATCAATATTACCATTTCAAAGCATCATTTAGACGATACAGAAATAAAATCTATAATGAGAGATAATTTGATTAAAGAAAAACCTCCAAAGCCTAATAAAGTGAATTAGGATTAACTATTCAAAAAAAATAATTAGATTGAATATTAACGTATAGATACTGAAGAACATCCCATGTATGAAGATACTGATAGGGTACCTGTTAGAGAACATTATATACCTTAGATTCTATAATATTCAAATCTCTAAAATAGTTAGTTATCATAGTATTAATACTAATTGCAATAATAATAATAGCTGTAATAACAATAATAACAATAATAACAATAATAACAATAATAATAATAATAATAATCATAATAATAATAATAATAATAATAATAATAATAATAATAATAATAATAATAATAATAATAGTAATAATAATCTAACATCTTCTAATAATAAACATTTAATTAATTACAACAATAACCGTAGTTTTAATAATTATAATAATCCTAAGTATCATCATAATCAAATGCAAAATTAAGTGATCATTAATCTCATAATACTAATTAAACATTTGCTTAACCTTAATCGAGTTAAAAGCATTTAGTTCCACCTTAAAAATCTCCAAATAGTTAATCGAGATCTCCAACTAAATCTCCAAAATTTAAATACCAACAAAAGCAAAGCTCAAAAAATAATTTAGAAACTGTATAAGAAGAGAGCTTTACTTTAGTAAAACATTAAAGTAGTCATTCAGCTTCATCAAAGGGGAGGGGATCCTACTAATAACAAAAAGCTCAATAAAATAATTAAGCTGTTTCTAAAATTAAGGCTTTATTAGATTAAGATAAGAAAATATACAAATAACATTTGATAGATGTTGCAAGTGAACGAAGATCATTTATTAATTCTTCTGATAAGATGAAGAAAAATTAAGAAGAAATATAATCTGAGTAAAGCCAAACAAAACATTAAGAAATTGGTGATTCAGTAAATAAAAGACCATTTTCTAACAATAGTTTTTATAAATAATAATAGCATCAGTAAATCTCACCGTAATTAGATTCGGAATCTAAATGTTAAGGACTAAATCCCTTAAATTAGTTTTAAGGCTCTGTTTCAATGACTAATTCAAATCGAGTTAGCAATTTCTTAGTTAACCCTCATTTATAGGATAACATACCAATTAATAGCAAATATAAGTAGCATATATTGAATCAATACTCTCCTAAATTAAAATATTAAGTAAGACCATAGAGTGTTGGTAAATAATAGGAGAGTGACTTCAAAAGATCAAATGATTTCAATAGAAGTTCAGTTAGCAGTACATTTTCAATGTTTAATCCTAATGAAGAATTGAAGACATTTTTTTAGAATGATTTTTTAGAGAGAAAACGATATATCCCTTAAGGATACAGTGATATGACAAAATAAGTAATTTAATTAAATAATAAACATTAGTCATCCCTAAATTCCTCATAAGATCATAATTAACATTAAAGTAAGTACATTAGTTAAAGTCAAATAGAAGAGCAGTAGAATTATAGTAAGAATTTATACAGTCCTTAACAATATTAAAATATTGATAAATCTAATGTTTTCAATAATAATAGGCTTAGTGTTACTAGAATACTAAATAATTCATAAATATGAAAATATATTTTTATTATTTTAAATGAAATTATTATTGCATACTTTTTGTAGTTGTTTCTTAATCTAATAAAATTATTACAAATAAAGAATAATTGAAGATTCATTTAAAACTTAGATAGTAAATTAAATTTAGATTGAAAAATTTTAAATGAAAATTAATAAAAACAGACGAATATATATTAAATGAGATATAAAAAAGTTTGTTATAAATTGGGTATTTGAAGGTAAAGGATAAAAGGAACTAACACTTTATTTTGAATGATTATTAATTTTCAATATATATATACAAAAGAGTCAAATGATGTAGTTTTATTTGAAGTATTATTTCTGGAACAATATGTATTTAATTTTGTTATTATCATATTTAATCGGGTTTGTCTAAGGTAAAATGAAAAAATTAATTTTAAGTATTAATTATAATTAAATAAATAAATGCTAAACTAGATTTCAGCTTTACTCTATATTTACTTTAAAGATTAAAATGGTGAATTGGAATATAATAGATTTATATAATATTGTGAAGTGATAGGCTTTCTTAACTTTATGGGTTTCTTTTTAAATGCTTTTGAATAAAATCCAAAGACTAAAGGCAATTCTTTTAAGATTATAGTGGAATTGATTTGTTCTTTATTAGGATTAGTATTGATATTAAGCTACTATTATATTTATTTTATGGAATTATCAATCAATAGTATATCAATGCTTATAGGATTGATATATATTTGGGCTAATGAATGCTCACTATATTATTTTTTAAGTGATAAGGGATTATACAGCATGCTTAGTTTATTTATTACAACTAATGTTTTATTGTCTAATGGAAATATTGCTTTGAGAGGATGTGGATAATTAAATGTAAATAATAATTTTATGGCTTAGAATTTATTTGATTATAGTTCAATCAATTTAATAGTGTTATGTGTTCAATTTTCATGGTCAGGAGAACCAAACATAAAGAATACAAATAATTTATTTTAAATAATTTCAAGATAAGATTGTTTTAGATTAATAGTGTACTTTTTATTATTTAATATTTTGAATAATACAATTAAATCATTTATAGAGAATACTTATGAAATAATACCAACTTTGGTTACATTGATACCATACATTTGGGCAACGATTAAATTTAATTAACGAAGATACAAATTAGCATTTGGATTATTCCTATTTTGTCTAATAATTTATTTTCCAATAGATATTTAAATAAAATAATAATATTAATTGCAAAAATTGCAATAATTGGAATAATTGGAATAATAAAATTAATTATGATTTTGTTATAGAAATTTATAATATATTTAAAATTAGATCTTAAAATATCTAGTTTTATAAATTTAAATTCTTTTCTAAAGTAGAAATAAATTTATAATAGTTATAATTTCAATAATAATTATTGATGCTAATACCATAATAATCTATTTGAATTAGTTTTATTAATTAAGATAATCCATTAATCATTTGATTTTAATAGAAATTAAATTGAAAGTTTAATCCTCGGTTAAGAAGTATCTGTGTATCTGTTTATCTTAATGTATTTGAATGTATTAATATATAAATATAAGTTTCTTTTTTATTGAGTTTCATGTAAGATAATTAGGATCTATTTCACAAAGAAACAGTTACATATACAAAAAATAAATTATAAATATGAATAATAAAGAGAAGTTAGCAAAGTATAAAGAAAAAGTAAATCAAGTCATTTAAAAAATGGTCTATGAGCTTTTCAAACATCAACCAGACAATTATGTATGAAAATTTTTATAAATTTAAAAAAAAGGTTGATTGGATGATTGAATACTTGTAATTGACAAGATTAAGCAAACATTCAAGAGAAAGTTTGATTGTTGAATATAATGTATCCTCTGATGAAGAAGCATTTGAGGATATTGATCAATTACCTTAACCTTCAGGAAATACAAAAGTATTTAGAAGTTCGGTAAGTGCAGAAGTGTTTGGTATACATAATAAGAAAGAGAATTTTTAACCTAGAGTTATTTAAAAAACTGAAGAATAAAAAAAGCAAATTTAAGAAAAGCTTATGAAAGTATTTATGTTTTAAGCACTTGGTGAGAATGAAAAAAAAATAGTTGTAGATGCAATGGAAGAAAAACATTTTGGATAAAATGAATGGGTAATAAAGTAAGGAGATGATGGTAATGAACTATATATTGTATTTTCTGGTGAATTGAATTGTTACAGAAAGATGAATTCTTAGGATACAGAGCCAAAATTCTTAAAAGAGTATTCTGCTGGAGATATGTTTGGAGAATTAGCACTTTTATACAATGCTCCTAGGGCTGCATCTATTTAAGCTAAAAATGATGCAGTTCTCTTTGCTTTAGATAGAAGCACTTTTAATAATATAGTAAAAGATGCAACCATTAAAAAAAGAGAATAATATGAAGAAGTATTATCAAAGGTTGAATTATTATAATCAATGGATGCTTATGAAAAGACTTAAGTTTGTGATGGATTAAAAGAGGCAAATTATAGTGCAGGAGAAATCATAATAAGAGAAGGAGAAGAAGGAGACAAATTCTATATGGTTGCTGAGGGAAATCTGATTGCTTATAGGGAAGTGGATGGGTAATAGGAGGAAGTATTACGATATAAGACAGGTGATTATTTTGGAGAATTGGCTTTGATTCATAAAGTTCCAAGATAAGCTACTGTAAAAGCTGAAGTATAATATTATATCAACTATAGACTGATTGTAATGTAGTCTATCTTGATAATAATTCATTCATTAGATTGCTTGGTCCTGTTGCTAACATTCTTAAAAGGAATGCAGAAGCTTACAAAAAGTTTATTAAAAATTGACAAATGCCATTTATTTCGAATATATATTAAAGAAAATAAATAATTGTATTCTCTTAAATTTAATTAGTTATAATATATTAAGAAAAATATATATATGCAAAAAGCATAATTAGTTGAATTCTTTCTTCTTACATTATTACAAATAATACATAGTCAATAGAAGGATTGGAATTAAATAACAGAATTTTAGGTTAATAATTGCAGTTATTTTAATTAAGTCATCTCTTATATACCAGAATCATGCTAAATTGTATATATTACATCTAGTAACTTTGTTTGTATTAAAAATCACTTAATAATGAATGTTAAATAACTCTATTTTACATAATCAAATATTACGAATTGTGAGATCATTAAAATAGATTCTGAATATATTGAAATTCATAATATCAATTTAATTAATAACAATACCAGTTAATACTAATTTTAATCATAAGGAAACATATTAGTATAAGGGAATATTGAGTAAAAGTTTAATCACACAGAATTAATCATAGAATCATAAAATGATATTACAATTAAAGATGCTTAAATAAATATTGATTAATTAGCAATAGTATCACATAATGGCATAATTGAAATTACTAATAGTAATGTTATAAGTTTAAATCCTAAATGTAACATGAATAATGATCTAGAATTGACATCAAATTTTAAGATAGTTTCTTAAGAAAATGTTACAATTGATTCTAAATCTATTATCACTGCATCTACTATAATAATATACTCAAATCATACAATAGTAGATGGAATAATTTAATCTCCTTTTGATTGTTATACAAATCAAGGTGTTGGAAAAGCTCCTATTTTTACAATTGAAGGATTGATATGTTTAAGTGGAGGTGGATCATCAGCTGGACTAGGAGGTAGAGGAAGTCAGGATAAATAATGTTAAGCTCTAGAAAAGACATCAAAGTAATTCATAAAATCTCATCCTTATAATCATCCTAATTATCTAAGAAGTGGAAGTGGAGGTGCAGGAACAATATCAATTGGTAGTGGTGGAGGTATGATATTACTATAATCACTAAATACAATTTCAATAAATGGTGAATTGTTATGTAATGGAGTGGATGGATAATTTATTAATCTTTAAAATTAGTTTGGTGGTGGAGGTGGAGGAGCAATTCAAATATTAGCTAAATATATTGATGGAAATGGTGTCATCTAAGCAAAAGGAGGAAATTCTGATGTTTCTAATTAAGTAGGTGAAGGAGGAGGAGGAATAGTTTTAGTTTAAGGAGAATTATCAAAAATGGCAAAACTTAAAATAGATGTTAGATCAGGTATAAGAAAAGATTAATAAGCCTAAAATGGTACAATATAATTTCTCCCTTGTGAAGATGGATATCATCTTAATAAATTTTAATGTGTTGAATGTCCAAGTAATTCTATATCATTTGCAAAAAGAGGACATTGTTTTAAATGTCCAGGAGTACTTTTTGGATAATATTATGTTGATTGGCCTTCTTGTAATGAGAAAGTATGTAATTAGTTTTATTGTGATCCAATTACATTTATCTCAAATGTTATGTTCAGTCTTCTTAATCTAATTCTTTATCTTATATTACTTTTATTTATATCAATAGGATATATAATTAGAAGAATGTATAGGATGCAGGAAATCAAATATGAGAAATTACCTTTTGACTTTGAATCAGCCACAAGATATATGACTATTGATCATTTGTTAACTGATGAATTAATGAAAAATAATAATTTCTAATTGATTGATCTTATGTATCATGTTCATAGAATTACATTACTTGGAAATAATTCTCCTGAAAATCCATGGAAATTGCCATCTCATCCTGAATCTGGTATAGAATATCTTATGGATCTTGAAGAATATAAAAGATTTGCAAATAAAATTAATAAATTTGCAGAATGGAAAAAATAAGAAAAGATTTTATTAATAATTGTTTCTATTCTATATTATCCATTATATTGGATGATTTTAACTTATATAAAAAAAAAGAAATATTTAAGAATAATAGAATATTTTCATTAATCAAATATTATGAAACTTATGGATGATCAATTTATTAAAATAAAAATATCTAAATCAGCTGATTATACATTACTTTATTTTGATATTTTCAACTACAAAATTAGTGATTTAAAGTATTTTTTTCTAGCATGTCCATATTATATACTAGTTTCAGGGGAAGGTAACTTTCTTAAACCCTTTTATTTATGTGAAAGTAATCCTTTTCTATCATGTCTCTATTTTTCAATCAATAGAAATAAAGAGATTCATGAAGATAGAAATAAAATTTTAGATAATTTGGTTACTCATAAAAAAAGAATGGAAAATAGTTAAAAATTAAATAATTTCATTATTAAATTTAATAGATATGCAAGAGCTATTGATGTTGATAGTAATGATTTTGCACAAAATGTATAATAATTAATTATCTTTTGTAATCATCAAAATGTTAAATTCTTTTCAGATTTCTTAATTACAATTAATATTATTATTATTATTGATGATGAATTTACTATATTAGAAAATTATGAATCTTAAGAATTTATTAAATTTATAGAAGAAGCTAAAAATAAACATTTGAGATTTGGATTATTCATTTATGATTCAGAAGCAAATCCAGAAGAAATAGAAGATGTTTTAGATAATTAAAGAATTTCTTTAGAATAATCAAATTAATTTTAAGTTCTTGAAGAAGATAAAGAAAGTTTTGATAATGTTTCAAACCTTGAAGATCTTAAACATTAATATATTGAAAGAATTCAAGATTCAGTTTAGTCATCATAAGAAATTTAATCAGAAAAATAAAATAAATCTAAGAATAGAAAATCTACAATGGAAATATTTAATAAAATTAGATATTTATTCTTATCTCATCAAGTTCCAACTGTTGGTCAAAATACAAAAATATATGTTCAATTATTATTATCCATTTTAGATGCAGTAAACTTTTATATTATTTTTAGATATTTTTACCATTATTAATTTAATAAGGAATAGATGCAAGCGATTTTTATTTCGAATAAATTTTGTTATTAAGTTTTCCTTATCCATTAAGTATTGTTATAAGTCCAATTTTGGGATGTGTTTGGATGACTACTTAATCATATGGAATTGCAAAAGTTCATTCAATCTTCAATTCATTATCTATTTTCAACCTAATTGTTCATATTATTATAATGATATAAAAGATGATACCATTAGCCTTTGTCATATTATTTATCAATTTAATTCTAAAAATATTGCTAATGATAAATATTAAGAGAATACTGTCACTAAATATTAAATTAAATAAACTAAATTAAATTAAACATATTATTCAATGATTTTAATTTTTTATATGCAATCAATTATTATGTATATTTCTTAATAATATTCATTAATTAATTGTTTATACTTATAGTTTTTTATTTTAATTGAATAATTAGTTTTTATTAATAATGAATAAGTTGATGATACTAAGTTTTTAATATTTATAATTAATTTATTCAGAAATAAATAATTATTTGGTAAATAACTATTTGATTTCTAAAATATTATACTTAATCTGATTTTGTCTGTGTATTTTCTAATTAATGTGATTTAATTTAATTAAGGGAATAAATTAGTAGATATACTTTACTGTAATAACAATAAAAATACATATTGTATTGATATTTTTCTTAAGAAACTGAATAATAATAATTACTTTTTAATTATATAATTGCTGTTTTTTTTATTAAAACTCATTAATGATATACTATATTAATAATTAATAATTTGATTTATTTTTTGATAACTTATATGTTATATATGAAAAGTACTTATTTAATCAAAGATGTTATATATGAAAAGAATTAAGAGAGATAATTTTAATTTCATAAGAATAAGCTAAAAGAGATATTATCATAAGTATTATTTTAAATAATACTTCTAGCCATTGCAATTGAATTCAGATAGTATTATGTAAAAATTGAAACATAAACATGAATAGATGAAACTCACTTAATAATTTTAAACTCAAGAATAAAATATAGAAAAATCTAGAATTGATAAAAATTTAATGTTAAAACTATTAAATCACAATAATAAGTCAATGAATAATGCATAATCAACAACACGTTCAATTAATAGAAGTATTAAGGTTAATATGTACTTGAATACAATAAATAATGAAAATAAAAGTTTAGCAAATAGAATTTATACTCTACCGTCAGTTATTAATACATAAAAACATTATTTAGATTATTAGAATCATAAATCTGATCTAAAGATTATGTAGAGATTTCATAAATCAAGAATATAAATAAATTAAGATCCCATATCTCAATAACTATAAAGTATCTTAGGTAAAGGATTTAAAGGATCAAAGTATTAGAATTTAAATTTTCTTAAATAAGTAGGTAAACAAAATAAATTCTTATTTATAATTCCATTATAAATGAGATTATTTTCAAAGAGTAGTCAAAATAACAAAAATCCACCTCATTATTAAATGAAAGCCTTTAATGAATAAAAATAATTGGGAGAATCTAATATTTTGTAAATTAATGATTTTCTTGGTTCTTTAAGTGGATTTGTAATTTCTTCAGAGACATTTACAATTAAATTTATACTTTATAAAATTAAACAAAATGAAGATGTATATAAAAAATCAAAATTTTGATTAGTTTGAATTGGGCCATTTTCTGTTCAATGAATCAGCTTCTTCAATAAATACTAAGCAATTAAGAGATAATATAGAAGTATAAATAAATGATCCAATTGAATGTTATTTAAGAAAGGAGATAAACAATGAATAAGTTTGTGTAGGATAATTTGAATACTAGATAATTTAATTTTGTTATTGTGTAAATTAAAAGTATGTTACCATTGATTTACTAGTCCATAAATAATGAGAGATAAATAATAATACTAAATAGAGATAGTATAAGTATCCCCATAGAAGTCTACTTAAAAGAGTGATACTGAAATGGATAAATTGTAATTAGATTGATTTGTGCACATGATGTGTATAATTTTATTGATTTATATGTAAATAATTATCAATAATTGTCAAATAATAGATTTTATTAAAAAATGGCATAGTGCGGAAGATTTTATTATGAAGTTACTTCAAACATATGCCAACATTTTCAATTTAACTAAATAAATGCCTTATCTATTTTGGGGCCATTCGTAATACCTATATCTATAGGAGTATTCAATTCTATTGGATTGGGTGCATAGGGATTCTAGATTTTCATATTGTTATTGGTGTTCAATTATGGAAAGAAAGTATATTAATAGTATAATAAAAGGATGCTTCATTGATGAATTAACCTATGTAATTGGCATAATATTTACTAAGTTCAATAGAGAATTTGAGAAAAAGAAAATAGCCTGGTTAGGCAGCTGTAAATGAAAATTTGGTTTTATTATTGGGTCCAATGATGATATCAGGTTGTAAAATAGGATTACATTCAAAGTAAAATGATATGTAGATCTATTTTTAGAGATTACATACCAACATTTGTCAATGTAATAATTACTGTCATTTCTTTATTGATATTGATGACAACAACTTATTCTAAAACAAAATAAGTGAGAAAGATAGAGAAGGTGGCAACAGCAGAATAAATGTAGAATTTTGAAGATGATTTTATCAATGTTGGAGATGGAATATTGATTAATGTTGAACAATTCTTTACATAAATTTAAAGTTCACTTAAAAGAGAATCATTTATTAAGGTACTACCTTAAGAAATTTTGGAAATGGATTTAACAATTGATGAACATAAAATAAAAGCTAAGGATTTTTTAAATTAAAATAAAAATATTAGTTAATAAATTCATAAGAAATTAGTAACAAGAGGAATTCCAAAATTAAAAGTATTTTTCTATTGTCTTACAATTTTAATAAATGTTGGATTATTATTTTAGACAACTGAAATGCATTTATGTGATATAGATGTCTTTAAAAATTTTATGATATAAGTATGGCATAGAAATTAGTAATAAGTAACATGTAATGTAAGTTTGTTCTTTTTGCTTGCTTTAATTACAAAGACATTTGATATTATATTGCTAATATAATTGTTTGTTTCATCATATATTTTTGGATTTTTATTAGGTTCTGTTGGAGCAGCTGCTTAAATTGTAGTGATAATCCTTTTAACAAAATTAAAGAGAGTAGAAGTTAGTACTGCAGAAGTAACAATGACACTTCCCATTATCATGTTTTCAGTAACATTATCAAGTACAATCATATCTTTAGCTACTGGAATGATTCATGATGTATGTGGAGTAATTGCTATCTTCTTATTTTCTATTATTGGATAAAAAATAGTCAAACCAAAAGTCTAGAAATTTGTTAAACCTCTATTTGCATTACATCTTGCACTTTATTTTTAGATTATTATGTTAATAGTCTTTATAGTTACTTAATTTTTAAGGAACAAAGATAAAGGTTTGTAAGAGCTTTTTACACCAAGAGTTGTTTGTTTAGGAAGTTGAATTATTTTATTCATAAAAATGATATCATAATAATAATAAATGTATTCTAATTAGGAATTTAGCTGCAGAATTCCACATCACAAAATAGTCAATAAAAAAATTGTCTATGTGGTTATATTTGTTTCACACTCTTATTGTTCTGCAAAAGTCTAACATTTAAGATATTCAGAAGCTGAAAAATTACATAACAAATTGGATAAGTCATCATAACAATTACGTATCTCTGTTGCTTTACCATAATTTCCTGGTAAAAAACTATTTGGCAGTCATAATGATTCTGAATAAGGAATTTTAAGGCGTGTATTTATTGTCATTATCAATTATTTTAGAGATCCGATTTATAAGATTATTTCAACCAATTACTCAAAATTGATAAACTCTATTCTATACCATGTTTGAAATCTTTGTTACCAGATATCAATGATGATAAAAGTGATTTAACTTAATTCTTATAGGATAAGTAATTTATTAATAATGACACTTAGACCTTTATAATAATACAATTTTATTATTGATTCATTCTAACAATTAGATATGTTTGTACTGTATTTTGTTCAAGTTATTGACAATTTTAATAAATCAAAATGGAGATTCAAAACAAGATATTCAGATTTGAGAGATATTCATTAAGCACTTAAAGAACAAATCAAAATCAATACTATACCTGAATTCCCTAAAAGAAAGATTTTTGGAATTACTAATGATGATCCTTAAGAAATTGAAACTAGAAAAAAAAACTTAGAAATATATCTAAACTCTATATATGCGTACTTAAATAATATCTAATTAGAGTAATCCAGAATTAGCAAATACAGATATTTTAGATTATTTCATATAAAATAGTAGAAGAGAATCCAAAAAATTATAAAAATTTGATGAACAAAAAATGTTGTTAAAAATGGTATTTATTATTATTATAAAAAAATCATTTTAGAAACTTAAATAAAAACAACATAAACAATAATAAATTGAATAATTATAAAAGAAATTATTAAATCCTGAAAACCAATAGGATAGTGATACTACTACAGATAAATCATCTCAAAAATAAATTAAATAAATACCTAGAAAAGGTCTCTTCGTTATTAAAGAACTCTTAGATAAATATGAAGATGACAATACTACACTTTTAAGATATAGTTCCCTATCTACCAATCCATTAAATACAGTAGGTGCTACATAGATGCCAATAACCATTTTACAAAATAACTAATTGGAAGATGAGTATATAAAAGCATCCTCGTAACCGCAAGCTGCACAAATTGTTATGGATGATCTTGAAGATGATTTTGTAATCTAAATAGATGAAAATAAACAAGAAGCTTAATTAACCTATTAAAAATGACAACAAAATATTAATTTTATATTTTATAAACCTATTTTCTCAGGTATCTAATTTCCTTATTTTTTATATACTAATTCCATATTAATTTTAAATTATTCAATTCAATTTCAATTCTACAATCAAAATGGAAATTTCTATAATCCTACTAGTTTAAATTTCCAAATGTACTTATAAATTTTTATAATTTAAACTATCTTAATTTTATTTTGTTTTTCTATAATTATAATTTAAACTATCTTAATAATTTTGAAATCATTGTAAAATCAAAAAAAATAAGAGTGAAAAACATTTAATATTTATTTATTTTAATCTTACTATATTAGTAAATTTTAACCTCAAAACTTTAAGAGAATTTAAATACAAAGTCTTTAAATTAATTATATTGAATAATCAAAATGATGCAATGATTCATAAAAGTGTGGTTAATAATACAACTACATAATATTTGTTATTATAATTAAAAATAGCAAATTTCTCAAAATCAATAATATTTAATTCAAACCTATAGATTTTATAATACATTATTAAATCTTTTAATATATGTGTATAATATAATTATTTAATAAATTGCTTTAATGAGTGAATTTTAGAAAATAGATGAAGATGATTATTTTCGATTGAATGACATTTTTTGTATATGGTTAATGAAAAAATAAAATACTCATTTTGAGGATCTCTCTTACAAAGATGCAAAGAAAAAATTTAAAAAATTTTGTAAAAGGTATAACAACCAAAAGCTTGATCCCTTATATTACGAGCATGATAAATTAATAGAAAAATATCAATCAGATATCCAATCGAAACACAAATGGAATTTTAAATGAGTTAATTTATCAATTAATATTGTCAACTTATAAAACAAATTTTATTGTCCTTGTAGAAAAACTTTTTATTTTACATTTCAAATTTTGTAAATTAATAGCTAATTAGATCTAGTAAAAATAAAATGATGCAAATTTACTACTAATAAAGAAAAATTTAAGTATTTATTTTTAATTATAGTCAAAAGTGGGAAATAAATAATGTGAACAAATTATTTAAAATAATTATCTTCTAGATTATAGTATAATCTATAAAAAACATGAAAGTAATTTATTTTCAATAGAATGTAGAGTGTAATTATAGTTTCTTTATAGAGAGGAAAAGTACTAAATACTGTTTTATAAAATATGATAAAATAAGAGATCTGAATGATCTTTTGTACTATTTTTCTAATAAGATAGGATTTTATTAAAAAATTGAAAAATAGACACAAGCAATTATTGATAAAGAATGATTGAAACTATTAATGCATAAGATATGTAAATAAAATTTATCTAGTTAATTATGATTAGTTTACAAATTGATATGACAAATATAAAAAGTAAAGACACTCCCTAAAATTTATACTAAATATAATCATTCAAATACAACAGAATATTACTCTTTATTAATATAATTACTTTTTATAAAGAATCATTTATACTTTTTAGTATATTTTTTAAAGTAAAATAGTCTATTATACCTTCAGCATCTTTGTTCTTGTTTTATCTTAGTGAAATTCATCTTGAACTAAGTTTAATTCTATATGATATAATAAGAATATTAAAATTAAATATGAAAATACGCTGATTTTAGATTAATTCAATTAAATTAAATAATAAAATATATATGAATATAGATAACTTATTGGAGTAGACTCATCGTAACACTAGGAGAGGCATAGTATTTTCCCATACTCGGAAGACTTTTACAATAAAGCCAGACTCACCAAAAACAAGAGAAGCATGCCTAGCTTTAGGATATGATCCATAAATCTTTTAATTTAAGTAATTGTTTTATAATTCTATAATATAGAACATTTGAAGAGTTTGCAGAACCAGGAATAAGCGAAAATGTTTAAAAAATGAGATATGATCATTACATGAAAAAGACTGAAAGTAAAACGGAAAATGGATTAAAATAGGTGCTTTGTAAGAAATAAGCAAGATGCGTAAAGTGATAATCAAGAAATAAAAAGCCATCACAAATCTACATTTGGAGTAGAGTTATTAGAGAGATGAGGAGTATGAAATTTTAATTATTTAAGATTAGTGAATGATTTGATTGAGACATACAATAAGAAGATGAGTAACATAAATAATGAAGATAAGGATGATTCCTATCTTTCATTTGATGATGAGGATCCTATTCTAGTATTAGAATAGCAATTAGAAAAGGAGATAGCAAAATATAAGAAATAATTATAAGTGAAAGCCAAAGAAGTACAACATTAATTAGAGAATGAAAAAAAAAGATAAAAATTATAACATGATATGATTGAAAGAGAGAAAAAGATTGAGGAATTGCAATAAAAAATAGCACATTAGAAAGAAATTAAAAAAAAAGAATTAAAAAGAGCTGCATAGAAAAAGTTTAATGAAATTAAAGAAAAAGAAAGAGAAAAATAAAGAAAATTATTAGAAGATAAATAAAAGTAAGCTGAAAAATTTGAGAAAATGTAATTCATTTATATATATAAATAAGACGTAAGAAATTAGAAGAAGATGAATTATAGTAAAAGAAAGAATTAGAGGAATAAGAAAGAAAATATTAAGAAAGAAGACATATTATTAAATAAAGAAAATAAATATAAGATAAAGAATACAATTTACACTTGGCATCAACAATGAATCAAATAGAATAGAAATGGGCTGAGACTTCATAAAATAAAGATAGACAGATATGGGAATCCAAATTAGAAAGATTAACTATGAGAAGTACTTTACATGAAGAAAAGTTAAGATAATACAAATTAAAAACATAATAAAGAGAAGAATCTTTGGTTTAGTCAATTGTTAAGAAATTGGCTACTAAAGAAGAGGATTTAAAAGGTAATTTTATAATCATTTTCAATAGCCTTAAGATAATCTAAAGAGAAGGAAGAATAATTAAAAATTAAAGAAGAAAAATTAAGAAAAAAGAAAATTGAAAAGAGTTTAAAGAATATTAAATCTTAGTAATTTGATAAAGTTGAAAGTTTATAAAAGAAGTTTTAATTGCTTGAAGATTTCTCATAAAAAAGAAAAGAAGATACAGAAAATTAGAAATATTTAAAGAAAGAGAAAATGAAATTAAAATAATTAGATCTTATTGAAAATTATTAAAGATAAGAGAGATTGAAAGATTTAAGATTTAAATAATTGATAAAATCAACTTAATAATTAAATGAATAAAAATCATTAGAGAAAATGTCTAATGAACTTGTACGTAGAGCTTAACAAGAACTTTAAAGAAGATTAAAGAAAGATGCTGAAAATTTAGATTAGAGTTTAATTAATGTTAGTTAAGCTGATGAAAAAGTCTTGAAGTAATAAAAAAATATATTTTTAGTTAAAAGGTTAGTTAACTTGAAAAGAATTTATCAAATCTAGCTCAAAATTCTAAAATATTAAATTGACAATATCTTTTGTGATGTCATTATTTAATTATAATAAACTTTTATTTTATTTTTAATTTATTCATAAAAAGAAAATTTCTATGGGATTTGATTAGTAATTGATGGAACGATTTGAACTTTTATTACCATTTGTTTTAGAAACAGAAGGAGGTTAAATATATCAATAAGAATATTAGAACCAACCTAACAACTCTCGTATATCATAAGATTCTTATAATCAATATAGAAATAAGAAATAAAAATAAAACTAAAATATGGTAAATTAATAAATTAAAGATGTTTCCTTACTCACTAAAGAGGATATTAAAGAATATTATCTTGATATATTTATTAAAAATAAGTGTGATAAAATTCTAGATTTAAGAACTTGTTATTTATATTTTGATATGGTTATTAATATAGGATCTGAAAATGCTACTCTCATAATACAAAAAGCTTGTAATTCAACCTTAGATGGTATATTCAATAAAAACATTATTTCAATTGCAAATAATATTGAATAAAATAGATTATAAAAAAGTATTATTGATGCAAGAAAGAAATAATTTTAAAAATTTTGTGAACTTAAACCACATATTAGGAAATTTGAAAAGGATCTCAATAATAGACTTAGCAAAATCTAAGAACGAATCTCATAAGGACTTTTGAATATAGATAAGACTTAAAGTAATAGAGGTACACCTAACAATTAGTAAGGTATAAATATAAAGAATAATCAAATGAAAGATATTAAATCAAAAATCAATTAACCAAAGGCATCTTAAAAACCTATTAATCAACAACAAGTAGTTGATAAATTAAAAGTCAATTAAAAAGAAATTTAATAGAATGATAATAGAATAAATCTATAGAAATTGAATAAAATAAAAGGAGTAAATAAATAGACAGCATAATTTTTATTAGATAAAAGTGATAATATTCATTTGTCTGATTTAGCAACTGTATTATTAGTTTATAATGATCCAAATTTAGATGATAAACATAAAGGCATATGCTTTAGTTTAGATCCAATAGTATAATCAAACTAGGAAGAATTCAAATAATAAGAGAAAGTTTGTTGGCCAGATAAGTTTGTTAATAGGAATATTATTCAAGATACAGAATTTGCTTAAATACTCTTTGAAACAGATTATTTACTTAAATTAATGAGTCTTGGAGTTTAAGATGATGGCAAAACACCTTTTTAATATCCTAAAGAACTTTCAGATAAAGGTTTAAAATCATGTATAGCATTTGGAAAGGGATAATTTACAAAATTATTATGTAGATTTTGGTTAGTACCATAATCATGCACTTATCAATTCAAAGATAATAATTATGTAATAAATGATATAAAAATAATGTGTTAAGCTAGATAAATAGAGAGAATTAATTCATAATTATAAGATAAATAAGCTTAGGATATTAATGATATGTCATACTAATTTGCTTAAAAGTTTAGTGAATTATATGATTAAATAGCAATTCATTATCCAATTTTTAATAGACTTAAATAATTATTCAAGGCTGTTGCTTTAGGGAAATGGATGTATTAAAATAGAGTAAAAGTGGATTATTAAAAATTATAAGAATAAATAATAAAGGTAAATAATCAACCAAAAGTGATTCCTATTTTAAAATTTGAATAGATAGGAGATGAATCTAAGATACCAGTAAATTATACATAAAATGAGAAGATTTAGAAAGCTAAAGATTATTTAATTGAGAAAGGTCATCCAACAACTTAAAATTTAATTGATTAAGTAGTTTAATAAATTCCTGATTTGAAAGGATATTAGATTTCATAATAAGTATTTTATACACTTGGTGGTATAGATCCAAATTGTTAGAATATGATTGCATAGGATATTATGAAAGAGACAAAAGGAGAAGAAGAAGAAGATTAAATAGAAATACCTTTTTTTCCTTGTATAAAGTGTAAAGATTGTTAAAGGATGGTTGAAAAATAATTGGTTACATTAGATTAAAGTAAATGTTCAGTTCATAATGATTTTACATGTTTTTTATGTTTAGAATTAGTAACAAGTGAAGATAAGGAACCAAGATGTTGTGTTATAAATAATTTCAAATATATATTTCATAAAGAATGTAGTGAAGAATATGAAACAATATTAAATAGAAAGAAAGATTTATTAGATTTTTGAAGTTTATTCTTATAATTTATAGAATTTATGATTGTATTATTAATGTTTCATCAAACAACAATTTCCAAAAGTGCTGCTCTTGTTCTGTCATTAAAATTATTTTCAAATAATTCTAACAATTAAAGTACAATCTAGATTTATTCATTTCTAGAGACTCTAGCTTGTTCAGCTGCATTGTTGTCTTCTTTACAAGCAATTTCAAATGATTTTCTTTCAATTTCTTTATTATCATATATAATTTATTAAAGAAGTGCTTATTATTAGAGATCTTCTAATCTTTATTATGCAAATTCAGCAGCTGCTTAATCATCAGCTATTTATCCTGACAATCTAACATTTTCTTTTTAGAGTCGAATCCTAAATATAAATAATATATATACAAATCTTATTAAAAGAATTTCTCAGCCCAATCTTCAGCATACATTTCTCTCTTTTGAACATCATATATACTTTCAATTAAATCATTAATAATATCTACAATTACTTAAACATTATCATTATCTGAATGTATTTTAGCATCAGAACATAATTCCATTAATAATGAAGTAATACTCTTAAATTCTGAATTCTAAGCATAGTTCTTCACTATATATATATAATTTATTATATTTACATAATTATTCATGATGATCTTTTAATTAAACTAAAGCACCTCCTGGATGTGATGTTTATAATTATCTAATGATTTGTTATGCTTATTTTAAACCATTAATTAATCCTATCAATTCATCTCTTTTTTGTTCATATAATTAATGTTCTTTTCTTCTTTATTCAGAAAAATTAATTTATAATTGATCATTTCTTTGAATTTCAGCATTCTTTTATTCTACTTAATTCAATTTATTGGTTAATTCTTCTTATTTTCCTGGTATTTATCTTTCATAATCAGCTTTAGCTACAACAGCCTTCTCTTATATTTAATTAATTTATGAAAACTGATCAACACATTAAGCTTACCTTTCTCCATTAGCTTTACTAGATCGTGCATCTTCATCTCTTAAATCATAGAAAAGCTTGTTTAACATAGTATAAATTTATCTGGCAGCATTTCTAATATAATTTAAACATAGACAATTACTCTTATGTTAATTCAAGTTGAATAGTTTGTAGTATTTGGCGACCAAAACTATTTGAAGCTATTTATTATAAAAATTCAGGTTGTTGACCTAAAGTGCAAATCAGAAGGGTAACCAAAATAATGAATTTCATTATGAATAATAAAAAAACGAATATACTTATAAAATACATATAATGATAAAATCATAATACTTATATAGATAATCTATTCATTAAATTCCTATCTATCTAAAGAATGTCTTTACATGATCAAAATCTAATTCAGTCAAATTATTGTTATGTCCACAATCCACATTAATTAATTATCCAATTTTTGTTATGTAATGAGATGTCAATTTCATTTCAATATTGGCTCCTCTATCTGTAGATTAATTAAGATTATATGTCTATTATGTATCATCCATATATTCTGAAAATCTATCAACTATTTTATTGAATTAATCTAATATTATTTAACCATCTAATTTTAACTATTTTTATTAATTAAATATACATTCTCCCAATCATTTTGATTTCCCTCCAAATTCAAGAATTCAGTCATGGCTTATCTATAGATTGAATACTATTATATAAAATTATTATGATTATCATGCATCCCAAAAGTAAAACAACATGCAAAAAAACATTATACCTTCTCTTCAAAATTATCTTAATTGTAAATTAATAGATCAATCAAAACTGTATTATTGTATTTTAAAAAATACATTATTTCAATCATTGAATATAAGAGTGGCTATAATCTTTCTAATTCCTCTACTGTAATCATTTAAACATAATTTTATTAATTGTGAATTTATTAATTAGTATTCATATTTATCAAAGTTCTATCTTAAAGATATTCCATTTATTATTCCAATAAATTTAATTTCACTATCAAATTTACTACTCTACTTAAACTATTTACTAACAACTTCATTTATTAATTATTTAAAATATTTTAATTAAAGAAATTCTAAAAATTAGATGATTCTTAATCTAACATAGATGTAATCTTATTAAAATATTTCTCTTTAAAAGGACTAAACCATTCTCTTGCTATTGCTACTTACAATTAAGCAACATAAGGAATTATTTCATCTTTTGAATCTTGTACAATTAATTTATGTCCTTTATAATTCCAATAATTCATATATTAAGGTTTATCCCAATCTGTTAATATATTAAGTAACATTCTTATACGACTACTAAAACACTTTGAAGCTACCTATCCTATAGATGAAAATGTTCTATCAACTATCAAAAAATCTAAATTATTTAATAGAGCCACTTCCCCAGCTATTGATCCACCTAATGAATATCCTTAGATTCCAAATCTAGTTATATTGTAATGTTCTCTGAAATAATTGACTAATGTATTTGCATCTTAAAGAAGAGCTTTTGGATTAATTTAACCAGTACTTTAACCATATTGTCTATAATTCCACACTATAACATTAATTTTATGATTTTCATAGAATCTAAACCAATTACACTACATATAATTACATAGATTACATCATAGAACATATATTCATAATACCCACCATTGGGATTACAAAAGAGTACTGTATTATTTGGTTAATCATCCAATTGATTGATTAAATACATACAATCAATTTTAGATTTTCCATTGATAATCATTATTCTCTTTGCATTTTAATTTTTCAATTATATCATTGCCCTAAATTCATTTAAACCACCAAACAGTTCCAAAGAACACCATCTTTTAACTTTTTATAATCCCTTTAATTCTATCACATGGTTATTTGCAATATTATACATACCATTCAAATTGGTTATCAAATTATCAACATACTTTTATTCAATCTGATTACCTTTCAATATTTACTAAAATATATATTCATTATTGCATTTAATTCTAAGTATTGAGAGTATTTATTTAACATAATTACTATACTCTTATTATAATATGCTTTGGTTCTGCATTGTTTAAAATATTTATCCTTATGTTTCAAACCATTATATATTATTTATATGTGGCTGCTTGCGTTAGTATAAAATTTCTTCAAATTCCTTAACTTATTATTAGACTTTCTATTATTATTAAATTAAGTATTACTTTGGCATGTAACAATCCTTAATGATTTTAGTTGATCCTTTAGTATAATTTAAATGATCCAGGGTAGATCAAGACTTGGCATATCAATCTCAAGAATAAGTAGATGATTCCCAATAAGAAGATTATACTGAGAGTAAAGTCAAGGAATAAGTGAATAACACTAAATGTTCCATAAATAAATAGTATAACTATGGCGTAAAGGCAAATAATTTGAGTATCCGTTTTAATATTAATAATAATGAAAGTCATTGCTTTAGTGCTAGTTGGTTTATTGTGTGTTTCCGCTGAAACCTAAACAAGATCACCAGGCTAATTATTGGTTGATCACATCAATAGTTTGATCCTCTCCATCAGAAACGAATAAACAGAACATGACGATATCTACACAGTTTAATAAAGAGAATGCGGAGATGAATTAGGATTTAGAAAGAAGGAAGTCTAAGATGCTGTAGATGCCTTAACTAGAGCTACTGAACACAAGGGAAGAGCTTAAGCTGCTCATGCTTCAGCCACAGCTGATTTGATCAGAGTTAAGACCTATCAATAAATCCTTGAAGACTAAGTTGAGTTCATTACAACCAGAAGAAATGACAGAGCTGCCAATTTCAATAAGAAAGTTTAAAACATCAACACATCATTGTCTTTGATTGATGGTGCTGAATAAATTGTCAATGTATTTATTTAAATTAAAAACCAATAGGAATTCGCTAATGCCTCAGCTTCATTCATCTAAGTCACTAAACACTTCAACAACATGTTCCTTTAAGCCACAAAAGCTGGTAATGCTGGTGAATATGCTCCATTATTGTCAGTTCTTGTTGAATTAAGTGGTGACGGAAACGTTAGTGTCGATAACATCAACAGAATTAGATAATTATTAAATGAATTAAGAGAAAAATTATCAGCTGCTCTTTCATAATTGACAGATAATGAAAATACTTAAATTGAAGTCTTCTAAGCTAGAAAGAACAGAGTTCAAGATGTCATCACCCTTTTGGTTAATGTCTAAGGATAATTGACAGCTTATATTGCTTAATTATAAGCCACCATCATCAAGGAAGAAGATATCATCAACTCAGCTACAAGCAAGAGAATCAGAAACTAAAACTTACTTAACTATGCTAGTGACATGTGCAATGCCTTCAATACTGAATACAATGACAGCACTGGTGCCAGAAGAAAGGAAGTTGAACTCTTGACCAAATTGAGAACCTTTGTTGAATAAAGAGTTGAAGAATTCAATTAATATGGAGGAGATCCCACTGATGTCTTTGCCAGTTATGCCAAATAAGGATCAACCTAAGCTGCTGAAGCTTAATTCCTCTAACTCAGAGCTAACCTTAGATCCAGAAAGTGAGTTTTATAAAATCATAAAAAATTTAAACAATATTAAATTTATCTTATTTATTATAATATTAAATATCAATTAAATTTAGGATAACTACTACTGTATGGATTCTAGGATTATGGCTACTAATTATATGGAACATAAGGATTTTATTAATTTGGAATTGGTTATTATTATGGATATTAAGGATATGATTATTGTTATGGATATTAAGGATATTATTAATATTATTATTATTATTATGGATATTATTAGTATTATTATTATTATGGATATTATTATTATTATGGATATTATTATTAAAATGGAACATTTTATTATTATTAATTCATATTTTATTATTAGTTTACTTAAGGTACTATGACTGATGGAACAGCAATCATTGGCTTAGCTACTTATATTTTTGGAACTACTATTAGTGAACCTTATCCAGTGTTATTTGAAGGATTGCTAAGATTACTTTAAGTTCTTTGAGGTTATTCACTTATTTTCTGAATTTTTAATATTCCTAATTTTTCCATTTCTATTTTGAAATCTTCAGGTAAGGGAAGTACATCAATCTCTAACCACTCTACAGCTTTCTTTTAACTATATTGTTACTAATTTATTTTACCCTCCTTTGAATGCTCCAAATGTAGATCCTGGAAAACAAAATCCAAATGATTTGTCTCCCTTACCACCGAATGATTAAACCTTACCTCTATAAGTTATAAATGTAATATTTATAATTCTATTCTTTTTAGCAGATTAGTATGCACCAAATATTTCACTTACGTAATCATCAGGCCCTATTTCTATAATAGCATTTTAGAGTTCTTTCTTGGATTTTGGAACATTATGACCTGCTTTCAAAAGATCCCCATCATTTAATTTGTAAAATATTTCGAATCCTCGTATACTAAAATATAGAATGCATCACATTACTATTTATCAGTAAAGAAAATCCTTATAGCCTAAATCTTCTTTAATCCTCCAGCCTTTTAGAGTTGCTTATTATCATCAAAGATATCTAATTTTTAATTTTAAATGCCTATTTAAACCTTATTTGGGGCAATCATTGCTACTTGCATTATATATTATATATTATATATTATATATTAAATTAATTATTTTTAACTTTTTCAAATTTTCCTCATTTACTTTTCTAATATTTATAGATTTAATGGAAGTTCAAATCTAATAAAGTCATTTTCATTGAATTTCTATCCCTAAAAATTCCATAAATCTATTGTAAATATAAAGATATATATTAAAATCTTCTAGATCAATATCATAATAATCCACTTTCCTTCTTTTTTCCTTTTATTTTAATCCATATTTCCATCCTAATATATATTTTTTCATATAATAACCATCGTTCATTTACTATAATTCCCATTTCACATTAAATTACTTCATAATTATTGTGATCACAAACCTCTTTGAAGAATTATATCATCAAAATTTGAATATTCAACAGATAAATAGTTATCAATTACTAATTTTTATTGAATTATAGAAGTCATTAAATATTTTATATTGATAATTATTTTTATTTGTATTCCATATGTCTTTGATTATAAAAATATTTTTGTCCTTTTCTTTTCTTGAGTATTTAGATATGAATAGTTTAAAAAATTAAGGTAAATCACTTTCTTTCATCATTATTCTTAAATTATTAAATGATACATACTTTCTTAAGAATATAAATATATATAAATAATTATTATTTATTTTATATTAAATTAAAAATTTCAATAATTCTTTATTATAGAATTATAATATCTAAAATAATTAACAAATAAATAAGATAAAATATTTTAATAAAATTATTAATATGTAATAAATATACTAATGAATATTTCTAATATGAAAATGTTATAAAAAATTGATAAGATATTGTCATTAATAAAATTTAAATAATTTATTTAATAATAGTCTATTATTAAAGATTTAGTAATTTTGAATTTCCTTAGAATAAATAATTTTACATTCTAAAGCAGAACATTAAATTAAAATAATTATCATTTTAATTATTAAGCCTTATTTGCTTTGATTATTTCGTTTATTTATTTCATAATTTATAACTTTTTCTTGTATCTTGAATAGCAGCATACAATTATGTATGACAATCCAATAATCATAATCGACAGTAGTATCACAATATAAAAATAATTCTATTACTATTCAGCAGTGAAAAGTGGTCTCCTTATTTCAAAATTATAATGAAAATCTGTTTAACAGTAAAGCAAATCTTCCTATGATTCCATTTTCTTTGAACAGTTAGTGCTTTTTAAGATCATCTATATAAAAATTGAATAATAATAATTACATTTGTTTAATAAAGTCCTGACTTAGCATCTTTGCTATTACAAATCAAGAAAGTAGAATAATAGATATAGTTGAATTAATAAAATCCATGAGGAGATACAGCAAGTAGAGAATCATTGTTATCTCCATATTTTTCGACTCCTAATAAATTGCCATTAAAAAAATAGTTTTCCCTTAATAAAAATAAAGATATTACAATTAATGATTTTATTTATCTAAATATTCTTCTGTCATTTTTGTAAATAATATCTTGTGATCATGTAATCCTCTTATTATAACTAGATTATCATCAATTATATCTGCCCTTTGTAATTTACTCTTTGTAACATACTTTCTGATTTATATCCATTCATCATCTTTGATGTAAAATTCAACTACTTAAGAATTTGATTTAAAATTTTAAAGAACAATCAAAGTTTATTCTTTAACAGAAATAGAATGACAATCTTATAGATTAATAATTCCAAATTTATTATTTTTTGTAAAGGTTCCATTAAAATATATGTTAAATAAAGATACACCATTTTTAGCATCTAAAATATATAATCTATCTTCAAAAACTGCAACATCAACAATTTAGAAGTTATCTATTGTTTTATTGTATAAATCAATGGATTTTATAGAGCTTACATAATTCACTTCATTATGTGATATCTAATATATTAATAAACCATCTTCTTCTTAAGTACAATAAAGCCAACCATTACTAGCTACAAGTCTCATTTTTTTTGATGGAGATACCCAATTAGAGTTTAAAGTTGCATCTAACTATTCCTATTGAAATTAAAATTTTATTAAATGATCTTTGTAAAAAGCAAAAAAATATCTAGATTTTTCATCATAAATTAATGTTGCTATTTCTTGATTGAATGTAGAATGAGGTAGAGTTTAATTTTTTATATTTACAGGATTTCGACCATTTGTTCCAATCAAATAGACATTTCCTTTTGAAGATAATACACAAACTCCATCTGGACTATTTGCTAATGAAATCAATTTTTCTCTATATCCTATATACAAATCCTCTTCTGTAAGATCATCTAAATCCTTCTTAACTTGTTGAGTCACCAATGGCACCAATCCTTCAGGAGTTATTGTTAAAGAAAGTCCTTAATAGAAAGGTTAACAAAATGTCTTTGATATATCATTTCCTGTAAAATTGATAGATCTAATCATATAAACGATGATAGATACAATATTTTGCCATAATCATCAAATTGTTAGAAAAATGTTTATTATTCTCCATTAATTAAAATCTTCTCTTATTTAATTTCCTTTTCAATAATTAAAGAAGTGTTGAGTTGAAGTGTAGTTGTTACCAAAATAAATATGATAAGCATACTAATTAGAATAAATTAAAATAAATAGAGTTTTCAAATATAATTATAAAATAAATAGAAAAAATTTAATTCATCTTAAAAGTTTCAATAAAGAAATGGTATATATGTCAAGCATAATTTCTATTGGCAACAAAGTTATCAATAATCTAATATAAATTAATCTTAAATTGACTTTCACTACCACAAAAACAGATGAAGAAAGGAGAAATAAAATAAATATAACACCAACTATTATCTAATATATATTGTATTAATATTGCTAATCTTCAATAACAGATATTATACATTCTTACATCCTTAAAATAAAGGCTTCAAAACCTATATATGTATCTAGCTAATATTATATAATGATGTTATTAAAATCCTATGTATTAATTTATTAGTTTAATAATACAAAGTCTTAAACTGGTTTTCCTGTTAGAATTTCAGTTTCAAAATATTAAGTGAGAAAATTATCCATTCTACTTACCATTCCAGAAATGCCTTTACTTAAATAATCTGAATTATTATCTTTATTATTATACTTACCATATTTATTTTCAAAATCAATTTTACTTAATTCTCTATTACAGAATGGAATTTCAGATTATAAAAATATACAAAAGTCTCCATTATATAACCCTAGTATATATGTTTCATCCTCTCCATTCATAGCATCAGATTCTATAATGTTATCATAAATATCATTGAAATTACTGTGATCAGAACTATAAACACTAAGTAGAAGAGGAATTGTATTTAATTAACTTTAATAATTGCTTATAGTTTGAGTATAAGATGGAATAATTTCCTTCATAAAATTATAAATCTATTATTCAGATTTAACTATTAACAATATTGCAATAGTATTTTCAAAATCAATATAAAATGAGATATAATCCATAGCTAATTCTTAAGTAGGTGATAATTATAAACTCTAATCTTAAAATATCAAATAAGAACCAATGAAATACAAAATTATTAAAATAGCTAAGAATATTATTAAGATACTTTCTATAATTAATTTTATAGATAGATTTTGTATTCTAGAATTCAAAGGAATAGTTAATTATGTAGATTTTTTATTTTATGATTCACCTTAATTTTAACTATTTTAATTAAAAAGAGATTATTAATATTTTAATTTATTTATTTATTTTAAATTGACTTTTTTTTATGAGAAATCAGTATAACAAAGTTTATAACAATTTCTCTATTTATAACCAAATTAACCATAAAGTTATTTAATTACAGAGATTATTAATTTAAATTTATTAATTTGAGTTTCTGCTGCTTTTTCACTTAATCTATTTGATAACATCAATATTCTTTAACAATATAACTCTATTTTTTACCAAAAAAACAATTAAGATATAATAACTAAGCCAATTATTATTATTTAAATTAATATTGAATTAAAAAATGTTGAAATTTTTCCATCTTATTAAATTTAAAAAAATGAACTCAATGATGCAATAACCTTTTCATTATTATTAACAATATTCCCAAAATTTATCCTATATTTTAAAAGATTACTTAAATAATTTTATTCATTATCACTATATATTAATCTAAATCCTACTTATTCAAGATAATACAAATATCCAGTAAATTCAATATCTTCTATTGTTAGATTTTAATCTAAATGAATTATTTATATTTCATCTAAGTAATGACTTTCTTCAAGAGATATAAAACTTCCATACATATTTGTAAGATTTAAAAAAGTACTTTTCATAATTTCAGTTTATTCTTATAATTGATTATCAATAAATTAACTTGTATTTAAGATATTCAACTTTTTCATAGAAATTATCCAAGAATGAGTAAATACATTTAAAAAATATTTGTTAAAATTAATAGGTAAACTTATTTCAGATATAAAATTGATTACTTGATTATTAAAATCTCTAACTTGAACTAAATCTATTGACATAAATATAATAAATAGCATAATTATTATAAATTTTAAGATTGATATAATAGTTAGACTAGAAATTAGAGAAGTTTGTGTTTTAAATTTGTTGACAATTTCAATTGCTGTCTATGAAGATGAACCAGATTTACCACTAGATTAAGATTCAAGTAATGGTCCTTAATTTGATTGATGTTCATTTTTATTATTTCTTTCCATTATCTGATCATTACTAATGACTTCATGAATACTTTATGATTCAACTTAATCCATTATATCAATTTATTTAGATTAATTTTGTTTGATACTTTTAACAATTTGATTTCTTTCTGAATGTTAACCAAGATATTATTATTATATTTGAGATCCATTAGGACTTATAATTGAAGAATCCATTTATTAATCAGAACTTTTATGTATTGATTAAATAAATTAACTTGGTCTTTTATTACAATTTCGAATATTCTAATTATGTAATTCACTTTATTAAGCTATAAATTGTTTCTTTTCATCTTCTTATAGAATGCCTTTATCAATAAAATCAGAGCAATCAAATATGAAATAATTTTATTTTTATAGTTTTTTACCATAATCAACAAATTATATTTTAGCTGTACAGAGATACATGGTTTTTTATAACTCCTAAATATAGTAATAGTATTACATCAATAGCATTTAGAAAGTCTATCATTTATTATTCTTTTTATTAATATAATGTTGATAAATTACATTTTCCATCTTATTTTAAATCATTTTAAGGTTATCTATTAGGATCTATAATAAAAGGATTTTCTTATTAATTATTTTAAAATGATTTTATATCAGTAATCAATCTTTAATTCATTCCACTTCTTGGACTATTAATCATAGAATTTAGATATTCAAATTAAGTAAAAGTTTTAGTTTACTCAATCTATTTATGTGATTAAGCTTAAAATGATGAGAAAATAGATTCATGAATTTTAGATAATTAAACTAAATCTTTGTATACATAAAGAATAATTGATTTTTATAAGATAATTTCTTCTTTATTTTAGATCATATCATTAACATACAAATGTATATGAGGTAGAAACATGTAGACATAAAATAGATCAATATTTTATAAGAAGAATTCTTAATTATCTTTTGGTATTAATAATTTACTCATTTCTTAAGTAATACCAATAAATCTACCAGATTCATCAAATAATAGATAATTTTTGGATTCCTTTATTTTTGTCAGACCACCAATTAAAGTAAAATCATCCATAATATTATAGTTATTATAAATGTTAATATATTATGGTATTATAAATCCAGTTTTAGTTTTACCAAATGTAATAACATCTTTAAACACAAGATCTGTTTTTGCTTCCTTAATATAAGATTATAGAAATTTATCATGTTATTAACCAAAATATTATGGCATCAATTCTTTAATATTATTAATTTAATTAAATTCCATTATAGAATATTCAAAATAATTTGCTAATTGACTTTTATTTACATTTATTATTTATCCTAATTGTTTTACTATACTTAATACTACTAAAATAGTATTATCTTATAAAATATTTGATCTTGATAATGTTTTTTATTCAAATATAGTTTCTGTTTTTATTATATCTGAAATTTTCTATTCACATAAAAAAGAGATACAGTAATCATTTAATACAAAACTATGAAACATAGAACATATTTTCAAAGTTAGAATATTTTCACATTATTTTATATATTCTTCTTTTACTACATTAATTTATTATTCTCTTAAATATAAAATACAATCTATTATTTTTTTACTTAATGGAAGTGCAAAACTTTAAAAATCATATATTGATTAACATCCTTATATCTAAAATTTCCATATATTTATTTTATATTAAATAATATCAAGAAGTGCTTTTTAAAATTACTCTTCCAATTAACAAAATTAATATAATTCAAGTGTAGTAATTCTTTTTTCATTATTGATATCATTTTTAATTGATTAAAGTTATTCATTTTGATAAATCTTCTATACTTCTGAAATTCTTTTTTGTATATGTAAATCAATCCTTCTTTTTATAAAACCAAAATAATAAGATTTTTGATAATCAATATTCTATTCAAATCTTTTATATTCAACATAAGCAACAAGTGGCTTTTTTCTTACAAATGTCAAAAAAGATACAAATAACAATTATATTTCTTCTATTTAATTTTTTTATTGTTTTATTATATCAATAAATATTTCAGTTATCAAATATAATCCTAATTTATAATAATTAAACATATTTAAACTTTTATTAACAATAATAGCCTTTTATTTAAATTTTGAAAACTTTTCATTATTGATTAATTAATATATGAGTAAATGTTATCTTGTTATTGAATTTGAATTTATATTACTAATGTTAGAATATAATTCATATATTAAATTGAGTTATCTAGTTTATTTATTAAAGTTATATGGATAAAGATAAGAAAATAAATGATTTCCTAATATCAATCCAAGACTTAAGACAAACATAATGTATATTGATATTTATTCATCAGCAAAAATATGATTTTCAGATGAAACATTTAAAGTTATTAAAATTGCTAATGATTCTAAAGTGAATGAGATTTAAAAATCCATCATATTTTTATTAGGAATATCTGATTAATAATATAAATGATTTACACTTTTAATGACAAATATCATATGTAAAACAAATAAACCAATTAAATTGTATAATTTTGATTAATCATCTAAAATCAATATTATTGCTATTAAATTTAATAATATTAATGAACTTCTTAACTTTGTAAATTTTTATTACATAGGATGATATGGTATGAAAGAATAAATTCTTAAAAAATATTCACAAACTAAAACATATAAAAAATACAAAATTAAAGTACATATATTAATTATTAGTTAATTAGTCTAATTTTTATTGTTAGCAACAATTATTTATTATATGTAAAACTTATAACATGGTATTTATAGAGTTTAAATTGTAAATAATATTATTGAACACAAAAGACTTGTTCTCCCTTCCAAATACTTAACCTTTTATCTCTTTTAGTTTACTTCTAAATTGAAAAAACATAAGTAAAATAACACACTTAATAGTATTATGAGACTAAAAATAGTGAATGGATAATAGATAAAATTATTTTGGAATTCGAAAAAGGGTGTAATAGTGAAATATGAGGAAGCTTTTGAGATAAAAATTAAATACCCATCTTTGTATTTCCAATATTACCAACCATGTTAAGGTAAAAGAAGAGAAATATATTGAATGTAAGGTATGATGATTAAAAGCTTAGAGAGTGCATCTTCTCCTGAATTTCTATGTTATGAATGAGCTATAATGGTTAAGTTTTCTATCAAAGTTATTCTCATTGAATATGTACTATATAAATTAATTATTGGAAGCAAAATAATAATTTTGTATTCAAAATCATAGTGTTGTATGATATTTTTCAAATATCTATTTTTTAACTTATGGCATAAAAAATAATACAAATTAAGAATTCAGAAAATTTTAACTAAAATGCTAAGCCTGCATAATTTAATGAAATTTACAAAGAAATTATATAGTAAATTTAATTTGTTTATATGCTATCCTATGTAGCAATTTAAATTATAATTAATTACATTGATGGAATCAAATTTTATTTAATTAATTAAAATGATCAACCAACAATTTATTTGAACTGTGAATAGAATAGAAATATTAATTATTTTTCATATTTCTAGAAATACAAATATTCTTATATGAATATTTGTATTTTACTTTATTTATCATATATATTTTTTAATAAAAATTGATTTCTTTAATACTATATCAATAAAAAATGTTAAGAAACCAAACTCATTTTGTATTAATAAATTATGTTTGTAAAATCTTGAAATTGTACAATTATAACATTCAATGTTTTTTGCACTACTCAAATATATTATTTATTTAATAATGAAACCTATTGTATTTAGGATTGACCCAAATGTCCTATCTCAATTCGTTAAACCCTCAGGACAGAAGAAAGAAACTGCTTCCTAAATGAATCAAGTTTAAGATTGCTTAAAAGTAATATTAAGTTATTTATATAGCAATTGAACATAGATGATGATGAAGAAGTTGAGTAATTTACAAATCAACAACCTTCATAACCAGTAATAAAAAATAGATCAAGAACACTATATTCGAATGGATCAACTCTGCCTGAAACTTTATCTAAGAACTCAAATTAATAGATTTAAGAGATGAATCTATCAATTAGTGGATCTTCTTTGGGTTGGGATGAAGTATTTAGTTCAACTATGCCAACTTCATTCTAAATGTTTCAATTTAAAAATAAGAGACGCTATGAACCTTAATAGCAAACAACTTAATTCTAAATTTAATTACAGAATGTAAAATGTATATTTATTCTAAGATACCAAAAGACAATCGAACAACCTTAATGATAAAGAATATACCAAATAAATACTCTTAACCTCTTCTTCTAGAAGAGATAGATTGCAATAATAGGGATACTTACAATTTTTTTTATTTACCAATTGACTTTACAGTATAATTTTAATATAAATCATAATAGAACAAATGCAATGTGGGATATGCATTTATCAATTTTTATGATCCCTAAGACATACCAAAGTTTTATCTAGAATTTCATAATAGAAAGTGGAGTAAATTTAATTCAGAAAAAGTAATTGTATTCTTAATAATAATAGATTTGTTAAATTACTTATGCAAGAATCTAAGGAGTAGAAGAACTTTAAGGACACTTTCAATATTCTACCATTATGCATGAAAAAGTACACTTTAATTTAATCAATAATTAGGATAGAAGATTAAAACCCATTTTCAAATAAAGTTCAGAATAGAAACTAAAAAGAAAATGATAAATAATTTGTTTCAATTAGTTATTAATGGTTATATCTCATCTTTTAAATCTTTATGTAATTCTTAAAACTTTTCTTTTTTTGTTAATATTGTGATAGATATAAGTAGTTATCAAAATTTATTATTCTTATTTAAATTCTGTAACCTCAACAATTCTCACTATTACAAGACCATTCTCTAAACTAAAATATCTTATTAAATAGATAAAGATTTATTAGAAAATAAAAAATATATTCAAATTATGACATAATAGAATAATGGCTTTTTTAGAATTCTTATAATCAATATGGTTATTCACTCAATTTTAAAAAAAATATTAATAATACTTTCTTTATATATTACTTGAAATCTAACTACTTTAAAAAAGAAAATTGATTTTGGAAATAAGAATTTAAGTAAATCATTTGGTAGGCAGATAGAGAGATTGGTAGTATTATTCGAGATGTATAAAAAAAAAACAGGAATTATATAAGAATCTTATATTAATTTGATATAGATTTCAATTAGGATTAAATTTTTAATATAATTAATAAAAATTCTCACAGTTAATAAAAGAAATTAAATGAATTAATTAAATGAATTAATATTAATATTAATTTCTATATTAATTAAATGAATAAGGATGGTAAAGGTGAAATTGATGTGGATAATATTATTGAAAGGTTGTTAAGTGTAAGGGGAAGTAAACCAGGGAAGAACGTAAATCTTAGTGAAGCTGAAGTAAGAGGTCTTTGCATCAAAGCCAGAGATATTTTCATATCACAACCTATTTTATTGGAATTAGAAGCTCCTTTAAAAATATGCGGTATTTATTAAATATATTAATTTAATTTAGGAGATGTACATGGGCAATATTTTGATTTGTTAAGACTATTTGAATACGGAGGGTATCCACCTGAAAGCAATTATTTATTTTTAGGTGATTATGTTGATAGAGGTTTAAATTAATGTTAATTTTAGGCAAATAATCATTGGAGACTATATGTTTAATGTTAGCTTACAAAATTAAGTATCCTGAAAATTTCTTTCTTTTGAGGGGTAATCATGAATGTGCATCAATTAATAGAATCTATGGATTTTATGATGAATGTAAATATTTAATCAATATATAGGCAAAAGAAGATATACAATTAAATTATGGAAAACATTCACAGATTGTTTTAATTGTTTACCAGTTGCAGCATTGATAGATGAAAAAATCTTATGTATGCATGGAGGATTATCTCCTGAACTTTCAAATTTGGAATAAATAAGACGAATAATGAGACCAACAGATGTACCAGACACTGGATTATTGTGTGATTTATTATGGTCAGATCCTGATAAAGATGTATAAGGTTGGGCAGATAATGAGAGAGGTGTTTCATATGTATATAGCTAAGAAATAGTATAAGTATTCTTAAAAAAACATGAATTAGATCTAATATGTAGAGCTCATTAAGTATTAAAATTAAACTATTTAGGTTGTGGAAGATGGATATGAATTCTTTTCTAAAAGATAACTAGTCACATTGTTTTCAGCACCAAACTATTGTGGAGAATTTGATAATGCTGGTACTAAGATAATTCAAAATCATAGGTGCTATGATGTCAATAGATGAATCCTTAATGTGTTCATTCTAAATCCTAAAGCCAGCTGAATAAGGATAGGGAGCAGCTTAATAACATAAAACAGGCAATGCTAAGTTCGTAAATTGATTTATATTAATTTGTTTTGCAAATTTTTTCATTACATATAATATTTATAATAAACTCATCTAGGGTCTAATTTAATTTATAATTAAAGAATTCTAAATAAATTATTAATGGATACATTATATATATTGAATTACTTTTATAATACTTAATGTATTAAAGAAAGGGTTGACAATTTATAATTCTAAATAGATTCTAACTTAGATACTTTTACTAAATTTTACTTTAAGATGTACAAGGATAATTGATTAATTAAATTATAATTTTTATGTTAATACAATATAGATATAAATGATTTCCAAATTAAAATACTACTCAAATTTATTGTGATTATTGTATATTTCAAATTAATAATAGATTTAATAATAAAATAATGAATAATTAGTAGATATCAATTCATTTATGAAAATTAGTATTAGTGATTATTTATTTTAAATAAATAAAAAAAATGGAAATTGAAGAAAAGTATAACTTATTGATAATTGGAGGAGGACCTGCTTCTGTTAAATTTTTATATAATTTGTTTAGGACATCTAGGTATTAGTTTTTAATTCTATAATAAAGATTGCCTGAATATTTGAATGGATTAGGAATAGGGATTGTAGAGAAAGGGAAATGTTTTGGCTCTGGAAATTTAGAGAATAAAATGAATTATACAACATATCCAGCAACTGAATTGTTGAAATTAATGTACTTTCATAAAACAAACTAAATGATATCAATCTGTAAAGATCTAACAGATACTCAGGCTTATAAGACTCTTATATAATATGGAGAGAAATGTCCACCAAAATCATTAGCAGGATACTTCTTAAGATTGTTAGGTAGTGTGTTGTTGAAACATATATACACACTTAAAAAATTACAAATATTTCATCCCCAAAGAGAAGCAATAGCAATCAGACTGTTAGCTGATGGATGGTTTTAGATAAGAACACAAAGCTTATCGTAAAATTATTAATATAATTTATATATAGAGCTGATACTCAAATAAAAGATAAGTACAGAACAATAAAAGCAAGAGTACAATAAATAAATGATTTTTTAAGCATATATTACTTTGTACAGGAAGAGAGTAAACCCCAGCAGACATATTTTGTTAAGAATAAGGATTGATCGAAACTCTAAAATAAAATCCAAGACATATTGTAGGAAGTGGACAAAAAGCATTCGAGTGTGCAGAACTATTACTTAGTGGTCCTGTTATGTATATTAATAATGAACAAATAAATGCTTATACTTAAAAAGTATATACTTGTCCATTATGTAAATCATTGAAGTGTTCATGTTTTGGATCACTTGTACCATAAAAATATATTTGGCATTATACAGTAAGACATGATAATATAAGGATGTTGCATTACCTGAATACAAAAAGGGAGAGCTTAAAATTTATTTTACGAAACCTCCTAGACCATATTTTAATAATCATTAGAATGATTATATTACAATTCCAGAATAGTAAATAAATAAGAAAGGGGAAGCAAATTATCTTACAGGATTGAGGGGTAAATCAAAAATCTTATTTTTGAAAATGCTTGCCACTTAAGAAGTTAGAGTTTCACTTTCTTAAGATGAACCAAATTCAAATTAATTTATTGATGGAAAAGAATGCAAATGCAATTAAATAGAAATTAAGGATACAGATGGGAATTTAGTTTAATTTTAATATAGTTTTGGATTATATTAATTAGATGAGAAAGGGAGAATGAAAACACAAAAAGGAAGTTTAAGAAATTTGTTTTGTTATGGTTCTAATTGTATAACATAAGAACAATTAGAAAGGGGATGTTAAGATGAATATGGAGATTGTAGTATAGGATTTGATGAATACGATTTATTCTTTATAAACATAAAGAATGAAATCAATAATTAATGGTTTGATAATAATGAATTTCCATTGACTGCACAATCTCATGTATCTAAAGGTGGTGATTTTGATTCAGATCCAAGTGTTCATTCTGAAGTAGTAGAGACAGAAACATTTGCATTAAATTAATTATAGGAATAATTCAAATAAAAGAAAAAAAAGAAATGAATAAATTGAAAAGAATATGAATTTTTTTAATGATATAAATTTATATAAATAATATATGAATATATTTAAAATATATTATAATTCTAATTAATAAAAAATTGAATACTTTTTTTTGTATAAAATATGAATTTCTTAAATTAAATTTCACAAATTTATATATTTCAAATAGTTCCTTCTTTTTATTTATCTTTACCCTCATAAAATTTAATGTATTGACTAACCATCTCATTAACTTAAGGTTGAGTAACCATTTTACTATCTCTTTCAATGAATTTTCTAAATACACAAAAACCAAGTAAAAGGAAAAATATAACAAAAGCAGTTATTATTATGATATATAGAATATTCGATTATTCTAAAACAGGAGGTTAATATTCATCAACAAATGCACTACATTCAACAGGTGTAGTTAGAAAACCTAATTTAATATATATATAAATATAATATTTACTATTGCAAATCTCTCCAAATATTCCACTTCCAGAAAACTATCCTCTGTAAGCTAAAGAATTTACTAGAACTGATGGAAATCCATTCATTCCTGCTACTTATTAGATATATAATTATTATTCTAATAAAGTATTGATTGCATTAGTTTCATTTTTTGTTTATTATTAAGTGTATTAGTCAATAAATGATGCATCAACACATTGTTGAATCTCATTTTTAGGAATTTCCAACATATCTAACACCTATTAACTACATGCAGAGTATGCTTAAGGTCTTGAACATTTGAAATTGAATTAATCCTACATTTTATTAAAATATATTTACCATATATCCAAACCATTTCTTTGGGTATTTTTAGAATAGACAAGTTTATCTTAATACTTCATAAACTACATCTCTTCCAGTTCCAATAGCTGGTCCATCAGGATCAAATGCACAATATCTATTTTAACAAATACAATCAGAATTTTGTTGTTATGAGCTATCGTATGAAGAATGAAAACTCATAATAGAATATACTAGAGTATAATTCATATTTTGAGATTCCAATTTATTGTAAAATGGTTCAAATTCATCAACAATTCTGTAAGATTCTCTATCTTATACATTCAATCCAAATATCACTGATATTACATCTGATTTAACAACATCAAATTTTAAAAGCATCATAATCTTCTCATCATTTGAATCCTCTACTTTATAATTATTTGCCTTATCTTATAATTAAGTAAAGTGTTTCTTTTTGATGAATATAGAAGGGATTGTCACCTAATAATAAACATTCTATAAAAACCTAATATCCATGACCATCATCAGCCATAGCAAAATCTGATTAGATTGGATCATCATTGTAATTTCCAATAATTGCTAATTTATATCCTGCATTCTCAGCATTCCTAACCTTCGTTACAAATGTACAGTCCCCTCTTTCAATTAAAATAAAGTGAGCTCCATAAGTAGGTAATAGATCACTACATCCATTTGATGGATAAGCCATATCTACTGTTCCCATCAAACGATGTCCAAATGGTATAATTCTAGTTTACATAAATAACAAAGACTACCCAAAATTGGCAATACTATAATCAATGTGCTCATTAATCAGATTTGATGGTCTAATAACTTTAAGCTTGGATTGTATTATTGTAATAATGCAAACAAGTAGGAGAATATTATACATAATTTAAATAATTATGTCATAGTTTATTATTTTTTAATTAGATTAATACTAAAATATTAATATAGAAAAACAATATTCTCCAATTATTTATTCATTCATATAAGTTTATTAATTATCAAAAATTCATGTATATAAAACCATTTGAAGAATATTCATAAAAATAAATAAATTAATTTGATATGTAATATATTATATAGTATTCTATTTAAACTTAAATTTAATATCATAATGTTTATTTATTAAGGATTGAATAAAAACTATCTAAGTTTATGTAAGTATTTTGTTATTAATATATATTTAATTAATTATTATAATATGTAATTTAAATTGCTATCTCAAAATCGAGTCCAAACATAACCCACATACATTCACACTCTAGACAATAAATCATTTATTGTTAGCTATACTGATAAAACCTTTGAAGCCTACACAGAAGCTAAGAGATATAGTTTAAAACAAAATTTCCCATCTGCCTTATGTGGATAGAATATTTCAGAAGACACGGTTTTGATCTTCAACTCTATATTTATAGTGTCTTTTAGGATTGGAAAATGGAAATGGATTACTTGTGCGAATTAGAAATGATCAAGCTGATTTCAATCTATAAGAATGGCGGGAGAAATAATACAATCTAACTTTCTCTGTAGCCATTATCTTTATTGGTATCATCCATAAAATTATGAGGCAAAATAAATTAATAATAGTACATTGCTGTCCATGAAGATGGAACTCTACTTATACTCCAATAGTCTAATGATGTTCAATTTACTAAAATTACAAAATTAAAATACAATATAAATATTGGATAGGCTTATTTTAATTAAGAAATTGGAATCATTACTTCAGCTAATCTTATTTTCACTTTAGCTGCTAATTAAATATCTAAATATACTCATTGGGAATTAGATAAATTCAGATAATTAAGTGCATCTCAACTCAAATTATTTGGGTAGACCATCCATTAATATAATGATTATTGGAAATAGCAATGTTAAATTAATGGCACTATCTATAAGATGTTATATCATAAAACTATAATATATCTTATCACTGAAAAGGGATATTTTTATACATTAATTCATAAAATGAATTCAATTGAAATTGAAAAAATAATTGATTTCAATTATTCAAAACCACTTCAATTAAATCTAATTAATGATGACTATCTACATATATCATTTCAAGGCTCTTAATTATTATTGTACAATCTTAAGAATAAAGTTGTCTCAACATTATTATCGTATATTTTTAATTAATCTTCTTAGAATTAAATCAGATAAATAATTGATAGGTTCAAGAATAGAAAGAAAAGATAGCAATTTTCTTATACTAGTTATCTATAGAAATAAACCTTCAAATTTTTTAGAATTGTATCCACCAAAATTATGTGATGCTCATGTTAAATTGATTTCTAGTATTAATAATGTGGAATGAATTTATATATAGTTTATATATACTGATAACTTCTGTGTTGTATTATTTAAATTATCAAGATATCAAAATGATCAAGGAATATGATTATTTGTTTAAACTAGTGATAGTAGGTAACTCAGGAGTTGGAAAATCATCATTGCTCCTTAGATTTTCAGATGACACCTTTAGTGATTCCTATTTAACTACAATCGGTGTAGATTTTAGATTTAAAACTCTCGAAATTGATGGCAAAAAAGTTAAATTACAAATTTGGGATACTGCTGGTCAAGAGAGATTTAGAACCATTACAAGTGCATATTATAAAGTATTCAATTATATATACATTAAGGGAGCTGATGGAATTGTTTTAGTCTATGATGTTTCCTCCCTTGCTACCTTTGAAGATATTGACAAATTTTGGATCAACGAAGTGGATTCATATGCTGAAAAAAATGTTGAATTATTATTATTGGGAAATAAAAGTGATATTGAGGAAAAAGTGTAATTGCGCATCTCCTCTATAATAGAGTAACTACACAAAAGGCCTTAGACTATGCTAGTATAAGAAAAATGGCACACATGGAAGTAAGTGCCAAGACTGCTGATTAAGTCTCTAAAGCCTTTCTATCTTTAGCTAGAAAATTGATAGCCAAAAAGGATTCTCAAGGATCAAAAGGAACTGGGTATCAATTTTCTTATTATTTTAAGGCCTCAAAAAACACAATAAACAACTGGATAAAAAATTGGATAGCAAAGTGAAGAGAATAAAAAAGAAAAAGAAGGATGTTGTTGAATGTATAAATATGTTTAAAGTATATACTTATTTTTATTATATTTTTTTTTTTTATAATATTCAAAAGTTCTATGTATATAAATTAACTAATTATTAAACAAACAATTATATATATATACATAATAGAAATTACAATAATATTAAGTGCTTATCCTATTTCAATTATATTTCTATAATATGAATTTACTTTTATTTAACTTACTTTTTTATTTATTCTAAATATAGTACTCATATGAAAATTATGATTTACATATATTTGTTATCTGATTGTCTTAAAAATTGTAGAATGTTGAATTAAACAATAAGATGAATGAGTCAAACATATTGTTCTATTTTTATTAACTTTTGAGTATTATCAATATTTTTTTAAAATTAAGCTTTGATTTTTTATTGGTTTTTATACAAAGTTATCATAAACTTATATAGATTCTTAACTTATTATGATGATAGTTATTGAATAGATATGATAATATATGTAAATTGCTTTAATTATTATTAAAAATTAAATAACTGATCATAATATTGCGTTTGAAAAAATAATGGTTCGCATTAATAAAGGTTTGAAAAGTGATTCTTAGTTTGAAGCAATTGTAATAATAAAAATATCTCAGCAACTTCAACATGTATAGATACATCTCCGAACTTGGATTTAGAACACCAGCCATCATTAATTCTCTTAAAATATTCATTAGAGATTTCAAAGATGTGCCATCTGTCTCAGTAACCAAATTAAATTCCGAACAAATCTATTCTGCTCTTGAGATCCATTCTCTACCCTGGAAAACATCAAGTGACTCCTCAAAGCTAACTAAAGAATTCAAATTCAATTCATTCAAAGAAACTTTTGCTTTTATGGGATCAATTTCTACTAATTATTAGATTATCCAAAATGGACATAAAAAGAAAATGTAGTTACTGTAGAGATGACAACACCAGAATGCTCAGGTGTTTCTGTAAAAGACATTCTATTAGCTTATGCTATGGAATAATTGTCAAATGAAGTCTCGACTACTCAAATCACAACTGTGTGTGATGGCCCAAAAGTTGTTGATACACAAATACTACAAAATTGGAACTCAAATTTCTCAAAAACTGAGGAAATGCTCCAAAGTTTTTAGANATTTTTTTTTTTTATAATATTCAAAAGTTCTATGTATATAAATTAACTAATTATTAAACAAACAATTATATATATATACATAATAGAAATTACAATAATATTAAGTGCTTATCCTATTTCAATTATATTTCTATAATATGAATTTACTTTTATTTAACTTACTTTTTTATTTATTCTAAATATAGTACTCATATGAAAATTATGATTTACATATATTTGTTATCTGATTGTCTTAAAAATTGTAGAATGTTGAATTAAACAATAAGATGAATGAGTCAAACATATTGTTCTATTTTTATTAACTTTTGAGTATTATCAATATTTTTTTAAAATTAAGCTTTGATTTTTTATTGGTTTTTATACAAAGTTATCATAAACTTATATAGATTCTTAACTTATTATGATGATAGTTATTGAATAGATATGATAATATATGTAAATTGCTTTAATTATTATTAAAAATTAAATAACTGATCATAATATTGCGTTTGAAAAAATAATGGTTCGCATTAATAAAGGTTTGAAAAGTGATTCTTAGTTTGAAGCAATTGTAATAATAAAAATATCTCAGCAACTTCAACATGTATAGATACATCTCCGAACTTGGATTTAGAACACCAGCCATCATTAATTCTCTTAAAATATTCATTAGAGATTTCAAAGATGTGCCATCTGTCTCAGTAACCAAATTAAATTCCGAACAAATCTATTCTGCTCTTGAGATCCATTCTCTACCCTGGAAAACATCAAGTGACTCCTCAAAGCTAACTAAAGAATTCAAATTCAATTCATTCAAAGAAACTTTTGCTTTTATGGGATCAATTTCTACTAATTATTAGATTATCCAAAATGGACATAAAAAGAAAATGTAGTTACTGTAGAGATGACAACACCAGAATGCTCAGGTGTTTCTGTAAAAGACATTCTATTAGCTTATGCTATGGAATAATTGTCAAATGAAGTCTCGACTACTCAAATCACAACTGTGTGTGATGGCCCAAAAGTTGTTGATACACAAATACTACAAAATTGGAACTCAAATTTCTCAAAAACTGAGGAAATGCTCCAAAGTTTTTAGAAGACTACAGCTTAACTTTGATTTTATATCAAAATATTATAATTTATTTACATAATTAATATAAGATACAATAGAAATTATTATAAAAATTTATATAATTAGGGATTATGTGTTTAATAATTTTATAACAATTTCTTCAACATAATAAACGCAAAAATTTTATATAATAAAAATAAATTGTTTTTGATAAATAAAGTATTTATAGAAATAATTATTAGAATTAAATATATATATATTTAAGTCTAATTTTTTTATATCATAGTTAATTAAATTAAGGTATTTTTACAACCTTAGTTTAATTAAAGTAATATATATATTTTGAATAAGTTTTATTTATTTATCTTGTTCATTTTAATATATTTTTATATAATAAATTGAACTAATTAAATAAAATTAGAGAATTTTGATTGGAATAACAATTAATATTATAAAGATCAATGAATTTTATTTATTAATTATAATGAATAATTCATAAAAATAAAGTTTTAATGATTAATCTCATTTGAATGAAGAATATGTTAGTGTGATAAAGTAAATACATGAGATTGTTGATGAGGAAATCATTAATCGTTTTGCTTAGAAAATAGCATTGAATAAAATATTTATGAAGATTGTAAGAAAGAATTATGATTATAATTTAATTCGATTGGGATTATATTTGATATTATTTTTGAGTATATGGATTTTAAGTTATGTAAAAATAATTTGGTTATTGACTGCTATAATTTATCCAATGAAATTCAAATTGAATAGTGAATAAGATTAGTTACGTTAAATTATGTATTATATGATATTGGGAGTAATGTTATTATTGGATCCTTTACTTTATGTAATAATAGAAAAGATGATTCCATTATATGGGATAGTGAGATTTTTGATAATATATTGGTTAATACACAATAAATACTATGGCTGCAATGTGTTATATATATTAGTATTTAAGAAATTGAAATAAATGGATCCTGAGAAAATCAAAGAAGATTTATTGGATATAGTTGATAAAATGTCTGCAAGAAACTTTTGATAATTATTAGATTTAATATTTAATGAAATAAGCTACGATTTTTTTGTCTGCTGCTTGTCCTTCAACAGATGTACATTTGGCACGTGTGATGTCAGCCATTAAGGTAGCCAAACCAGACACTGAATTCCGTTTTGTTGGTATTGGAGGTCCTTAAATGGGTCATGAAGGATTAGAAACAATTGGAGTAGATTATCATGAATTCCAATACAAACCATTCTTTCCATTCAGAAATTTCTATAGATTAGCGTACACTCTATTGCTAAGTTAGTACTGAGAATGCAATGCATCCAGTCCATATGTACAAGAGATGGATCAATAAAAAAGTTTTGAATAAACTTGATAAGTAATACTTTGAAATTGTTTAACATTATCAACCATCAGCATTCTTGAATTTTGAAAATGAATTCTTCATGATTCAATTCTATAAGAAATTAAGAGAGTCCTATCGTCATTTCAATCGAATTTGTCCTCCTACATTCCAATATGGTTTAACACATAAAGATTAACCTCAATATGGTTAAAAGTATGTAGATCATTGGTTCACAAGAACTCCAATGAAACAAGTATAATATCATAATTATTTAATTAAAGAGTAATTGGGAAAAATTTACATTCCCTCATACATAAGTTGGACCAGATGGACTTTATAGAGCATTTAGACATCTTCTATCAAACAGTCCTTAATATAAAGATTTAGTCTAAAATGATACTATTTATCTTCCAGGAGGTGAATTCTTTAGATTTGATGATTTCCTTGCAGATAGAATCAATGAATAAAGAAAGAAATATAGATAATAATAAAATATTGGAGATTAGGAATTATTAATATTTGTTGCAGGTGGTAATACATCTAAAGAAATACCATTCTGTCTTAAAACTGCTGCTGAAGGTATTTCAAGATTCCTCAAACTTGATGAAATGAAGAATTATCCATCTGATTAAATTAAAATCATAGTATCAGTTCCTGAATTTGTTGAACACAAGGATCGAACAATCAAAGTTATCAATTCTATTAAATGGCCAGCTAAAGTCATTCAAGTTTAAACTGAATCTGAAAAATTCTCAGCCCTTGCTGCTTCAGATATTGGTTTAGCATGTAATGGATAAATAGTTGCTGAATGTGCTGCCTTCTAATTACCAACTGTAATTAATTCTTTATCTATATATTTTTTAGATTATCCTCGATCCTAAACCTACTATTTAAATGTATTACACATCCCTCTACAATGGCATTGATAATGACTTAAATATAGCATATAATGGAATTGTATATCCGTAATTATTATCTTTTTATATCTAACTAGAGAATTAGTCATGTCCACAATTCCAAATAAAATTGCTTACTCCTTATTAGAACATTATTAAGATCCAAAACTTAGATATTTTTATGCAAAATAATATGCTCCTATCTTATAAAAAACCTTAGCCTTAAGTTAAAACTCTGTTCCTACAGAATTAGTATCTTATTGATTTTATCATTTTAGGCAAATAGATTCAATAGTGTCTAATTAACTGGGTACAGTTCTGCCTATCAAGTAATTGCCAATACAGTCTTGAAAGCTGCTTAAGTATATGATCACATTCACTCATAAAGTAATTTTACTACTTAGTAAAATGAAAACTTAAGAATTGAAGCTATGTAAAGTTTGGGATGGGCTAAAGGATTATGAAAGAATATTCACATTTATAAATCAAAAATAATATAATATATAAACTCTTTCACATAATATTACTGAATGTTACTAATTATTCATTTTTTGAAGTCTACTCCATTATATCTGGTTGATTAACTAAAGTCAAACAACAAAAATTCTATTGATAATCACATTCATCTTATCCTATTTAATATAATAAATGACTGACTATCTTTTTACAAACTTTAAATTGATGAATAGGAATGTCCATATCCTTTCCATTTATTATTAATTAAATATTATTTTTATTCTATTCTTTTAAAGAAATGTCTGTTATATCATAAATTTTCATTAAACAGAATAGTAATGTATAAAATAATGGAAGTACTGTTGAAAATTGCTTAATTTCAAAATTAATACGAATATTATCTTTTTTTAAAATAATATCCGTAAATAATCTCAATTTATAAAATTTTAATTGCTCTACCTATTCAACAATCCTTTCTTTAATATAATATGATGTATATAGTAAGTTTCTCAAATTCTCCTTGTAATATAATTTTTTATTAATCTTTTTTATTTTCTATAATATTCTCAAATAAGCATTATTATTACATTATTAGATTATAGATGATTAACACTCTTAAAATTTTATTGTAATTCTAAAATCAACAAATTTATTTATCACACAATTCACTATAAATCTATCCTTCTTTATCATATGTATAACTCTTATCTAACACTCTCTTGTTTTATCTCTTACTCTCTCTTATAAATATTAATTAAGACTTATCTTAGTATTCACAACCATAAAATCTTTTAAAAAATCCTTATTTTCAAGTTTTATATATCCATTCATTGATTTATTTGCATGTAATAATTCTATTCTCTCCCAAAGTTCATTATATGTTAATAAGACTATTTTTTCATCTACTAAATCATTCCAAATAGAAAAAGATGATTTTTACTGCTCATTTAATAAAAATAATGATCTATTGTGTTTCTGTCTAAAATATTCTTTTTACCAAAAGAGTATTAAATAGAGAGCAAAAATAAATGAATAAGGATTTATATAATTATAGTTACGCATAAACAATCGTGAAAATATGCATATCAGTTATAATATTTGATTTAACATAAAATTTGGGGTTAAAGCGAAATTCAATGCCAAGAACTATGAAATATCAAATATCCATTCATATTATTCATCAGTAAAATCTGGGTAATATAAGGGTATCAAATGATAAAATGAAGCAAATAAACTGAGGGTTGAAATCAGATAACCAATCAAGGATATATAGTATTATTTCATCTTTAGATAATAAAAAATTAATGTCCATGAACAGCTAATTGAAATTAAAATATAGCCTATTAATGTTTTGTCTCTTTATATCAAAAACATACTTAAGATAATGTTTGATATAGACATTAATCCCATTGTATATCTGAAAACACCAAATAATTCAAGTGAATAGTTCTCTTAATACTTCTTCTCTAAATTTTTGTCAACAAAGGTCAATGTAAAACCATTCATGTTATTTAATATAATAAGATAATACTCATATTAAAATCTTTGGCTGCTATTAAATTATATTATTATTATAATCAATTAATGAGATATTTAAATCCATATACTATATACTCTCAATATCAAAATTCATCTTTTTTTGGAGTTAGGAAATATATAAAACCCCTATATACTTGTTACTATATTATCTACATGAAAGTAGAAAACATTAATTATTTTATATTAAATAAGAATATGTTACTTCTTAATTCCTTATATAAATACATTTATTTACATAAAACAATTCTATATATTTTTCTAATACCTTCCAATTGAATCTAAAAGTAATTGAAAATTGAATTTCTCATAATCGATTTACAAATTTATAGAACAAATTGCATTTATCATTAATCATTAATCATTAAATAAAAATATCAATATGAGTCATTTATAAAAGATACAAAAGCAATTTGCAGAATATTTAATTAAATCTTATAACTATTCACAATAACCTTCTCATTAATCAATATCAATTCTTTGTAATTTAATAACAGAAATAACTTAACCATACTTACGTTTGTTAAATATATTATAAATGACATTTAAAATACAATAGTAAAAATCAGCTTCTAATCTTTTCTAAAAAAGACTTAATCTTACGTTCACTATATCCTGTCATTAAGTCTTTTTGAGTTCCCATGTTAAATAAACATACAGATGGAACTTAAGCTTTCTAATAATAATCAAATATAACTTATACCGCAAATTATTGCACCACGTCATAAAGTTCATCATTGTTCACATTAACCAAAACCAACTACCATTTTTCAGTATTCTTTTCAGCTTCTTAAATTAATTATGGATTGAGTTTGAGGCATGGGGCACACCTAAATTTTATTTGTTTGACTAAATACCAATCTGCAAAAAAACTAACTACGACAGGTCTTTAATTGTTAACTACTTATTCAAACCAATCCTTTAAAGTATTTATTTCTAAGCAATTCATTAAAATATAAAATAATGCTTTGCCTTCAAAATTATTAGAACCAGTTTAAAAGATTGAATAATATGTAATATTTATGATTTAATTAACAAAATAATATATATTACCATAAATCAACGTAAGATAATTAACTATTCTATTCAAAGTTTAATTAAATGAAAAGTACCTTCTCATACATTTTATAATGTAATATTCTCAAATAAGAATAAAGAATCATTAAATTCTAATTAAATATATCATTCCATAGATAATATTTCCACTATTTAAATAAGATCAACTATATATCATAATGATTCCCATTTGATGATTATTTATATAGAATTTCTTAAATAATTTCTTTAATTAAATATTAAATAATATATTTACAACAAATAATAATCATAAATTCATTATTGTTAATTATTTTACAACAAATATTATAAAATAATATATATTATTATTTATTTCTAAATATTCAATCTAGATATTTTTATTTTTTTCAATTAATCTAAATATATGGCTTTATATAATAATCAAAATTTATATCTTGATCCCAATATGTTATTTATGAATAATTATTATTTAATTAAAATAATTTATAATAAAGTATTTCTGTTTTATTTAATTACTCCATAAATACGTTAATTTATATACATTTTATTGAATTATATTTTTAATTTTATTAATTATAATTTATTCTTTTTGTTTCTTTTAAGTCTTTTCTATTTAAATTCTTATATTTCCTATTCATCTCTATAAAAATAAAATAATTTTTAGTTAAGAGTTGCTACAAGTATTTATTAAACAAAATAAATTTTTTATTCCTCTAGAAATTTTAGTAAGGATCATAACTATTTAAAATAATTAACTAATTCTTCAAAAATAAGAACATTCAAATTGATTTCAATAAGTATTGAAGTATTTTTAATTTAATATAATGCATATAGCTGAATAGACTTTATATTTAGATATTTCAACAACTAAATATTTATATATCTAGGTCTTCATATAAGTTAGGTTTGATCTTGATCTTGATTTTAATTTAATACAATCTCATGAAGAGTACAATTCAAAACACAATTATACCTTATAGTCAATTAATCCAAAGAAATAGAGAAATTAGAAATTGTTTATTTGAAATATACAATTTAAATTTCAAACGAATTTAAGAAGAAGATGAGAGCCTAAGATTTCTTATTAAAAATAATTATTATTCAGTATTTGATTTTTGGATAAAGTAATTAAATTACTAAAATTATTCTATTCGGGTTTGTCAATTTTTTTGTTTGTAGATACACTCTTATGATGATTATTTTTAATAAATTGACAATATTTATGTAGATTATAATTTATAACTCAACAGAAAACCACCATCCAAGAAAATTAAATAATTATTATATGATAAAATAAATCTAAAATAGCTCAATTTAGATTGATTTCTAAAATATTTCTACAATGAAAAAAGAATTTAAAAAGATTCAAATACATCTATTTGAGTAATATTAAAAGATTTAAGATAAACTGTTATTGAAGTATACATGATATAGAAAATAGAATTCCTTATTGTAATCATTTTAAGATTGCTAAAATATTTAAAATAAATGAAATAAATTAAGGGGACAGTATAAAAATTGATTATTATTATGATGGTCTTAATGGGGAATAGGTAAAAATAATAATGAAAGAATCTGAAGGAAAACTAGAAGGATTTATAAAAGATTTCAAACTTGAGCTATAAGATGTATTGATGGCAAAATAAGTTTTATAATGTCTTATTGAAAGCTTTCATTGGACAGCCAATTTCGGGTATTTTGATACATTATATTTAGGCAGTTTTTGGATCCATTTCGTGAAAATTTAATTTTCCATTAAGAATAAGACTTTTTTTTATTAATTCCAACATTTACAGTGATAACTAAATATATTTTCTACAATAAGTTTGAATTTAGTTGGGAGAAATTCGTGAATTATAGACTCAATGTCTATTAAAATGTGGTAATAATTTAAAATTAATTATAATAGACACATATATTTTTTTGTGAATTTTTAGATACTTTCTATCCTTATGTAAAGGAGTTAGATGAAGATAAAAAATTTTATAAATAACAATTTTATGCTTTTCAATTGAAGAGATAGAATATTGATGAATTATTTGAATTGAAAGAAAAATATGCTGGTGTAGATAGTCTGTATTCAGAAGATTTAATTAAAAAGAAATCATGGAGATATAGCTTTAAATAAAGCATGATTCTATATTAATTAGATTCAAATGAAGAACTTCGAAAATTATTTTTAGATAAAAAAAAAATAGATTAAGAATTATCTAAGAATGGGAAATAATAACCTAATATTAAAACTTAGACTGAAAATTTGCTTGAATTTTTAAGAGCTTTACCAGACATAAGATCTGAGAGTCATGATGTATTGACTAGTTTTGCATAGAAAATAAAATAATATTTAGATAGTAAAGAGGAATTTAAATAATTAAAAAATAATGTAGCTGCAGTTTTTAGACCTAATTATAAACATGTAGTGAATAATAATAAGATGATTGATTTTGCAAAGTAATAATAATAAGAAAAATAAAAAATTGATAAATAGAAAATTGATATTGAATAAAATAATGGTTATTTTGATTTTGTTTGGTAATCAGATATAAATTCTTTGAATATAATTTCATAATATATTCAATCATCATTTAATAGAAATGGAGGGGATAATTAATGTTCAATGAAATTAGGTGCTGAAGGTAAATAGTTAATATTAAAATATAAATTCGAATTATTAGAATAGAAAAATTGTTATATTGTTAGAACAGTTATACCAGAAATCATGTTTACAATAGAAACTGCAGATGATATAATGTTTTTAGTTAATGTTATATAAAAAGAATAAGGTTAAACAAATCTTTATGTGGATGATAATAGAAGATTGATGTTATATTCATCAATTGTGATGGTAAAATTGATAATATATATATTTTAGGGATACAAAATAGAAATATTGAGTGCTATAGTAAAGATCATAGATATACATTAAATCTATTTTTATTTAATACTTGAATTTTATGCTAAGAATATAGCAGTAGGTAGAAGTGTTAGAGAATTGAAATATTAACATTTTGTAAGGGAATTATTACATTATGTGTAAGATTATGAGAATGATTTTGAGAATTAGATGAAAAACATAATGAGTGATAATGTTTAGATTGGATTTTGAAATTAGATACCTGTTAAATAATTAAAATTTTACATTATTATTATTATTTATAAATATGAGTTAATAAGATGAAGGAGAAGAGAAATAGGATGTTGAATAAGTAGAACCAATTGAACCTGAAGAGCCAGATGTTCCATAAGATGAATATTATGCTCCAGAATCTTTATAAATACAAAAGTTACATAATGATATAAAAGAGGGACTTAAAAAAATTGGTAAAACTGCCAATTTAAGTGGATATACATTTGTTGAATTAATATGTGAAAATAAGGTACAAATTAATATAAAGTATATTAGAAAATAGATAAGTTGTTTAATATAATGTTGAATTATGTGAATTTGAGGAAAATTAGTTTTGCAAATAATCAATTAAATGATGTGAATACTTTATAAAGTATTAAATATTTAACAAATTTGAATTTGTCATTCAATCAAATAACAAATTTGGATTGTTTTAATGTTCCAAATACATTTGAATTCTTAGATGAATTAAATTTGGACAATAATAAAATTAATAACTTTTCATAAATCAATGTACCTAGATTAAAGAAATTATCATTGAAAAATAATTTAATTAAAAGTGCATAAGGTTTTAATGGGCATAATACATTAGAAATTCTTGAATTAAGAAATAATAAATTAGAATCATTTGAAGGGTAATTATATCTATATATGAATATATTTATAGATTCTAGAATTTATTGAAACTTAAATAAATTTGGGCTGCATAAAATTCCATTATTTCAATAGGACATTTAAATCAATTACCTGAATTACATACTTTACATTTAAGAGCAAACAAAATTGTTGTATTAACAGATATTCCAAATTTACCAAAATTACATCATCTTAATCTTAGAGCTAATTTAATTGAGAAATTGGATGAATTTAATAATCTTAAATCTTTAGAGAGTCTTAAATCAATTACTATGCATGAAAATCCTATTGCAACTGAAATGGGAGATGGAATAAGAAAAGAAATCATTATGATATTACAATAAATTGAAAGAGTCAATAAAGAACCAGTACCTCCAGAAGAAAAAGCTGATGCTTTGGCAGAATTAAAAGAAAGAATTGCTGCTGCTATTTAAAAGAAGAAAGAGGAGGAAGAGGAAGCTGCAAGATTAGCTGAAGAAGCAAGATTAGCTGAAGAAGCACGATTAGCAGAAGAAGCTGCAAAAGCTGCAGAATTAGCAGCTGAATAAGCAGCTGCTGAATAAGAGGCTGCAGATAAAGCAGCTGCTGAAGGAAATGCTAATAAACCTAAAGTAGATTAAGAAGAAGAAGAGGAAGCTTGATTTATTAAATATAAAATAAATTTTCAATAAATGCATCAATAATAATAATAATAGGATGAATAGAAAAGATCTCTTGTTTAGGAGAAAATGTAGATGAAGTAATAAGGAATTGATAATGGAAATATGAGGAAAATAAATGATGAGGATATATAGAAGATTTAGGCTTATGAATAGATGTAAATAGAAAATGCTATGAAAAATTCAACATGGAGTACATTAATGTTGTTAAAAAGCAAAGAGATTGTAAAATCAAAGTAAAAATAATATATTTATATTTTAAGATGGAGACCTAAAAAGAAATAAAGATTGTGGGATTAATATAAAATTGATAAGATTTTGAAGAAATATTCCATTATGATAGAAGGAAATGATCCTCCACCTCCAATTAAATCTTTCTAAGATTTAAGAGTAGATAACAGAATTTTGAAAATCCTCAGCAAAATGAAAATTAAGAAGCCAACTCCTATTCAAATGTAAGGATTGCCAGCAGTGTAATTTATAAATTAATATTTAAGTTTAATGGGAAGAGATATTATAGGAGTAGCACCTAGTGGTTAAGGTAAAACTTTAGTATTTTTGTTACCTGCTTTATTATAATGTATAGAAGAAGAGATGAAAATGCCAATAATAAGAGGTGAAGGACCATTTGCATTAATATTACTTCCATCACATGAATTGGCAATTTTGACTTATGAATTGGCTAAACAATATTGCCAGAAATTTTAGAAAAAAGTAATGAAATTTATTAAATAGTAGGGATTCCCAGCAATACATTGTTTATTAGGTATAGGAGGTATGGACATGTCATCATAATTATAATCAATAAGAAATGGAGTTCATATTGTTATAGGTACTCCTGGAAGAATAAGTGATATGGTAAATAAAAAGAAAATAAATATGGATTTGTGTAGATTTATAGTTCTTGATGAAGCTGATAGAATGTTAGATTAAGTATTTGAATTGGAAATTAGAAATATATTAGAACATTTCACAGTATGATTAATTAATTGATACCTTAGTTTAGGGTCCTAGATAAACTATGTTATTTAGTGCTACACTTCCAAAGAAAATATAAGAATTTACAAAATAAACATTAGTAGATCCATTAGTGATAAATGTAGGTAGAAGTGGTTAAATTAATTTGAATGTTATATAGGAAATATTATATGTTAAACAAGAAGAAAAATTACACTATTTATTAGATTGTCTCAAAAAAACAACACCTCCTGTTGTTATTTTTAGTGAACATTAAAATGATGTTGATGATATTAATGAATATCTTTTAATTAAAGGAGTTGAAGTAGTTGGATTACATGGAGGAAAATAATAGGAAGATAGAACTAAAGCATTAAAATAATTCTTAAATGGACAAAAAGATGTATTGGTAGCAACTGATGTAGCTGCTAAAGGTTTAGATTTTCCAGATATTAAACATGTTATTAATTATGATATGCCAAAAGATGTACAAATAGTATTTTAAATTAGATTGAATCTTACATACATAGAATTGGAAGAACTGGAAGATAAGGTAAAACAGGAAGAGCAACAACATTTGTTAATAGATAATAAGAAGAATCAATTCTATTAGATTTAAAATATCTACTTGTAGAATCTAAATAAAGTATTAAATTATTATTATTAAAGAAATTCCTTAATTCTTAGAGAAACTAAAATCAGATGAAGATTTAAATGGCTCTTGTGGTTATTGTGATGGAATGGGACATAGAATGGCTAATTGTCCAAAATTAGAAAAATAGAAGATGAGAGTATATATATTGATATCATATTAGATTCTAACTAATCCAAATAAAGAAAGTTGTCCAGATTTTCTTAAAGGTTAAGATTATAGAGAGAGTTAAAGTGCAGAAAGATAAAATTAAATGTTATGATTTGAATTAATATTCAATTTCGAATTTCAGTTTAAAATAATATAATTTTATTCTTTATTTATATTTCTTCTATTTATTAAAAAAATATTATAAATTCCTTTATAATAATTGAATATTATTAATTATTTAATTAGAAATGAAATTATCATTAATAGTATATTTATATTCTAAATTATTAATATCTTAAAATATAATGATAATTTTGAAAGAATCATATTTAATAATAATCATTTTTATTATCAATCATCTTATTTTCATTTGATTGAATTTTCTTTTCTCTAATCAGATTCTTTTATTCTGATATTAAATTAAAGTTATTCTGAACATATGGTATTTGATAATTCTAGTGAACCTACTTAATTCTATAGATTGCCACCTGAATTATCTATTATCATAGTATATTTTAATTGTAAATCATAATATTTTATATAAAACATATTTGATTCATATTTAGAATTAACTCCTAAAATAACAACCTATATAGATTTAATTATTTACATTTTTTTATATTGTACAAGATACTTAATCTGTATAAGTAAAATCATGGTATTCAGATATTCCACCATATGAATATACAATCCTTTTATCATTTACAGAATTATCAGGTAATTAAAAAAATAGAAATACTTTTTTATCATTAACTCTGTATGGAATTGAAGCAATGTTTTTATATTAATCAATCCACATTCCTGGTAATGTTTGTGCATCATAATATCGACTTAAAGCATAATTATATGCGATTGATTTTAATTTATAATTATCTGTATCATAAACTAAATTAAATTTATAATTCAAAGATTAAGATGTAAAAAGTAAATGAATAGTTGAAATATTTACAGAATATGTAGGAATTTCAGTAAAAAAAAAGTCATTAAATTCTTTCTAAATGATTTCTCCACCATTATTAATGATTTCTGTATATATATTTATAGTACTAACTTTAAGTGCCAATGAACTATTATATATTTTTAAAGCTCCATTAGACATTAATCCAAGAATATATGTATTTACACTATAATTGGGACGATGATGTAATAAAGCTTTAACTAAATATTCACCATATTATTAAACTGTATTTATTGATTATGTTTAAGAATAAGTAACTGTATGTTTAATATCATCAAAAGTCACAAGAAATAGACGTAAATAAGTATCCATACTTTTAAGATTTTTAGGATGAGCATCTACTACAATTAAGTATTTATAATCAAAATTCATTGAATAAATATTTTTGACATTTGTTGTTAAATCTGAATATTTAATTACATTGCCACATGAAGTTTCATTATCACACCAAATTGTTACCATTTAGTAATTTTATGAATTACGACATGCTACAATCATATGATTTAAATATTTTAAGACTTTCTCACATTTATAATTAGTTTAATTAGAAATTACAATAGATTTAAAAAATGAATTTGTACTATTATAAATTCTAATTGCTTATAAATTTGATTTAGATACTAATAATATTCTTAGACTATATTATCCTCCACATTCAATCTAATCAACTACATTTAAATCATCTCCATATTCTTATTTAAATAATGTTAATGGTTAGATTATATTAACATTTTTACCTTAACCACATTGTTAACATTACAATAAATAATCAAATATTGTTCCTACCATATTTAATATAATTTCATCTTTAATCCACTTTTAATTTGTAATATTCAAATTAGTCTAAATAAACTTTATTTAAGATTTTGTTTGATATAAAACTATAGCTTAACTTAATTCAATAATTGGATTTTATTTTAAATTTGATATACTTACATTTAATCTAAATTTATTCACCCATTAATTTGTCTCATAATTTGGAGCTACTTAATAATAATAATATTTGTCAATCCATTCTATTTGTCAATCCATTCCAAATTATGCTCGTCTCCATCATTTAAATAAAAGATTTAATGATTAAATCCTCCAGCAGCCATTTAAGATTCAAAAATATATAATTTCTGTCTTTTTGGTATCATCACTTTGATTAAAGAATCTCTTAAAGATTATCTAGGTTTATAAATCAAAATGACTGATGTATTATTATTATCAATATCATTTGCTGCAATAAATAATAATCCAGAATCAATTCTACTTGTCATTGTTAATGAATCTTAAATTTTGTATAATTACTTATATCATCTATATCTATATCTATAAATAGGTAGATCTTTCATTTTAAAGATATTACAATAATTAGTAAATCATATTCTATTATATTACTTATTATGCTTGTATGAACTACTACAAAGAATGAATCCTCACCAATAGATACATCAATAGTAGATTTATCATAGGTTAATACTTTGATAATTGTTAATTCTTTATGATAATCAGCAATAATAATATTATCATTATTAATTATGAATAAGATAGTAGGATGATATCTAGAATTACCTACTACTTTCCTAATTTTCCAATTACCATAAAATCCTAATTAGTTTACTGTGTTTTAAGTTACAGAGTATTTTAATTTAGTTTCAATATTTCAAATGTCTAATTTTTGATTATTCAATATAACATATAATCTGCTTGCAACAACACTTATAGAATCTATAGATATTGATGAATTATATATAATTTTATATTGATTTTATACATCTTATTATGAAATTGAATACATTCCAACAGTGTAAAAATTATCAATTATAAAAACATACAGAACTTCTTATTTAAAATAACATTAGAAATTTGAATTAACTAAATCTATTTTTGCAGAAAATTTCATATAATTAATGCAATTAAAATTTACTTTTCCATCATAATATTAATCTGTAGAACAAATGTAAGTAAGAATATTTTTAGTTGATGATTCTTAAAATATAATAGCTATTTTTTATTCATTTTAGTCTAAACTAATTAATTTTACAAATTGTGTAGATTTTGCTGATGGAATTTAAGAATAGATTGATTCTGCATTAATAGTGCCTCCAGATTTGATAATTAGTTTTACAGTGTTTGTCCCTCCATATTCAGATATACTTTCAGAATAAGTACCAAATTATATATTTGGCCCTGATACTGGAATTTTAAATGGATTCCATAAAGGATAATCATAAAATACATCAGGTATTTCTAATTCTTAAAGTGCATATAACTTTGAATCAAATTAATTTAAAACTCTATATATTAATTGAGATTAACATTAAAAACCAAGTTCATCCTATGCAGAAATTGTTATTACTTCCCTTGATACAGTTATATCTCCTGATGTAAATCTTAACTTTCCACTTGATAAAGTGAATCTTCTAGCATCTATTTATGTAATATATATTAATTCTTCCATGTATTAATTGATTAATATTCCTTAAATTCCTTCAAGTACTTCTTTATATATCAAATCTTGAGTTTCAATATTGATTAAATATGTTTTCCCTTTATTTTAAATAATTAATAGTTCTTGTGATATTTTTAATAAAGTATTATAAACTGGAGTAAAATCTAATTAATATGAATCCTTATAAATTCTATTTTCATAAATTTCAGCCTTATTTTAGTATAAAACTCCAATAACTTCAATTAGTAATCCTTCTTATGACAAGTAATGACTAACATCAAATTCTCTAACATCATTATATAATTTTATTCTATCTAATAAAGTAAAACCAAAACCTTAATCCATTTATAATATTATTATTCCATCAAATGCAGTTAAAATATAAAGTTTGCCATCTAGAAATAATTCAAAATCTATCAAACTAAATTAATATTTAATTAATTAACTATTTAAAATGTTTCTATATTATAAATTTGAATTAATGAATTAATTTTTAAGTCTGATCCAGTTGCATATGCTGGTGTTGATCTAAACATTAATTTCATTTGATTCTTTTTAGCATCAACAAATGGTATCACTTTAGTAATTCTTTTTGTAATTATATTTTACACATCTTAATTCTGATTACTAATATTTCTTACAGAACCAGATTTACTTACAACATAAAAATAATTTTATATTGGATTTTTCATAGAATTATAGCAATCAGCTAAAAATGATGTATCATTAAGATATTCTAAACTTAAACATTAAATATCTTGATTTTAAGTAAACACTATTTTATAATTAAAATATGGTGGTCTATAATCTCCTTATGTACTACTTTATCATTTAAATAAAGTTACCCTTCAGCATAGAAAATCGATAACTAATTTACACTTTTTTCTATAAAAGCAAAATAATTTAACCATACTCTCTATCCTTATTCAGTCTTTGCTTATATGGCAACAATTTTTGATATACCTAAAATAAAAACATATTATACCTTCTATCAACTATTTAGGTATATATTCTTAATGGATAGGTTTTTTAAAAGTAAAGAAGGGTTATTTTGCTGATATTGTGTAATTCAAATAGGATCCTGAAAATAAATCTTTTAAGTTCCATTCAAATGTTTCTTAGGTTGAGAAGAACATTTATATTTATTCTTGTTTGACTCCACATTATTCTAATGTTTAACCTAAGTAGACAATGGGTAATAGAACTAATATTTACATTTAAAATATCTTGATTAATAAACATAGCCAGAANGTTTTCCCTTTATTTTAAATAATTAATAGTTCTTGTGATATTTTTAATAAAGTATTATAAACTGGAGTAAAATCTAATTAATATGAATCCTTATAAATTCTATTTTCATAAATTTCAGCCTTATTTTAGTATAAAACTCCAATAACTTCAATTAGTAATCCTTCTTATGACAAGTAATGACTAACATCAAATTCTCTAACATCATTATATAATTTTATTCTATCTAATAAAGTAAAACCAAAACCTTAATCCATTTATAATATTATTATTCCATCAAATGCAGTTAAAATATAAAGTTTGCCATCTAGAAATAATTCAAAATCTATCAAACTAAATTAATATTTAATTAATTAACTATTTAAAATGTTTCTATATTATAAATTTGAATTAATGAATTAATTTTTAAGTCTGATCCAGTTGCATATGCTGGTGTTGATCTAAACATTAATTTCATTTGATTCTTTTTAGCATCAACAAATGGTATCACTTTAGTAATTCTTTTTGTAATTATATTTTACACATCTTAATTCTGATTACTAATATTTCTTACAGAACCAGATTTACTTACAACATAAAAATAATTTTATATTGGATTTTTCATAGAATTATAGCAATCAGCTAAAAATGATGTATCATTAAGATATTCTAAACTTAAACATTAAATATCTTGATTTTAAGTAAACACTATTTTATAATTAAAATATGGTGGTCTATAATCTCCTTATGTACTACTTTATCATTTAAATAAAGTTACCCTTCAGCATAGAAAATCGATAACTAATTTACACTTTTTTCTATAAAAGCAAAATAATTTAACCATACTCTCTATCCTTATTCAGTCTTTGCTTATATGGCAACAATTTTTGATATACCTAAAATAAAAACATATTATACCTTCTATCAACTATTTAGGTATATATTCTTAATGGATAGGTTTTTTAAAAGTAAAGAAGGGTTATTTTGCTGATATTGTGTAATTCAAATAGGATCCTGAAAATAAATCTTTTAAGTTCCATTCAAATGTTTCTTAGGTTGAGAAGAACATTTATATTTATTCTTGTTTGACTCCACATTATTCTAATGTTTAACCTAAGTAGACAATGGGTAATAGAACTAATATTTACATTTAAAATATCTTGATTAATAAACATAGCCAGAATATATAATGTTATGATGCGTCATTGATTCAATCTGGATTTCTATTAAATTTTTTTAATGAAATTATTATTATTAAAAAAAACTACCATTTATTTTATGCTCTTCTTTTAGCTAATATATATTAAAAAAAAAGATTGGTTTTAATAATAAACTAGAATTTTTAAGGCTGATTTATTTAATTTATATTAAGATTTTTTAAGTATGGAAGCCCCTAAATATATTAATATATATAAGCATATTTTGAATCAAATAGAAATTATAAACTTTTAAAGTATCTTTAATAATTTTTGATTATCATTTTAGAGATTTTTATTTTAAAAAATAAACAAATAATATAATTGTATAATTATTCAAACTGTCACTTTCCTTTTCTACTTTATCTTTCAGCTCTTCTTTTTTTCCACAATTATGCACCTAAGGGAGAAGCTATTTCTTCTGGGATTTATGGATTTTGTTAAATAAAGTCTATAACTTTTTTTGCTTCTGCATGGTTGAATTGGTAATCAAGTACTTGTTAACATTCATCATTTGTATCAGCTAGAAGTTGTTGAATAGATTACATTTCATATCGACATCTTTGGAGAGAAGAATAAGTTAATCCTACAACTTGGTCTCTGTTATTCTTTTTTGATTGTAGTCATCGATAAGCTCAAAAATATACTTATCATCCAAAATTACAAGCTATAGAATATGAATAAGAATTACTTTTTTAAGGGCTCTTCTTTCAATATCATTAATTCGCTTATTTCTGGATAGTGCACAGATCTCATAATAGAGTTGTGAAGTGGGGAGATGCAAATTTTACATTAATTAATAATGTATGGTTGATTGGTTGTGTTGGATTTTTGCCAAATAAAGGGTAGAGTTCCGATGTTATATTATCAAAATCAGTACTTAATTACCTTATCGAATCAATAGCAGAAAAGGGGATCGGGGATTAAAATCCGTTTTTATTTTATAATTAAAAATTATGACAAACAAAGTTGCTGTCTTGTTGGTACTTGTTGGGCTTATAAGCTGTAATATTTGATTCTTATCTATAGTTGCAAGTGCCTCTTTGATAAATGTGCAATCATTAGCTCAAATTGACGTAGAGTCTTATGGATGTGATAAATCCAAGCTTTATGATGCCGAAGAAGGCCTCAAGAAACTTAGCGAGGCTATTAATTTTGCTTAGACAGGAAGATTAGATTAAGATATAAAGGAATTGAGAGAATTGTAAATGTTAGCAAAGAAAGGAATGGAAGAACAAGTGCAGGTTTCATTTGTTTAAGTTCACAACCTACAATACCTTTATATGTTAAAACATAAATTTGATTCCTTGGCACTTATCGAAATGCCAAACACATTTGCCCGTCCACACATTGATGGAATGAAATCATAAATTAACTTAGTTTTGGCAGCTACCGACACTTAAACCAGAAAAGCCTGTTGCGAAATGTTGTTCAAAATGATTGAAGTTCTACTTCTAGACCTACTCGAATTAGAAGAAGAATGTTAGAAGCCTATCACTATCAATATTGAGGGAGAAATCAGAAAGATTTAAATTATTAGAGGACAATGTGATAATACACCTACTCCAGAATAACCAGTAATCCCTGTTGATCCTAAACCAATCATACCTGATCCTAAAACTCCTATCGTAATTACACCAATCCCTCCTAAACCTAAGGATCCAACTCCTAAACCTAAGGATCCAACACCTAAACCAAAAGATCCAACTCCTAAACCAAAAGATCCAACTCCAAAACCTAAAGATCCAACACCAAAACCAAAGGATCCAACTCCTAAACCTAAAGATCCAACTCCTAAACCAAAAGATCCAACTCCTAAACCAAAAGATCCAACACCCAAACCACCTCCTAAGCCAAAAACTCCTAGCCCAACACCTTAAGTCGTTATTGATTGTGTCAAAGGTGCTAATGTAGTAGGTGATATGAGTGCAAGTTCAGATTAAGCTGTTGCTGATTCAGTAATTGAAGGTAAAGATCTTGCTGGAGCCACCGATTATGGTTATGGTTTCTGGTTAAGATGGTTGAGTAGATATCCAGATGAATTAATTTCAGGAAGAACAAAAAATACATATTACTTTGTATCTAGATTAACCACCAATCAAAAATTCAATGATGCAGAAATGGGAGATAGAGTTCTTGCCATATGGCATTATGATAATGGATATCATTTCACTGCATTAGATAAGGCATCTCGTAATCCAAATGTTAATTAAAATATACCAACTGGAGACATTGAAGGATTATGGAGTTATGTTTACTTTTCTTATAGTGGAAGACTAAAGAAGGCTGTTGGTTTATTGAAATTTGGAGCTAGTGGAAAAGTACAATAAATCACATTAGATGTTACTCATGATATTCCAACTTATTTAAGATTGATAGTAGGAGGTAAATAGTTTAGTTATCCTGGATTTAATGGGTAATTTACTAATCCAGTCTTCAAAATTGGTGAAGGAGCATATGTTAATTCTGAATTAGAATTATTCGATTATAATCTTAAATGCAATCCTTATCCAAAATTAGATTGCACTGAAAGAGCTAAATAAACTCTCATTCACAAAGCTGTTAGATACAATGATTAGACTGCTAAAGTACAAACAGTAAAAACAAGTCTTGAAACACCATTCCCTGAAGAATATTCAGTTAGTGGTTGGTTCAAATGGAAATAATTAGAAAAATAAGAACCATGGCATTTAATGTTCAGAGTATTTGCCACAAAAGAGAATAATAATGCAAAGAATTTAGGAGATAGAGATTTGGCAGCTTGGATTGGTACTGCAAATGATGGTATTGTGTTATTGTCCACTTATTCATATAATAACTTATTTGGAGAAGGTAACCCAAATATCATGAATCAAATTCAACACAAGAATAGAATTTAAGAATGGACATTTGTTTACTTTGGATATTCATTTAAATAAAAGACTGCTCATTCTATTGTTCACTTTAAAGAGGCTAGAGAAGAGAGAACATTTGAGAATGTTAACCATTTCTTAGTCTAAAGACTTTCAATCAATTTGGCTAAAGATGAACATTATCCTTCTTGGAATGGTATAATAGGCAAATTTAGAATTGATTTATGTAATGGTGCTTATGATCCTAAATTCCCAAGAACTACAACTCCAGTTCCAAGTCCATCTCCATTAGGTCCAACACCACCTCCTTCAAAGACTGTTGAACCACCCCCTAAAACTCCAACAATTTAACCACCTCCTAAACCACCTGTTAAACCACCTACACCAGATGTTGTAGTCTCACCTCCTCCTCCTATTATTAAAACACCAGAAGTTATGCAAAAATGTATTGAAGGTCAAGCTGCAATTGGAGATTCATCTTCAGCTCCAGATGTCAAGCCAGTTGCTGATATTTAAGTACCAGAGGAAGCTTTGAAAGATGTCACAGAATATGGTTATGGATTTTGGAGTAGATGGTTGACTAGACATCCAGAATAATTATTTGAAGGAATGAGTGAACCATGGTATTTTGTTTCAAGATTAACATCAAATGATCCATATGACAATATTAGAATGGGAGATAGATTGTTAGCAATTTTCTTAAGTAAGGATGGATACACATTTATTACAAATGATAAAGGAACTTCTAATCCTAATCTTTATAAATAATAACCATATAAAGACATTGAAGGTGTTTGGACATATATTCATTTCAGTTTCAGTCCATTGAAAAAGAAGGCTGTTGCTTTTGTTCATGCTAATAAATAAACATCCATAGTTGAATTAGCAGGAATAACTCATGAGGCTCCAAAGAAATTAAGATTCATTTTGGGAGGTAATGATCTCAAACTCTATCCTGGATTCAATGGTTAATTCACAAGACCAGTATTGAAGATAGGTCCAGGTTCATTTATTGGTTCTCCTGAAGATGTTCAAAAATATGCCTTATCATGCAATCCATTACCAGAACCAGATTGCAAGAAAGGAAGAGGAGTAAGTAATTTAATTGAATCTACAAAATAATTCAACAAAGGAAGTGAAGTCACAATGTTTGTAGCTGATAATGAACGTCCTTTCCCAGATAATTATGCTATTGGAGGTTGGTTCTTATGGACACCAACTGAATAAGAAGAATGGCATTTAACATTCAGAGTTACAATTAATGGATAAAAACATAATAAAAATGATTAATTATTGGGTGATAGAGATCTTACAACCTTTTTGGGTAAAACAGGAGGTTATCACTTTGCTACTTATACATACACAGACAATTTCGGTAAAGGAAATCCCAATAAGTACATTAATACTGAACATTAAAATAAACATACAGAATGGCATTACATTTATATGGCTTATTCAAGAGAGTAAAAGAGAGTATTGACTATTCTATTCACAAAAGGTGATAGATAAGTGAAATACATAGATGAGGTCAATCATTATCTTGCCCCATTATATAAGATCTTTTTAGGAAAGGATTAATTCTATCCAGCTTATAGTGGTTATTTAGCTAATGTTTAATTCTTTGCTTGTGAAAATGCATATGATCCTGACTTCAAACCACCTGGAGAACCAGAAGTTCCTAAATAACCTGAAGTACCAATCAAACCACCTGAGCCATAAAAAGAACCAACATGTTAGAAGGGTGACACTAATGTTGCTGATACTGCATTCGATTCATAAAAACCATTAATTGATCTTGTATTAGACAAACCAGAATAATTGTAAGATGTAAGAGAATATGGATATTAATTCTGGATGAGATATATGACCCGTCATCCTGTTCCTATGTATCAAGGTAAAAGAGCTCCATGGTACTTCGTTGCCAGATTATCAGGTAGAAAAGATTTTGAAGATGTAGGAAAAGGAGATAGATTGTTGGCAATATACTAAGGTAAATCAGATTATACATTTGTTACTAATGATCATAAGAATAATAATTTCAATACAGATGCTGGACGTTTTGAATTTGGAGATATTGAAGCTGTTTGGACATTCGTTCATTTCTCATATACTTCTGCAGGTAAAGTTGTTTCATGGATATAATATGACAATAATGAACCAAAGACCTTCTCTGTTGCTGCTACACATGACAAACCTGATTACTTAGAATTTGTTTTAGGTGGTACCCAAGGTAATACTTATCCAGGATTCAATGGTTAATTCACATCTGTTGTTGTCAAAGTAGGATAAGGTTCATTTGTTGAAACAGCTGAATAATTCCGTAAATTTGCTATCTCTTGCAATCCAAGACCACTCCCAGTTTGTAATAAAGCTAAAGAAGTCTTGTTGATTGAAAAATCTAAGAGATTTGAAGCTTAAACTAGTGAAGTTAATGAAATTGCTTCTCCTGAAGAATAAGCATTCCCTGATGAATATTCTATTAGTGGTTGGTTCAAATGGAGAGCCACAGTTATGGAACCATGGCATTTAGCAATACGTCTTCATTAAAATAAGGGAATGGAGAATGCCAATGCTGCCAAATTGGGAGATAGAACATTGGGTGCATTTGTAGGAAATAATGGAAACTATGCAATTACAACATATACTTATACTAATTTGAATGGTGAAGGTGATCCAAATAAATATGTTTAAGTGCCTTATAAAGATCAATTAGCTTAATGGCATTTTGTGTTCCTTGGATATAGCAGAGTTAAGAGATAAGTTGTTGGTTTCTTGTAATGGAAAGAGAGAAAGGAAAATATTAACTTAGAAAATATCAATCATTATTTAACCAATTCAGTATATGTCAATGTAGGAAAAGACAGATTTTATCCAGCATTCAATGGTCATATTGGAGGATTGAGATTATAATTATGTAGTGGAGCATTCACACCTGTATTCCCAGAAGATCCTAAACCACCTTAGGTACCATCTACACCACCTCCTCCTAAACCAGTAGATCCAACTAAACCTGAAGAACCTGTTTAACCACCTAAACCTTAAGAACCTGAGATTGTCAGAAAGTGTGTTAGTGGATAAGTTCAAATTGGAGACATGCCTTCAAGTGGTGATAAAGTTGTTGATCTCAAAGTCACTGAAGATAAATTAGGAAGTGCAATTGAATACGGATATGGATTTTGGACTAGATGGCTTACAAGATGGCCAGATAGTCTTATTAAAGGAGCCAGTGAACCATGGTATTTCATTTCTAGATTAACAAATAATGATCCATATGATAACATTAGAATGGGAGATAGATTGTTGGCTATTTGGTTAGGTTAAGCTGGATATACATTTATCACTAATGATGTTGCTTCAGGTAATCCAAATCTTAACAAATAAATACCTTATGGAGATATTGAAGGAGTTTGGACATATATTCATTTCAGTTACAAATCAGGATAAGCTGTTGGTGTTGTTAGAGTTGGAGATAAGACTCAATTTACTGTTATTGATGCTAAACATGACTAACCTAAATTCTTAAGATTAATTGTAGGAGGTTCTGATCTTAAATAATATCCAGGATTTAATGGTCAAATCTCATCACCTATTCTTAAATTAGGTGCAGGTTCATTTGTTAATACTGAAGATGATTTCAATAAGTTTGTGTTAGCATGTAATCCAAGACCAGAACCAGATTGCAAGGGTAAGACTGAAAGCAAATTGATTGAAGGTATAAAGAAATATGAATCAACATAACCAGAGTTTTATGAACATGTTAGAGATGAGAAATCACTATTCCCAACTATGTATGGTATTGGTGGTTGGTATAAATGGGAACCAACAAAATAAGAACCATGGCATTTGGCATTTAGAGTTACAATAAATGATTAAAAGACTAATAAGAATGCTGATTTATTGGGAGATAGAACACTTGCTGTTTGGTTAAGTGATCAATAATTGTATGCATTTGCCACTTATACATACACAAATATGTTTGGAGCTGGATAACCAAATGCAGCTTAAGTTATTAAACATTAAGATAAACACACTGAATGGCATTATATTACATTCTAATATAATAGAGAGACCAGAGAAGCATATGGATCAACTATATTTAAGGATGGTAAATTAGATGTGAAATTCCCTAATGTAAATCATTACTTAGTTCCAGTTTTAAGAATATTGATAGGAAAAGATTAATTCTATCCAGCATTCAGTGGATATATAGCTGATGTGACATTTGTAAATTGCCAAGATCCATACAATCCATAATTTACTCCAGGTAATCCCCCTGAATTACCAAAACCACCCGTTATACCAGTTGAACCACCTTAGCCATTACCAGAACCAAAATGCTAGATGGGTGATGAAACTATTGTTGATTCTTCATTTGATGATGTTAAACCATTAGCTGATATTGAAGCAACACCAGAGAATTTGAAAGATATCAGAGAATATGGTTACTCATATTGGGTCAGATATTTGAGCAGACATCCTAAACCAATGTATTAAGGTAAGAGTGAACCATGGTATTTCATGAGTAGATTGACAGTCAATAAAGAATATAAGAATATTGAAAAAGGAGATAGATTATTGGCTATATGGTAAGGTTAAGGAGCCTATACATTTATTACAAATGATTATAAGAGTAATAATTGGAATCTTAACAAAAACATTGAATATGGAGATATTGAAGGTGTTTGGACTTATTTCTATTTCAGTTACAGCAGTATTACAAGTTAAGCTGTTGGTTTTGTTAAGTACACTGGTAAAGAACCATAATCAGTCACATTTGATGTTACACATGAAAAACCAACATATTTAAGACTCATTATTGGAGGATCAGATCTCAAATTATATCCAACTATCAATGGTCAATTAACAAGAGCTGTATTTAAGATTGGTGCTGGTGCTCATCTTGATAATGTTGATGAATTAAATAAGTTTGCTTTGGCTTGCAATCCTTAACCAAAAGAAGTCTGTTCCAAAGCTGTTGAATAAGTTCTCATTCAAGAATCTAAAAAGTTTGAATTAGCCAAAGCTACAGTATTGGAAATCCCATCTGATCCTGCAGCTGCCTTCCCATCTGAATATAGTGTTTCTGGTTGGTTCAAGTGGAAATAAACTACTATGGAATAATGGCATTTGGCCTTCCGTCTCCATATCAATAAAGAAGAAGCAAATAAGAATGCTGAAAGATTAGGAGATAGAACTTTGGCTGCTTGGGTTTCACCTGCTCAAGATGGTATTTATGCCTTTGCCACTTACACTTATAAGAATTTGAATGGAGCTGGAGAACCAAATTTGGCAAAGATTATCCCATAAAAATAACAATAGACAAATTGGCATTTCATTTTCTATGCTTACAATAGAGATACCAGAAAAGTAGAAGGATATATTCAATTCAAAGACAGAAAGGAAACCATACTTTTTGAAGATGTTAACCATTTCTTAGTTCCATAAGTATATTTGAACATTGGTAAAGATCGTTTCTATCCTTCATGGAATGGCCATATTGGTAAATTTAGAATGAATCTATGTGGTGGAGCCTCCAGACCTGTTTTCCCAGATGGTATTTAATTATTATTATTTTGTCTTAGATATCACTGTACCTCCTCCTGTTACCCCAACTCCAAAACCACCTGTCTCTGAAACTAAAGAGTAATTAATTTAATAATATATTTTAGAATCTGTCTTATTAATACTAAACTGGTCGAAGTGACTAAGAATAACATTAAAGATGTTATTAAGGAACTTGAAGCTCTTGAAAACTCTGAACCTACTGAAAAGACATGTTATTGCACTGTCCCTAAGAAGGCCTCCATGTTTATTGAATTATATGGAGAAGAATTATCAAACCATGTCGACAACCCAGTCATTTAAAGATTGATAGCTCAAAATCAGGTGCGTTTGAGGATATGATTTATCAAATTATGTATCATTCTGCAAAAGAACATGCTTTACTCTAGTATTTCAGTTTTTGGTATGTCTGATACTTTCCTCCTTCATTCAAATCTGGCATAAAGCTCTATAATTAAGGGGTAGATTGCTTCTTAGGAACACTAATATGCTTAGTAAATTAACTCTATCTTAATCTCATGGTTTGTGTCAATTATTATAATTTTGTATTATTTGACATCAAGTACTAAACACAGTCAGGTTGTGAGTATTCTCTTCCATATTTTCGTAATTAAGCTGGAAATGCTTCATCTGGATGATCTTTCCAACTTTTTAAATTCACTTATCCACCATCATTAATCGTTACAAAATAATCTCGTCCTTTTCCATCTCCAAAATAATGTTGGATTCTTTAATGTTAAGGTGGAAGTAATCCTCTGCTTCGAGAACTAAGTTATTACAATTCATTGTACTTTGTTGCACTTTTTGGAAATATCATCTTTGTGTAATCAGCCTTTGGAGATAAATCGAGTGAACTTATCATTTTCTGAGACAATAAACCACCATTTGTATGTTTTACATACTGATCCCTAAAAATCTTATATTAATCTAACCTTCCAGTGCCATCATTGTGATAATGAAAATGCTTGGCATCAATCTTTGGATACTTATAATCGTGCATTATTTTATTAATACTCTTTATACAATTAGTTATATATAAATATATATATATATACTCAATAACTTAACTTGTAATGGTTATCCAAACTATCGAATTTGAAATCCATCATGAATTGATTTTTAAATGTATAAGCTGCTTAACTACTACCTCTATCTGTAAATCTATATTCTTAGACTCGTATCCAACTATTCTCATTACATTTTATATAGAAATAGTTTTTGAATTGTTTGTTCTTTATTAACCATAATGTGCCATTCTCAGCTGTATTAAACTATTTTAAATGTTCTATTTCTAAGTCATTAACCAAAGTAATATTCTCTAAATAGAATTCTCTTTCCTAATATTTCAATTTTAAACTATGGAAATTTGTTCCATAAATCCCTCTATATTAATTATAAATCTTATTCGCTGTATTACTAAAATCCACCTTTAAATCATCATGAGTAATCTTAGGTGCTTTAGTTGTCTCACTGGCATTCTGACTCAATCTCTCATATTTATCAATATTATTAATAAATTCCTCTATTGAATCAGCTGTCAATTATGATAATTTCTATGATAATTCTTTATATCTATCAACTGCAAGTATATCAATTTCTTTTCTTAACAGAATTGCACCTGCATCAAATCTCTAAATATTGATTAATATCTACTTATTTTTTGAAATCTCAATAAATGACACACCAGTTTTCTATTCATCATTCATAATAGCCCTTTATATTGGAGCAGCTCCTCTATACTTTGGCAATAAAGAAGGATGAATCACATAAACTCCCTTATTAAAAATATCGATAATATGATTTGGTATCATGTATCCATAATTACAAACTATTCCAAGATCAGGTTTATCTTATATTTCCTAAACAAAGTTATTACTCTTATCTGACAAATTTGGTTAATAAATTTCTTTTTATTTTCAAAACATTTACTAAATTGTTATTAGGTAGCATAGTCTTTAATTTAGTTTTTCTCTTTATGTGAATGATTTGGCACTGTTATCAAACTCACTTTTGGATCTATTGCTATTAATTTATGAAGCCTTTAAAATATAGGTAATGGAAATAAACCACTCCCAAAAAAAATTGTTTTCATATGCTTAATTTACAAAATATAAATAATCAAATTTCATCTGTAAATGGATCTTAGATTGGTTCAAATGTATAAGATTATAAATGGCTACCCTTTATTCTTAAATATTCATTGAAAAACCCTCCTATACTGCCTAAAACCAATATAAAAGGAATCAATAGCAATTCTTCAAATAAAATTAATCGAAATGAAATTGTTTTGTTTTCTACATCCTAATATTTATATAGAAATATATATTTAACATACTTCAATATCCAAAGAACTAAATAATAATCCTTATAAGAATCCAATTAATGAACTTATAAACATAAAAGATATAATCTAATTTGGAGTTTCCACTATTGTTCTATATTAGACTTTCTAACTCAAACCAAAAATTAAATTTATAAAGTCTATAGACAAATAACATATTGAAGAACTCAATGAAACACCCAAAATTACATACAAAGGAATCTTGGTGAAGTAATTTAATCCTTCATGCCTATTCTATTCAAATACTATACCATTTTTGATCAAAATATAAACAAAAACATATAAGTCCTGATGCAATAATAACACTTGCAAAAAAAACTAAATATTTTTATTTTAATGTCCATTAAGTATTATTATTCATGAATATTTTTGTTCTTATCAAAATATATAATCCTGTTATTATAAATGTAAATCCAAAATACTTCATACATAATGAAAGCTAATTACAGCCGAAAAGATTAAATTATATCGAATCTCTATCAAAATGAAATTCCCTATTGTTGTTGATAAAAGACATATTATTGCTCCTAAAAATGCTGAAAGTAACAATCGAATTTATTCCTTTTTAGTAGTCTTCCACCAAAAATTAGATTACATTTAATTAAATAATAAAATAACATCTTATTTTTATATAAGACTAATTCATCATATATTAATTGCATAAATTAAATTTATTCTATTTTTGACAACTTTTTTTTCAAAATAGATTCTTTATATGATACTACAAACAGTTAATTTAATCGCTCTTTAATATATAAAAAACTCATATTATTAGTTATATTTTAAAACTAATTTATATTATTTTAAATATTAAATTTTCTTTATTTGGCATGGATATCATGTAATAAATATTATATATTATTTGAATTAAGATTCTTTATTTCTCTTTTTTAATTCAATTAATTACATGTATTTAAGAAACAACATTTAATTTATTTTAAGTGTAGTTCATGAAATAGTGTCTTTTAGACTTATTAACATTATAATACTTTTAGGATAAATTAGTAATATATATTATTTATCATCAAATTATTATACTACTTTGACTTGGATTCAAAAAATCATCTCTTTAAATTTTGCATTTAGATTTTTATTTTTTCTTGGGGACTTCAGAATTTATTAAGACTGATCAAAAGATTGAGAAGAAGGATCATGTGTTATTTATAATTTTGATGACAATTAGAGTTGACTGCACTGATTATCGACTTAGATTTTCTCCTATTATATTGATTTATTTATACTTAGTATATAGAGATTTATTTTTCAATATCAAAGTATAAATCATCCATTTTATCATCATCTCCTGTAATGTTACCAACAAGAGGAGTAAGTTTCAATTATACTATATAAGGTTGGAAGGCTGTTCCAATATCACTCTAACTTTTTTATTTGTCTAGATTCTGAGCTAAGAATTAACAGGTTCCCATCTTGAGTTTCTTTAGAATAATAATTATTAGTGATTAAACTTTATGTAATCCAGATAAATCCTCAATCAATTATAATAATTTGATTAACAATATTAAAACAAAAGAATTTAATTCTAAGAATTGTTATTATTAGTTTCTATTCAGTAACAACTTAAATCCCATCTTTTAGTCATTTTATGTTGAACTGAAAACATTAATAACTAAATGCAGAATAGTCATTCAACATATCATTTGATTTTTCATTCCACATCACCACAAATTAGCCATATTTTAATTAAGGAAACAAAATTTCAAAATTCCATATGTCCTTAACTTTCAAGATTTTAAACTATGTTAAAAATTCAATTTTTTATTACGTAATTTAATTAATCTTCCTAGATGTTGATGACTTATTTAATTTGTAATACAAGATTAAGTATCCCTCATATGATTATAAAGATCTGACTATATAGCTTGTTAATATTACTAATTGTTTATTTCAAATACAAGAAACAAAAATTTTATTTTAACATCTCAATATAGAATCTATTTTTAGATCATTAATACAGTAAAGCTAATAATCTTAATCATTATCCTTAAAATTTTGATTTAAATTCCAAATGTTAGATTTATATAATTTTTGAATCAAAAAAAATCAAAATAACATTTTTTCTATTTTCCAGAATCATTTTAATTTAGAAACAAATTAATATCAATATAATTATTTCAAAAATGAAATCAATATAATTTTAAAAATTAAACTTGAAATATTATTTCCATACCAGTATATAAATGGCCAAAATGTTTTCTAGTTTAAGTCTTATTTAATTTAAAAGATTGCATTAAAAATAAAAATAATAAATTATCAATATTTTTATAATAAAATAATTGAAAAAATTAATTAAGTAATTAGTTATGATTTTTAATCTAATATAGATTATCCATTTAAATTTATAGAACTTTTATATAAAGATTTATGATGTGAAATGCAAAATAAAAACAATTTAGTTTGAACTAAATATTATATAATTTAAAGTTATGCAATACAAAAATTTTTAATTTATAGTCTAATATAAATATCCTTACATTATTATATTATTTGAAAATCACATTCAAAATTAAAAATAATATTAATAAATTCTTATAATTAAAAATAGGATTATTTAATTTTAAGGATAATATACTATCAACTTATCATTTTCTATATTTATTTGTTTTCTTCTAAGCTGCACTAACTTATGCAGTAGAAGCTCCGCTTGATTTAAATGTATTTACTGTTTCATTTCCTGCATTACCTCCTTAAGTTCTGCTATGAATTTATTTCTTTTTTTTCCATTCTTTTCTTTCTTATTTAGGCAACCATCTCTCAGGATTAGGCAATGGACCAGGATTGGTTTTGTCGAAATTTTTGGGATATCTAATTCTCTTCTTTTTCTTCTTTTAAATCTTCTTCACTTAGACTTCAACCTTCTTTGATAATCCAATGTTTCTTTCCAAATTTTCTATTTCATTCATATCAGTTATTCCATCGAATTATAAAGAGTCAACAAATTTAGCCCCTTGTGCAAGTTATCCCTTTTCAATACATAGCAAGGCAAGTTGGCTCTTAATTTGTTGATCCTCAGTATAGTATAGCAAAGCTTTATCTAAATTTCCTCTTTTGATATAATAATTGCAGACCAAGGCTTTATGGAATTAAGCAATTAATTAAATCTGTTTTTCATAAAGAGTATCATCAGGCAATTTCAGAATATGAGCCAAAATAAATGTGCTTAAGACTTTGTTCTAATTCCAGTTTTTTACATTGCATAATTCAATAATTTTATTGGTATTATCATTATTAGTTGCAAATATTAGATATTGATATGGATCTTCAATTGGTTATTCCCATTTTTGTCGATTAATTGCAATCTAAACTGATAAAGGCAAGCCTTGTTCCTTGGTTGGTCTATTCTTAATGATTTGTAAAATAGCTTTATTTATTTTTAACACATGGAGTTATTGAGGTGTAAATTTATAATCTAAAGATAATGCTTCTTCTACTCTTTTTAATGAATCATGATGTGGATGGATAAATTCTTAAAACACTGCTAAATTATTCAATAGCACTGCTTATTCTGAAGTCTTTTCCAAAAGTTCATATCTATTAATTAGATGGATAATTACTATTTAACTTTGCTTTTGTAATCTCCTGGATTAATCACATCTAAAATTAATTGGGCTAAGAATAAATCCTCATCCTATTCATTCTCAACTTTCACCATGTTTTCAAATCTTATAGTTAGTTCTTTTGCTATCTTTAGACTAAATTTTATATATTACAAAAATTACTCATTTAATTATAAATTAAGTAAAGCATGGTTAAGTAATAACTCTCTTGCATATTAATTTTTATTCTTTTTAATGAATTCAAATATTTGCTAATTTATTTATTTCATTTGAGCCTAGTCATTTAATTGAATTGCTGCATTTGCAATATTTGTTAAAATATCTTGAGAGTCATTTTGAAATTTGCTCTTTATGATATTAAGATATTTATACTTCTTTAAGTAATTTCTGAAATAATTGTATTGCTTGTTCAAACTCTCCTAACTTTAAATAAGCCTGTCCCATTAATAGCTAATCTTCTGGTACATTTTTTCTACATTCTGTTATAACCTATTGATATTATCCTTCAGCATAGAGTAGATATACTCTAGTAAAAGGATAAAGTTAATGATCTTTCAGTCCTTTTAAAATTTATGAAGCTTCTTAATAATTCTTATTATTTATTAACAGGATTGCTTTTGTCAATAAGATGTTTGGAGTTTATTCACATTGATTAGCCACTTCTAACAATTAAGCAGGTGATCCTGTGTGTAATTCTTCAACTAACCTTTGTATTGGTGTTCTTTAGTCCATAAACACGTGTTTACTAATATTTAATATTAATTATATGGGAGAAGAATTAATTTTGAAAATTGTAGATGTTATCCCTCCATCATCAATGTAAGATACCGACAACATTATCAAAGCAACTGGTGAATGGTATACTAAAGATAAAGAAGCAAAAATCATTATAGATTTTGGAAATGCTTTAATATCTCTAATATCTATATGTAATTTAATTTAATTTAATTAGAATAGAGAACTATTATGCAGATTAAGTTAATATAACACTGAAAGGTGATAACTCTGATGATATTTATTATGATAAAGTAATTTGGAAATAAAATTTGGATTGGAATAAATCATTAAGTATTGATATAGAACCACTCTCGCAAGATATATTCAATTAAATGATTGTTGAAGTTATAAATTACACTTAGAAGGATTATAAGGGATTAAAAAGAATTAGAGTTTATGGGATTTAAGATAAATAATTATATAATGAAAGGAAAAAACTTGCCAAATAATTTAAAAAGGAATCTAAAGATAAATAGAAAGTTTAGAAAGCATTGTAAAATCAGGAAAAGAGTGAACAAAAGGATCAAAAATAAAAAACTAAATTAGATGAATCCTCAACAAAAAAAAATTAATCATGGGGATTATATAATAAATCTTAAAATCAAACTAATAAAGGACTTATTTTTAAAGATACTAGAGAAAAATTGAGAAATATTCATAAAAGTCCATCTCCTATCAAAGAAGAAATAGAATAATTTAATTAAACTGCCATTTAGACACCTAAATAACTTGAAGGATTTGAAAAACTTGGGAGTAACATAAATGAATGGAAAATGGTCAGATACAATATGAATTAAATTGATAAGCAATTTTTAGAGTTGCATTAAGAATGTAATTTTGCCATTTAAATTTTAATAGTATAAAAAAGCTCAGGAATTGTTTAAGATAGACAACTTAATGATTTTAATTTTGAAGTCCACTGGCTTTAATGAACTTTGAAAATTAATTCGTATATTGATTATTTTAAGTAATTTATATTAGATGTATCATGCTCCTAACTCATTGAAAGCTTTTACTGATTTGAAAAGTTGAGATACTTCATTAACTCTGGTAAATTCTATGCAAAATGCTTGTAGCTTATGTAATTATAAAAAAACTTACTTCAGTCAGAAGATCTTTGGTCACAATTGCCTTAGTTTTTAAAAAGTGCCGAATAAAAATACTAACATATTTAACTATTTTTGTTTATGTTTATTTTTCCTATTTGATTGTATATTATAATTTACTTTAATATTATTACAATATTAAATACAATAATACACATAATATGTAACGAAATCAGGAGGTATTTTAATTGAATAATTTATCATTGCAATTAATTCAATAGTAGCAGGAGTAACATCAATATTTATAAAAACATCCAAATAACTTAAATAATTTAAAACTTTACTCTTAAAAATCAGAAGACTTCACACTTTTCACTAAAAAAAAGAATACTAAGTTTGTATTATTCTCTATTATATCTGGTAATTTTTATGTTGTAAACCCACAATTCTTTAATAAATATTCGTCATTTTCTAAAAAGTCTTAAATCAACTATTCTAAAATATTTTTTTTACCTTTAATTCTTGATCACTAACTTAAGTACAACAAGCTTTCTATATAATTTCCTTTACCTAACTTAATTTATCGCTATTGATTTAAAGAGTATAATTCCATTATAAATTATTAAGAATGCTAATCTCATTCCAATATAAATTATTTGCATTAATAAGGGAAGGTATTGGTCTTAAATAGTCTATTGAAAACTAATCAGAATCAAAATTTAGCTTCTTTATTTTATCCATTAGAAAAAAATCAAATATTTATAATTAAAATAAATTTTCATCAAATTTTTTTAGATTATTCTACAGAAAAATTAAGAAGTTATTACATTCAATTTTTATACCAATTTTGGTAATCTAAATTCACTCTTTTCCACATTTAATCTTCTTAAATAATACATATTATGGTAATTTAGAGGATTCAAAGCAAATTTGTTATTTTTACCATCGCTTCTCAATACAGATATACTAATTCTCAGCTGCTTTAATTTAGAAGGAAACTCTTAATAATTGTGAAAATTCAAACATATTACAATTGTATATTGTTTTGATTTAGTTAAAAGATAATCTAATTTTATCAAGAACCAGATAATATTTAACTGTTCTATTTATATCATCAGTATTAATGAAAATTAATTTAATTATAACATCTTCTTCTACTCTACCTGCGAATCTTATTTCCTAGTATTATCGAATGAATACTCGATGCTTATTTTTTTCTGAGGTATGATTATATCTTTGGATTTTAGTTTCTAAGACTTTTTAAATATCATATATTCAAGCCTTAAAAAATTATATTAATTTATGATACATATTGTTCACATAAGATAATCTTTAGATGGAATATTAATAACTATGCTGCATTAATATATTGATGATAAAAGCTTAATCCAATTCACAATGTTTTCTCTTTTTTATGAAATCTGCCATCGTTTATAAGAACGAAATCTTCACTAATACACCTAGATTTTCACTACAAAAATTTATAATTAACTAATTGTTTTATTGAAATAATCAATGCAACATTTGTAATTATTTATTCGCTGCAATATGAGAAAATATTCCAAGTTTTTCCTATTTTAATCCATTGAAGTCATATTTAAAAATTTTGATTTCTTAGTAGTGATTCTTCAATTCGGTGATCAATTAAATGAGATACAAGGAAATTAAA